TTAGCATTATATTTACTGTTACACAAGAACTGTCTTATAATACAATGCATTAAAAATTTAAATAAACTCAAGCTCTCTTTTTAGGCAACTATTATTGTGCATATAGTTCTTTATAACATATCGTACGTGAAATATAGTACATACAGTGAAGTAATAATAGTACATTTGGCAACCCTATCGGCGAGGCAGACTACCATATTGTAGTCACGAGGGGGCTGATGTATCTTTATAAATTACGTCTTCTGACGCCTCGTCAATTATTAACGTCACCGTCCAATTGCGCTAAATTCGCATCGCTTACCAAAAAAAAAAAAAATATCTATACAAACTGGCATCAACTTACAAAATTTGAATGACAATGATTGCCGTGTTCTTGTAATGTAATCTATTTTTAGCCCGCATTACCTTGTAGTGTATAGGAAGAAAGAATTTGAAATTTAGTTTTCAGGAGGAAAATAGAAATCGCATGGTGAATCTTGGCTGAGTTCCGGTTGACTCAGTCACCATGTAAAACGTTTTTGTGTGTTTGTGTGTGTGAACACTCGTGTGAATGCTCGTGTGTATGTATATACTAGTTTTCAAGCTCCTACTTGCTTCAAATAGCACGTTAAGCTGTTCCGTTCAACACCTTCCAATCCAAATTTCCCAAATAATAATAAATGATATATTAAAACTCTTAATAAAGACGTAAAAGTCAATAAAGTAATCAATTGCTGATTTATATATTTTAAATATTTCCAAGATACGAGTCCCATTCAGATGTTAAAATTATCTTATTACACTCCATTAATTAAACATTGTTTTGCAGTTATTATACAATTTAAACCAATAATAATAGTTATCTTTGGCGGCAACATTATCATTGTCATGTACCTACTTATGTACAGAATAGCTGACTACGTATGACCTCTGTTGTTTGAATCACACATGTACTTATCGGGGACAACGTGGTGTACCTAACGTGACCATTTATATTTTGCCTCACAACGGGACATCGACGTTATTTCTCGATTAAAGAGGTTATAATCATGAAATTCTTGTGACATAATATATGATTGGTTCTTTCTTGTTTCCATGAAGAGTGTTTGTTTGGTTGAAGGTTCTAATCTTAGAAACTACTGGTTCGAAATTATTTTTGTGCTGAATAGTTCATTAATTGAGGAAGGCCATATAACATGTCGCTATAACTAATAGGAGTGGAGTAGAATTCTAAATGTTGCAAAAACGGGAAAACCAACCGACAGTTTTCGGCCGATAAAATCTTTGCAGCATTTAGAAAAACGGGACATTTTGTGCGTCCCATTGACATCTTCGGGGACACCACGATAAACAAAAGAAAAGGAATAATTGGCAAACTACGATGCAATAGAGGTAGGGCCTGCCACCGCTCCTGATGTACAGATAACCTTTACACATAGATGACTATAAGAACGTTTCGAAATTTTCCGAAATTTAGCAGCCGAAGTAGAGTAGGCTTCTGTTCAGATACGTTGGTAGATTGGACTCCGAAACTCGTTCTGGCTTATTCGTCACAATGTAAATCTTTTATTTTCCTCAACTTTGCTTATTGACTTGAAACAAAAAAAAAGCATATCTAATAATATATCTATTATCCGACTTTGAAATTAATGCCGGACTAAATAGTTTTTTTTTTTACATAAGCATCATCCTATTATGGAAACTTAAGATGGTTATACTATTCTCTTTATTATATTTGATCAAATTTGCGTCCACAATGCTGAGCTAAAAATATTCTTAAAAAGCCGTCAGTCTTGTTAAGTTATGGGTAGCTCAGTGGTCAGAGCAGTCGGCAGTATTACGAAAGGTCATGGGTACGAGTCCCATCTCAGAGTGCCAGGGACAAAGTGAATATTTTAAGTATTTTACATTAAGAATACTCTTCTCTATAATTCTAAAATAGCTAGTATTACATAGAAAAAGAGTTCATATAAAGATATAGAAAAAATAGGAAAAGTGTTTTTTTTTTAATACTTACAATTTGTCATTTACTTTACTTGTAATATTTTTGTTAAAAACGATTTAAGGTTGGAGTAAAATAAAAAAAATATATTCTTTAAGGGGATAAACAATGAAAAGTTATGAACCACTGCTATAATGGATACAATTATACAGCGCCTTTAAATCTGGTTCTCGTACAAGGTCTCCCGCTGTAGATGTGCGAACAGATGGCGAGGCTTCTCGACTTTTGTCAGTGGCCTAGACTTTTAGGCCAGAGGAAAATATATACGGGTAAATGTGACTGATTCCAAAAACCTTCATCTCTCGGTATTGACAATTGAAAATCATTACTTATTTAATTTCCATCAAGAATAAATGAGTTGTGCTATATAAACACATATTAAACCTCAACGAATACGCCAAAAGAGCTTTAGAAAAAAGTAAATAATTCGTTTCATTCTGTTCCATGTGTTTTCATATAGAGAATTCTAAAATACTTTTTTTCCAATTTAGGCAGGTATCTTCCATTCTAATTAATTTGAGTTTACCTTGAGTCCGCATATCGAATATATCGAAGCGAAAATCTAATGAAAGTCACAAGACAATGTTCTGGCAACATTTTCGAAGCTCTAGAATTTCGTTAGCTTTACAGTGATTTCATGCGTGTAATATATGTACCAATGATTCGTTATGAAGTTTAAATTTATTTAAAAAAAGTTCTAGCTCTCCTGATTCTTCCCTTTCTTTTTGGTAAAATTAGACAGCATTGGTTATGCACTTCAAAACTAAGTTTGTTATTCTTGGAACATTACCAAATTCTTTTCGTTGGCGATGAGTCGATTGCATATTTTAATTTTCTGTAAAATTTCTATCACCGATGTCTTAATTATTGTTAATGATTTTCTTCAGATAATATGAGATATAACAATCCTAAGTCTCCGGACTCGACGTACGAAGTCCAAAGTTTTTTTCCAAATACTAAACCTGACCTGCTTTAAAACTTATCTAATTCAATGGATGACATCATAAAAACATGAATAAATAAATCAATTAAAATGTCACATTTTCGAGAAAAAATATAAGTTTCTTTAGCAGAGCTATTGATGGATGGCTTCAAAAGTAATTTAAATATAAGTTTTATGACTATTCACTAATAGCGCAACCAGCTCACATAACAACAATATGGCAACATAATTTGACAGACATCATATATACCATTTGTTGGCTTATATAGATAAAAATCAATAGGTATGACAACAAAACTTTTTTGTTTGTCCGTCAGGTAGACTGTTAAAAAATATCAAACATTTTTTATTGCGTAATTATTCAATTAGGGTCCGTTAATTATTATTAACGTGAAGTTTTTTCAGCATTTTTTAACTCCTCCTCCCCTTGGTGACACATGGTGAAGTTTAAATAATTTAAAATGTCATATGACATCACGCTTTTGTACATTTTCTACAAAACTGTGACGTAGCGAGAGATAATAGAATTTTAACATTTTGTATTCAAGAGGGCAGCACGTAACGGGACACATTTCTAAATAACATTAAATTTGGACATGTACTTTAAGAATTACTGCAAGGTAAAATCCATAATTTGTCACTGACCGATTCGTAGTTCATCAAAATTCTAAGTAACTTCTAGCAGACCCACTGATTCCAAATATGAAAATTGTTATTATTTAGCATAAAAAGTCTAACATTATGAAATATTCATCCCGTTCTTTAGTTTTTCGGATTTTTAATAACTTCATAGCATTTTGAAAACAACCGTCAATGTGTTGTTTACATTACTAAATAAATGAAAAAAAAAACTCTTTGGTTGTTTAGCAATACAAAAAAGAGTAAAGTATATGCAATACAAACTTGGATCATAGACAATCTATGCAAGGATGGATAGATAGCTTCTCCCACAGAAAGACGGGTTCTCATTAAATCGTCTTGGTTTACGTTGATTCCATAACTTTTTACGGGAGAAGAAATGCTTAGTGAGACTTTTGCATATTTGTACATGTTTGTTTTATGGGATATTAATTACTCCTGTCAATTTATGGTTAACTCAGAGGTAATTGTAGACGTTCTTGTACATACTTTTTTTTAGTCTATGTTGCTTGCAAACCACGCTCTTTAGCAGTTACGATTCGAAGCATTTCGCCTATGAAATGATGCACTGATCTTCGTAAGCAATTGCATCACGTCTTAGGGAAGAGCTTAAAAAATTATGCAACAAAGTTAAGGTTTTCGAAAATCTGTCAGTTTTACTTCACTCATCTTTTTTACCTTTATTGTACCTTATGTCAGATGAAGATTGCATAGCATAATAAATAGACGTAATCTGTTATTTGTATAGATAGTTGCCATATTGTCGTATTCTGTCGTATAATCACATTATCTATTAATGAAATCGTTAACGTTATAGGCGCAATGCTGTCGCAAATGTTCAAATATCTCAACTTCATGACGAGTAAGACCTCATATTGTATGCCCGGCAAACGTACGAGTTTGATAATACAACCAATATTTACAGCTTTTGTCGCCTGATAAGGAAAACATGAAAACATTTTACGGTTGGATGCCAAATTAGCTTCCGTGTCGGCGCAACTACTCGGTTGCAGTTTCGCTAGGACCAATTTTTTGCAATGAATATGAGCACTTATCCTCGTCTCTCTGGATAAATTTGTTAAGTACTAATAACTAATCGTTTGATTTTCTCTGCAGCTCTTCTAGTAATTTTCAAAAGTTACGATTTTTTGTAAATTACTAAAAAAAATCTAGCACCCTGCCTCGTTCGATGAATACACTTTTCGTATTTCTTTCGCGAAGACTAAGTATATATTGTCCAAATGCCGTGCCAAGGTGATTGAGAATTAAACTAATAGGACTAATTGTTGCCTGCAGAGAAATGTATATACATTTTTCGTTGATAATTGAAGTATGTTTTAGAATTTGTGTTGTTTTGAGCCTTCTCAGTCTCAACTAGAAGTGGTCGTTCACGAGCATTATGTCAAAACTGTAAAAACCCATTTTTTCCGTTTCTAGTATTGCTGGAGGCCTGTAACAATGAGCAGTCATGCCTTCAAGATCGCGCTGGTTTAGAGGCAATCACCCAACTCCACAGACAGCTGGACGATGACGCCAATGGCAACGTAGACCTTAGCGAGAGTGATGATGTAAGTATTAATAAAAAAAGACTTCTGATAAAAGTCGTGTATCATCTGATTAAAGTAAAATAGTTTAAAATAATATTTAAAAAATCAGCTTTGTTTTATCATATGCAATCGAATTCTCCTATATTGTCGACTTTGCAATTAGTATTAAGGTCAGCCCTACGATTCTGTAAAAATCCAGACCCGAACTCGAATTCACTCATGTGTCCGAATTCACGTCATGTAGTATAAAAACTAGTGATGCCGATTTTTTGTATGAAAATACAAAACGAAATTGATTGAATATACATGTCTCAGTCTCAGATATACTCCTATGTCATTCGAAACTTATGCCAAAAAACGTTATTACTAATTCAAGATTGAGCGGATGCCGCTTTTGCAGTGGATTCATACGCCTGAGTGAATTCGAATTCGGGTTTGGCTTTTTACAGAATCGCAGGGCTGTGCATGTCTGACGGAAGATGTGTCGAATCTCGACGATCGAAAAACATATGAAAGAACATTCAGCCTTGCAACCTTGCAACCTGCAACGTGCAACGCATATTTCCATAAGATGCCTGACGGATTATACGTCAGATTTGCACCGACCCTAATCCTAAATTAAACTAGCATAAAAGTAAAATAAAAGAAAGTGACAAAACAATATTTGATACTCGTTAATTGTGGGTAACGCCAGTCTATTAAGAATTAATAGATAATGACATCATCACAAGAATTATTGTGGACTCCCCTAGATTACTCTTAGGCTGCGAACTATATGTTACGAGAAGCAACAGCGGGTCATACATAGCGCGTTCAAATACATATTAAATAAAACGTTCTGTACAGCAACTATAGTCTTTGTCTTCTGATGCATTAGCGTCTTCAATCATACGAGTATAAGAACATATTCCTTTGAAAGATATAAGTTGTTTTAACATAGTAGTTATGTGTCGATATTCCGTTCACGGCAATAGTCACGGATACTGTACGGTAAATATACTGTAAATATGTTATAGGGTATGAACTCACAAGTACACGCGATTTCATAATAAAATAAATATTTTAGCGAGAGTTGACTCGTGGGGATTCAAAAATATTCGCCCGCGTCCATGCCCGCCCCGGGCTCTTAACATGACTGACACCTTATTTAGCCTCTAATTTGCGACGGACGGATAATTTCTAGCGGCCAATGCCGATATGTCTAGTGCGATTTTTTGCACTGATCCTGTCGACATGGTCGACTTGCCAACACGTTGTTGATACGAGAAGAGTGACGTCACACGAACGTATTGCACGTTGTAAATTATTTCAGAAGTATACACAGATCCCCGTACAATTTGCAACATCTGTTTGTGGAATTTATCGTTTATTCCCAAGCAAATCGTTTATCTCAGCGAAGTGTAAATAATATGTCTTTAAGAGTCAGTAGAGTATTTAAGAGTTATTTTTATATGAAATAGTAAAAAAAAGGACTAAACAAAAAAAATAACGATTAAACTTACTACCGATAGGAACCCCGTTCAATAAAGATTGAAACTTAGGCAATAATAATTGTTACATATTGCAAAACAAAGTCAAGTATAAGCACGTTGTCTGAAAGCGATATAAACTACCGAAACGATTTTCATGCGGCTTCGATTGAGGAATATAATTAATACACGAGACTAATTTTGGGTAATTTTTTTGGAGTATTAAGAATTTTTGGAAGTGCCGCAATATCATGCTGACTGAATGAAGCTGGAACGGATCGCCAATAACTAAAGTATGAAGTTTAATTGGAAAAAATGTATATCTCACATTCGCCTTTAAGTAATGGCAACAATGCCTCTATTGTTTTCATTAGTCAGTAGCAGTTGTCAAGGTTATATAAAGCATTTTACCTTGTTTCCCTCGAATTGTTCATATTTATGTTCACGACGCCAATTATAGTATTTCCGTTTCTTTTCAGTTCCTCCGGGAAGAGTTGCAGTACGATAGCGGGTATGAGAAGAGGCAGCGGGCCTTCCATCACAACGATGACATGCATATATCCGTGAAGGAGCTTTGGGAGGCATGGCTTCGGTCAGAGGTAATAAGCGTGTGATTGCCATATGTAATTTCTAACAACAGTATAATAAAGATCGAAAACCCCGGTTTGAAGTCAATTCGAAATTCCGGATTAAATCCAAAACCAGGACATATTTAGCTCACCTATCGCTACTTAGCCATCAGCCGTCAACGACTGTCTTCTTTTTCTTTTTAATTATTGGCGTTTTCCCTGTGGATTTTGCCAGAATCCAGTGTTTCACTCATTAGTAACCAAACATTTAAATACATTTGAGACATATGAAATAGTGCAGAACTTCAAGGAGTTAAGTGATGGATACTCTTTGGATGTTTGCCTTTTTAGAGATTTCTAGCATAAAAATGGCAACGAAAGTCTGTGTTATATCTGACTGTCACATGGTTAAAACACATGAAACTCTTCAAATTTTCACAACATACGTGCCAATAAGGGCCAGGCCATATCTAAAGGAATATCTGTCAAGTGTCTCACGGAAGTATACGTTAGTTCGCGACCAAACTTCCGTCGAGTGTGCAAGGTCTGATGTACCGACAATTACGTGACGACTCTTTCGTCAAATATGCACCGATCCTTAGGCTTCCATCATGACAATAATAAGAAAGTTTGAATCCCCTACTGAATAATAGTGTTACAGAATCCTTTATATACGAATCCTACTTACTTACACTAGGTTGATTATTTCTGTTATGAAATTTCGTATTTTTTTTTTATTTATTCAACAAAACGAATACAATAATTGAATATATCAATAATTTAATTACAACATAAACTTACAAAAGTTTTTCCATGTACCGCCGATTCGCACTCAAACCGTTTTTTGCACGTTTAACAACTTGCATGTCGAGTCCCACATGAAGCATATATAGGATGTTTAATTGTCACAATATCATAATATTTGTAGAAAATGAAAATTAAGCCTTACATGTAGTTTACATTGGTACTGAAAATTACAAATTAAAAGTTTTTACAAATAAGTCATTTATTTATTTAACTCTTTCTGTCCATTTGATATCTACATATTTTGCGAATTAGCTATTATAAACTCAAATCTTGTTTTTTATTGATATTTTGCGAATTAGGTATTATAAACTTAAATCTTGTTTTTTATTGATGGTTATTGATATCAAGCTTCACGTCGGCGATGATACGCGGTCAATCGGAGGTCACTAAATAAGAGAGTAGGTACATAAGGCAAGCGTCAGTTCAAAATTACATCCTATTAATATTATAAGTGTGAAAGTTTCTTTGTTTGGATGTTTAGATGTTTGGATGTTTGTCGGTTAATCACGCTGAAACTACTAAACGGATTTTAATGAAATTTGGTATACAGATAGGGTATTAGCTGACTTAGATAAAAGGATACTTTTTATCCCACTTAACATTTCCCTAGGGTACACGCGGACGAAGCCGCTGGAGAAAGCTAGTATACTATATTCTGTGGCCTAATTGTCTAATTTTTTAATCTAACACAATCATTTTCAAACGTATAGTGGTTGTGATAGTGATTTATGGAATTGTGTAACTTTTAAAGTCACAATTGCTTTCGGAACGAATGATGATTTGAATGATACAGAATGTCATAGATAATTCATTTCTTTTTGTTTTTAAAAGTTGTGAAATAATCTTTACGATTTCGTAAGATTGTAATCGATTCTTCTATTTCGACTAAAGAATAAAAATATTTTATTCATATCAATAAAATATTAGAAATTATTTAACATTTCATACTTTTGATAAACACAATGTTTTATTTCAACAAAAAACAAATAAAACCATCGTACTAATAAAATGCGCCAAGCGCGTTTTTTTATGTCAGCTCTTCTAGGGATGATCGATACGAGTAAATATAAGTACTTACTCGATATTTTTCTATCGAAATCAAGGTCTTATGGCATCGATACTTTAAAACGGAGCAGTAAATAGTATCGTGAAGTAAAAAATAAAGTAATAAGTGTTTGTATCGGTATTTGGTCGGTCAGTCACTGAGGAGTGTCAAAAACTCGCGAGCATTAATCTGTTTACTCTGTGTTAAGGAACTAAAGTCTATCTTATGAAAAAGTCCCACAAGCGACAGGGACGCTGTCCTGTCCCTGTATGACTAATCATTACTAACCCCTACTTATTTTATGCAGTTAGAGATCTATATAGAGCCAACAAAATTTGAAGCAATACCTAGCCAAATACATTATAGCTATATGCGTCGCTTTTTATATCTAGACCTACTTCTCTTTCTACATTATACAGAATAAAGCTATTGACTATTAATAGTATCAAATCTACTCTGAAAAAACTGTAAAAATGATGACGATGGTGAGGCATTATAAACTATTTGATACAAGTAGGTATCGATTAAAAGTATCGATTCCTACGTGGTATCGTTGAATCCCTTAGCTCGTCATGTCATCAGCTGTGCATCATCTGTCAGAAAATTTGGATGAACTTGGCATTTCATTTTAAGTTCGAAATATTTATTAATAGCTGTTAATTTTTTTTTTTTTGTTGTATGTAGAGTTCTGAGTAAATCGGTAACCCAGTAATGAAGGAATTTATTTACATCGTGTAATTATCACCTTAATGAAATTTGCAAATTTTGTGGTAGTTAAAAAATATCCATTTTATGAAATAGTTATAAATACAAGTAAGTTATAAATGCAAAAATAAGAGTTCTTAGCATTTTTTACACCGTAACGAGTGATTATGTTATTTCTAGAATAATAATTATGAGCGTTATTGGGTTTTAAATGTATATAAAGTATATCCTTAAAAAACTTTCAAAAACATTAACAAAACATACATAAAATATCGAAAGATTGCAGTTAGTGTTCAACGCTTTCATTTGACATTACCCAATAGCTTTAAAAGATATTTGTAACCATCTATTTGCTTAGACAATTTCGATTAACGTCAAATGAACGTTAACGTTCATTCAAAAAATTTAAAAAAAATGTCATTTGCTTTCACATGTTATTTAGTAGTAGCGTGAAGTTCGCGAATGTCTTTCAAATGTCAAATTCAAAGTGATCTGTGAAAGATTTTTTTTTAGACAATTAGGCCACTGACTTAGCATGACTGTGGGCCATTATGGTATCTATTGATATTTATACTAATATTATAAAGAGGAAAGGATTGTTTGTTTGCGTCGAATAGGCTCCTAAACTACTGGAGCGAATTTAAAAACTTTCTCTTTCGGGAAGTTACTTTATACGCGGGTGACATAGGCTATAATTTACGCGAAGTCGCGTTTAGCTATTTTTATATAAAGTCAATATTAAAAAAAATAGAAATTCATATTCTATAATTTCAGAGACAAGAACCTGCTTTAAAAATGATAGAATCTCGTTTAAGATGGCAAGTAGCTCAATTGGTAAAGCAGTCGCATTTCGAGCATCATTGAGACGGGAAATTTTAAATATTCGATGGTTCGATAGTACAGTGGATTGCTCGTTCTAACTATCACGAGGGTCGGTCATAGGATGAGTGACCAAATACTTATTATCTCGACCTTCGGAAGGCACGTTGACCCATAAAAGGGTCTCAGTAGTATATAAATTAGCAGCTCAATTGCCTTAAATATATTATTTTATATTGTTTCTATTTCAGGTGCACAATTGGACGGTGGAGCAGACGGTCGATTGGCTCGCCCAGTCCGTAGACCTGCCCCAGTACAAGACACTGTTCCTCCAACACAAAGTCACTGGCGCTACACTGCCAAGGTAAATGTAATGAGTAGTAAAACATCTATTATTACCTGTGACCTCCATAATGATAGACGTATTATATTGGATCCCGGCCGCGATCCACTATAGCTCTTCTGTTCATGTAGGAACAAAATATATAGTCTGTGTTTATTACCAAACAGTGTTACCAGTTGAACGAACTTATTTTATACCGTTAAGTGTGAAAATATATGAAAGAAATCGTACTATTCGTGTGCTGAAATTAATATTATCTATGGTTGTTATGGTAAATCATATTCACGTCCTTTCTCTTATTTCTACACCGGCTCACATCTGTGTTGAACAAGATGTATCAGTCAGGTACCCAAAATTTTTTAATGCATTTCTTTATAATTATCGATATATCATTTAAATGCAAAAATGATTATTAATATAGAAAGATAAAAAATGTCTATAAACAAATACGGGTGTAGACAGTAAACAAAAAAAAAATTTTTTTTCTTGGTAGTTTTAATATAGTATTACCAACAATCACACTTTTTTGATTGTATTGCTTATAGTAATTACGCGATCGCAAACAGCGCGTGGCGTAATGCCTTTCTTACTCATACTAGAAGTTTTTAACTAAAATTTAAGCTTATGCATTCATAGAACTATATTCGTATCAGAGTGCCTTAACGTCACAGCGACGCCAGAACAGAAGTGGCGTTATCGACGGATTTTTTTTTTTTTTTTAGATTTTAACTTATATTTTTTAGATATATTTCAAGTGTACCTACAAAATAAAAATATAAGAAAGTTGTCTACACTCTTATTGCTACTTATGATGTTTTGTACACGAAGGCTTTACATACTGGCTAATTTACACTTTTTAAGTAGATAATTAATTAACTTAATTGTTTAGTATATGCTAAGAGAAATCGCTTACAATTAATTTAACTACTAATATATTTAAATCTCCAATGTGTTAATAAGTGGTCACTGACCTCGCTTTAAACAAATGATTTATGGTTATATCGTTATTTGAATAGGTGTATTATCCATGTTAATGAAAATGAATGGTTCTATAGTTAATTTTTTCTTACTTGAGATAAGTAGTAAACCAACAACTGACAAACACAAATCACGAGATAACAAAGGAATCGCCCAATTTTAGCTGTTATAACCACTTATGTGTGTATATTAGTTTATACAAAAACACATTAATTTACACTGTAAATAGCTTGAAACCGTCTTTAATATAAAATCGTAATTCTGATAATGTTAATAATAACAGAACAACTAGATGACGTGTAAATTTTGACATGACATAATAGTGAAACGACAAAAAAAAGTGCTCGGTGGCGTAGTGGATAAGCGCCGCGGCCCACGATCGTTGTTTTAAGCAACTTTCGCAAGGGTCGATCACGGGATGGGTGACAAAAAAATATATTATCTTGAGCTACTCCGTGCATAGGAAGGCACGTTAAGTGCATTTGCAGTCGTTTATACCCTCCAATCCGCATTGGGCCAGAGTGGAAGGTCACGGCCCATCCTCCTTAACCATCCATAAGGAAGGCCTGAGTCCCTGCAGTGGCGACGTAAAAGGGCTGATGATGATATTATGATTAATTTTTTACCACAGCGATGTTATTTTTTGTTTTATGTGGCATTACTTTTTTTTTTGCGATTAACAATTGTTGTTATCGATATCGATAGTTTCATTTAAAGTTGTAATCAGGGATGATTACTTTTTTGTCTTTGTGTCGGGTAGTTTCCTGAACAATATTAAACACAAAATACTCTTCTTAAATTAAATCAAAAAATACTTATGTAATATTTTTAGGCGGAATCATTACTAGGTTGTGCATGAGATCTATCATCACTATTCTTTTGGTAGTTTATTATTAGTTTAATATGAAAATATTGCATAAATATTCAGTTTATTATATATATATTATATTTTTTTGGTCGCTACAAGCCAAGCTTTGCTTAGTGTAGGGATCGCTAGAATTAAGCACAGTTTGTTAAACGTTTATTGAAAATAAAGTTATTATTATTATTACTATTATTATTATAGTTTGTTACTTTTTACATAATTATATATATTTCGCCAAATATCACTTGTTATTTTTAATATACTTTTATCCAATTTAATTTAAATAAATGCTATTAAAGATTGATGTAGTTGCTGGGAGGTTGCATCGCCTTTTTATTGCCGAATAATTTCTTACTGCAATAAAAATATTTTTAAATTCAAATAAAATTGAATTAGGAAACACCACGGTAAATCACACGCAGGTATAATATTCTACAACATTAGAACTAAAAATCAAGAAACCCTAATAAATGTCAAATTTCATAAAGACGCCATATTTGCTTACTGGTTATCTCAAATGAGAAAAAAATAGACTATATGTGTTCCTAAGCTGCAAAATTCGAGAATGTCTGGTGACTGGTTAACACCCACCAATCCAAATTGTATCCGCAATTCTCCCTATTCGATTTCTAATGGGCCGACAGTGATGATGAAATATTTTGTTATTAATTTGATTTATTTTATCCAGGTTGGCAGTTAACAACATGCAGTACCTTAGCAACGTACTCGGCATAAAGGACCCCATACACAAACAAAAATTGGCTCTAAAGGCTATGGACGTCGTACTGTTTGGCCCACCTAAAGGTAATACACATACATATTTATTCTTCTCGACATAAAAATCAGTTTATGAATCAAGCGAAAATAAAATTTTATTTTCAATGTGCAAAAAATATAGATGGCGCTGTTAGTACAAATTATACATCGTTATTATAATTTTAAAAATAATGAATTCATGTTTGCACTTTTAAAAAACAATAAATATCACCATTTTCGTCATTTCACCATTTCTTGACTTAATTTTCTTTTTATTGCGCCAGATCATCATAAATTTCAAATTTATACTAACTAGCTGTTTTCCCGGGATTTCACACGCGTAACCCCTTAAGTACAAAAAGCTGACCATCGTATCATGGCCGGTTTGTACGCCGGTTACAAAGTGTAGCTATCTCTGAGCTACACAGGCCAGTAGGGACAATGTTGAAAATTGACATTTTCTATGTTGTCTCTGTTGGTTTTGTTGTTATGACATTTACAAATTTCCATTAAACAATTGCTCTGATAATGCCTGTGATTAGAAAGATAATTAACGGGAAAGCTAGCATCATTCTAATGTAAATGATAATGAAGCTTAAAACAACATAACGTGTGATGGTTTTGCTATATGAAAAGCGTACCCCATTCTCACCATACAATTTAATTTAAAACAATAAGTATAAGTTTTTTATTTAAGAAATAAATACTCTTTCGCTCATTTTATTGCTATCAATTTAAATTACTGGCTGAAGGAAACTGCCTGTTACAAATAATATAATTTACCTTAATTAAAATATAATTAAAGGACGATTAAACTTCTATTTACCTCGGTGAGATCTGAGTTTCGTTTTCCGGACAAAAGGCAAAGGCATTTTTCCTTATTTCATAAATTGGGCAGAGATCTATTTAATATTATCTCATCATTTTCCGTTTCGCACAACTTCGTGTGATTTTGAACCTTATTTTAATAGATTTGAGTATATTGTAATAAAATTTTATATCCACAAATAATTTAATTAAATGCATGTGCATGGTAACTGTTTTAACAATAGATTTGCTGTTTTCACATTACATTTCCCCCCTGTTTTCTGTTTCATTCCTAATTTTTACTGTTATTCAATTGGCGTATAACGCCACCTATTACCACATGCAAATAAAATCTGAAATAACCGATTGCTACTGATTAAGGAATGCAATCTTGTTCTCGCGAGATCGCGGGCTTTTTGGCGAGATTGATCTCGGTCGAATAATGGGCGAGATCTCGCGAGTTTAACGAGATTGCACTCGAGCATAAAATTTTCTAATTTTCGATTTATTCTAAGTGCGGCAGCGCGAATTTATGCGATTCCGGGGGGTTAAAAGGCGAAGTTTTACACTTTTACAGTAATTGTGTTTTCGAAAGGGTCTTCTCGGTGGCTGGTTATCTGGTCAGCACAATAATAAGACGAATAGCAAAGTTTCTTTGGACATTTTGTGATTCTTAAGGAAGCTACTTTCCAAATTATTCGTAATAAAGACGTGTGAAATAAACTGAATAAGTCTTTAAATTGATTAGTATATTTTCTTAATTTATTCTCTAATTTCTAATAGATCTCTGGGAACACATAGTTTTCTTTTATCAAGTTAGTTAATGAGTTTTATTTTAGTTTTTGTATTATTGTTATAAAAACTGTGTATTATAATAAAACTTTTTTTTAATTTGATATTAGCACAGAAGTCTGCTTGTTTATTTCATTTTGTATTTGATTAGACACGTTAACGTTAAAGTTTCTTAAAAGATTAGTACCTGGATGATTAAGCTTTACTTGGCACTTTTCTAAAATAAAAATATTAAACCTAACTAAATCGATTTATCGCCTCAGAAAGCCCCTGCATACTTAATGTCATGAATATTGTTGGAGCCGTTTCCGAGAATATAATACAGTAATTGCTTTTTTAAAGGTTTTAGATAAAAAAATATATTTGCGTCAACCAATGTTAAATACATAAAAATACCCTTAAAAAAATGTTTATTTCATAATACCTACTATAATTCTATTTTTTTTTACTAATTTATTCAAATATTATGAGTTGAATAAATATAACAGTAAAACAGTAAACACACAAAAGTGCCAATCTCGCGAGATCTCGTTATTGGCGAGATCTCGCGGTATTGATATTCATAAACTCGCGAGATCTCGCCCGCGTCCCAATCTCGCGAGATTGCATTCCCTACTACTGATTGAAGCAAGCCACAGAATGACACATGAATTAATTCGACAAAACTATGTAATACATGATTTTAAAAATGAAAATGAGTCAGAAAATACTGAAGATTAGGTTTGTTATTTCGTTTAATTTCTCTTTTATTTTTTATTTTGTTATCAATAATATAACAATGTAAATCCTGATAACTAATAAAAACGTGTGATTCTTTAAATTATATGATTTATATGAGTACAGTAGGAAATGTCTTTATTACTTATCTTACTGTTTTCTCCTGTTTTATTATTAGTGAACTGTCTTTTCTAATTTCTTGAGGTTGTCACACTGTCTCTTAATATCGACGGGCGATCCGCCTATATCTGCTGAATGTGACAAATTTGCTGTACACCTTATGGCCATTGAAATAAGACTCGGGTCATCGTCGGAAAGCCAACCTACGGCTTTGCACTAATGAAGACTTACCACGCACCATATTAGTTGGATCTTACTCTGCCCATTGTGAACTACCGAGCAATAGCAAGATACTGAGTATTTCAATTTTACAGCCATTTTAATGAACTTCCGCTGTTAAACAAACGCCTGAATACGAAAAGGTTGCATTCAGATTAATTGTAGGTTTCTCGCCTGAACACTAAGCAGACATTGTAATGCTTTATACATGGTCTAATGTACAATTATACGTACACAGATAGCGAAGTCAGGGAACCATGAAATGATGCGACGATAAGTAGGAAAAATTAGTGATTATTACAAACTCACCTCAGTTCGACGTTGTTGGCATTATGGATAATTATCTGTTCATGTAAATAAATTTATTTTAAAATGTAAAGAAATATATTTTTCTTAATAACATGCCAAGAGATTTCATATTAGAGTCTTGAGCCTTGATGTTTCTGGATTAATAAGATATAGAAAATCACGGTTTCCATTTGTCTTATTATCTATGTTAATAATAAATCTGAAGAGTTTGTTTGGTTAAACTCTATAATCTCAGGAACTACTGAAATTATCTATTTTTTTTTTTGTGTTGATTAGTCCATTAATCGAGGAATGCTACAATATATCACGCTATGACTTATAGAGTGAAGTAATAATGAAAAATGTTGCAAAAACGGTAGAATATTTTCCCTTTTTTACACTTGAAAAATTTCTAGATTTTTTACAGTTTTTATGGTACAGGAATCTTCGTGCACGAGTCCGACTTGCGCTTGTCCGGTTTTTTTAATATTATATTTTAATGGAGAATTATTCACAGGACAACAAAATAATATATGGGTGACTATTAACGTGATACTTTAATACGAGGGGCGTTAAATTATGTTTGCTAAAAATGTACTAATCTTTCGATACTTATAAATTAAAAATACTTCAAATTGAGCTACTCATGGTAGGAAATAGTTTTATCTTAAATAGCCACTAAAGTTCAAAGTTTTTGGACAGGCCTATGACCCAGTCGTCTCAGTGACGACGCTGATAAGCTAAGGTGATGATATAAAGGTGGATGCTTACTAGCCGATTTTTAATTGCGATTACCTTAAGACTCCAGTACAGCAGGCCAGTGTGCAGTAATTTTATATATTTCATTGCTTCAAATTATTTTCGTTATTGTAATATATTTTATCTTATTATTCTAAATGATACTGTATTTTACTTTTTATGTGCGGGTAAAAAGAAACTGATGGGTTACCGCGATCTTCTACATTTCCAGACAACCAGCCGTGTTCCTCACTCTATGCTAAGAACATATTTATCGACGAGTAAATAGATTGAACTGATCAATGAGCAGAATTATGCTGAGAATTCCTAATTGCACAATGGTGATAGTTGAATCGACTCTCTGTTGATAGTTATAATTCGATTGTCTGACTGGTTCGGGCGGTTGTGATACGTCACAATAGATATCATAAATTTAAAACAAATGAGTTCAAGCCAGCTGAAACAACAGAGTAATAAAATAAAATATTAATTTGTTACTTGGAATTCATATTAGATTAATAGAGGGAGCTAAAGTAAAGGCATAATAAAAACGTACAAGTCAATGTTATTAGGCATTCTCTACCAGTCAATTGGAGAGTTATGGAATGTATAGTATAAAAAAGCGTTACAACTAAATACAATCAATCATTGATATGTATGTGGTACGAAAGAAACTATATTTGCTCATAATTCAAATCTGTCGGACTTTGGGAGTTAGGTCAAATTTGGGTTTCGAGATTTGCGCACTAACTGACAACAAATACTAACAAGGCGAGTTAAAAAAAGCTTGTAAAAAGGAAAGATTTGTTGTTAGTTTGTTTGCACTGAACAGACTGAAATTGCTGGATGGATTTTAATAATATTTACGAGTAGCTACATTATATGCGGAGGGTGACATAACCTATATTTCACGTGAGCGAAGTCTCGGAAAAACAGTTAGTTATATATTAATCATTAATAGCGAAATGGTCCCGACTAAAACAAAAAACAACATGAAATTAAATAACGTAATCACGTAATTATAATCTTGAGTTTAGACACTCGTAAAACGTGACTTTCTTTTCATTGGATACAGTGAAAATTGATAAATATGTGAGTCACTTTCTAACCACGAACTAATTGGAGCCATATTTATGAAAGTATTTATTTGATAAAAATTTCCAGTGGCCATTTATATGAAATGAAATATAAATGTATGCAAAAAATCGTCAAAAAAAGAAAACTATTATTACTAGAAAACATGCGAAAGAAACTTACTAGTCTTTAACAGAAGTAACGATATTGTTTATTTTAAACATAAATTCTTCAATGATTGACATATTATTTCAATTTTTTTTTCATACTATTCGGTGCGGTAAACATTGTTATGCCATTTGCCGGCAAAAATTTGGAGTCGACCAAACTTATCTCTTAGGGGTATAGATAAGATCTTATTCTCAGCAACTACTGAATATATATAATTAAATTTCAACAATTCGGATTTGGGTCTGGATTTTTACAGTATCGCAGGGCAGGGGAGAAACTTGATATTGCGTTTACACCACCCCCCTCCAGCGCATATATTCCGCCCGGGGCGGACCGTCCCCTCCCCCTCCTTAGTCCGCCAGTGGTTACTTGATTACGGAAGTTTCTATTATTTCTTATAGAATATTTTAAACTGAATATACTGTCGAACCTTAACCCTCGAATTAAACTATAGTTACATTAATTTTACTCTCGTTATGAGATGTTTATAATTAGCACAATGTGTCCAAATGTTCGCACTAAGTTATGTTTTCCCGTAACATAAACTATTTTATTAACCGCAAATGTGGCAGCTCGCACAATGTCATCGCTAAGTTATTACTCTTTCAACGTAGTATTAAATCGCCATCGGTAGGATCACCACCGAATAGTACTTTTATGGGAAATAAATCGCCATAAAAACATTGATAATCTCCTATTGTTCAAAAAATAGTTCCAGTTTATCCCGATTTCGGCCTCGTTTTACTACACCAAGCTGAAAACTCTCCTAGATATAATTTGTAAGATGTTATTTTATCTCTTAACGAAACTGATTCATCATGGCAATGGTCACCAGCTGTTTTCGTCGGATTAGAATATTAAAGATACTTTTTACCTATCATTTGTGCTCATAGGAATGAGCACCTTGTTTCAAAAATATGCATCATAAAGTATGTAATATCGAGAAACCTTTGAAATCTGTATCAAAATCACATAGGTTTATAAAATATGACATGTCTGTGTTACTTCAGTGAATCATAATTTATAAATACGTGATCATTTACTAATTTTGAGTTGCATCATCGCTGGGACTTACAAATAAAGATATGAACATAGTACATAATAAATATATAGAAACCGGTGACTGATTCATTTACTTACTCCAATCCTCAAATAATTGAAGCGCCTAATTTTTACAAAATATTTTTTCAATTCATTGAGTACACCCAGAAAATATATTGCATACTATTTTCTTATTTTTATAAATTTCTAAATTTGACATCCTCATGAATCACTCTATATTGATGAAAACCCGATTAAAATCCCAATTTCATTGTTTATAAGATCTCGGCGTACAGACAGCGGGAGGCGGCTTTGTTTTATACTATGTACAGAATATGCGTAAAGAATACCTATGAGGTAAAGGATATGTATGTGATTCATAACCGAAAGGCGCGTGTGTCGACCAAATATTTGTTGTTTTGATTTGGTATTACTCGATCATATAAAATTGAGTATGTAGTGTGTATTAATACATATATATTTAGAAATGATCACTTGCTTTATGAGTTAATAATATCATAAAAATAAAACTAATGTAGCTCAAAAAAACAGATGGAGCCAAAATACTCGTTTTATGCGGCACATTTTGTCTCGGTTTTATAAAACTGAGGAAGGATCCTGATTGACCGCTCTGATGTCATTTCTTGCTTTTTTTTTTAATTATTAGTCGTTTTTTGTTTGATAGCCATTAACAATATCATTGTGATACCTAAATTAAAAAACTAAATTTTATTAGTGTACTGGATATTTTTTTCTTAACGTACTTAGTTTGACTTTAAAAAATCATATAATTAATTTACTGAATGAACTCCTTACAAAAGACTAATAAAAAAACACAGCGTCACACATAAAACAATAAACTAATTGACTCTGATTTGGTCACGATGTGATGTTTTAGTAGAGTCTCCCAAATGTGCGTATACTTGGTGTCATTACAAGTTACATCACGACTCTGCACGTTTGTGTTTCACGTATCATTTAAACTCTCGTTTTGATCAGTGTCGGTTGCACGTACCGAGGTCATTTAATATAAAACTCTATTGATTCGTGACAAAGTCTTTATTTGGTGTTTAAAAAAGTGTTTTGATCGATGACTGTTCGTTTTGTTCTTTGGGTGATGCAGTGCGGTGTTGTAGTGATGTGATTCAATTAAATGCTTTTTGACACTTGGTTCGCATTGGCAACGTCGTATTGTATTTACCTGTTGTTCAGTGGACGATATGTAGACTTTGCCGACGATGGTAATGACTTTTTTTGCACACTTAACGTACCTATAAGATTTGTTTGTTTATTTTTTGTCCACTTGAGCCGTCTTTTGCGAAGTTTTTATGGAGTTGAGTGTTTTTGCCGTTAAATGTTTTATAAACTCCGTAGCTTTTAATAGTTGCTATGCGAATATAGTCTACTCTTTTAATATTGATGTTATATATAATGTTCACTAGGTGTTTTTATAGATAATCGCTTAGCGGCTTTGCATGCACGGATCTGTATTATACCTACATAATTAACCTTCCTATTGAATCACTCAATTCATTGATGAAAATCTCAATGAATATCCGTTGTATAGTTTAAAATATATCAACGTGCAAAACAGCGAAAAGCGACTATATACAATGATAACAAAGAGGTTTCTTCATCCTGTAATTAATTAATTATTTTATCAACCGAAATAATGCTACTATTTAGGGTGATTAAAACTTGGTGTGTGTACACACCAAGAGCTTAATTTCCAACACACTGTGTGCGTATAAAGGACGTGTATTTCGACGCGATTTTGATTTTTCTGGAAAGAATCTTTATCATTGCCTACCATTTTGACAAATTAAGATATACCTATGCATTGATTAGCGGCTCGCGGTAGCGATAGAATAATACCAACTTCCACATTGTAGATCTATAATGTTCTAATCAAGAAGGATAGTTGTAATCCTCAACTTATATACTACTTAAATCTAGACAACACATCAAAAGTGCGTGATAGAGATCGCTGACAGCGAAGTAATTATTTATCACGTATCGAACGTGATTTTTAATATTTGAATACTACAAGAACGTACTCTGTTTATCGTAGATTGTAAAGTTATAGCAACATTGGAATGCTATGCTAATATTATAAAGAGTAAAGATTTAGTCGTTTAATTGTAATGAATCCGAAAGTACTTGAAAAAGATTTTTTTTTCCCTGATAAATGTATTTTTCCGTGCATGTATTTGTCTACTACATTTAAGTAGCAATCATCTAGTACATTTAAGTAGCAATCGTCACTGTCCAAATGGGGCAAGGTTCTTAAAGGAATTTTGTAATTGTTATATAAATATGGGTCTAAGGAGATAATTGCGTTAAGTATATATCACGACGTATAACTGCCCGCTGTTACTTCAATTAAATCATGCAAATTTAAAGGAACTAGTTCTCCGCCTGCGTGAATTACATGATTTTAAAGCCCCAATTCAAAGATTTGGTGGTAGATTTTGTAAAATCCTTTCTTATCGAACCAACCTAAACCTCTATTATTTTGAATTGACGTTGGTTTCATTCAACATTACGATATTATCGTGCCAGTTCACGCTACAACAATAACACGGGGAAGTAAAAAGTATGGTAGTATTACACTTATGCTGTTGAAAACTGTTAACTTACATTCTTTTACGAAATAAGTTAAAACACTACTCGATAGATAATATCAAGCTGCATCAATATAAATGAAAAACCCATAATAATTACTATTCACCTGTTTTGTTTAAATTGACAGTTAACCGGTTGCGATATATGAAGACGCTTTTTAATTGTGTCAGTTTTTTCCCTCTAAAACCATTGCGATATCTTTGTATAACCTAACGACGCCTTTTCTTAGAATAAATTGTTAGACAGTTGACAAGAGAACTTTATTGACCAATCCCGTATTCGTGGTACAAAAGGCAGAGTTAATGCTTATAGCATTCTTTCCCATTTAGTAATTATATATATTTAGTTTATTATTGATTTATTTGACCCGTCTAATAAAGTTTATAGAGCAAATTATAAGTATGCATTAATTGGACATCGATAACATGACATTAGTGTGTGTATGTTAACATGACGTGTGGAATTAAAAAGTACCCATTGATATATCTATTCCCATTGATATACCATTCGATAGTCCTGTCCGTCTGTGACTTAATTACTTCCTATGTTTACATTTTTAACAAAGTGCGAAGGTTAAATCATAAATCATTTTGATATTTGTATTCAAATTAATTGCAGAACCAGGCAGAAAACAGAATACATACTTACCGTGCTAAAAGTACATACCATTTAGACATCACGCTCATTTATTCGGTTAGGGAAATGAATTTCGCCGATGTTTCTCGTACAATGAACTATGTGTTTTAAAATGTTACGGTTTCGTTTTCTTTTCAAATAGGGCAAATATTTATAATCTCGTCATTGCACCAACACTGTTGTGAACCTAAGACACATACTATGTTTCGATACCTCCTACGTATATCGAAACTGCATTTTATTAACTTTGCAGTTACAGTCCAATAAAGGTTTCCGATATACTCAGGAAGTATAAGTGTATTTTACCAATTAAACGGTAACGATAAGATAAGATTAAAATACAGCTACGATTTTATACGTAGGGAGTATCGATTTATCTTCTGGTCTCTTAATCTCTCTTGATATTAAAGACTACCACAAACCGGCTAGAAGGAGTTGTCAGCGAGTTGCTAACTAATATTTTTCACTAAGTATACTTTTTCAAGTAATTCTATTTTCAAAACAGAAGGCAGTAGATGGAAGGATTGGTTGCTCGCGACCCTTTTGCTTGGAGCGTTCGTCGGTGCTTGGGCAGCGCTGCGAGCCGACCGAGCGAGCCGTTCCAAAATGCAGTGCATGCTCGATGAAATGGATCAACTCCGTAAAGCCGAAATGGCGCTAGAAGAGATGCAGAAAGACCTAGATAGAGCGAAAAAAGAACAGGTAATTAAGTGACAGATACAGACTTTTTAGTTAATACTTTATTTAGCTTGACTTAGTTTTATTGTCATTAACTATTGCACACCAAATTTAAACAGCCAATTATTACTATGTACGAAACAATAAAACTATTATTTATTATTTGACGTCGACAAGTAGACATCGCGTGTTCTCGACTTAATTTGTCTGTCTATCTCTTTATGTTTTATAGAAGCAATTTCAGTCTTCTTTAGCGAGAGTTTGTATCTTTTCAAGAGATTGACCTCCTGATGATATGTATCTCTTATCATAATACAAGCAACGACGTGATAAAAATGATACTTTAATAGTAAAATGCTAAAGAACGGCGAATGTGATTTATATGTACTGTGTACGTAGGAATGGAACTTGATATTGAAAAGCTCATACACATTAAGTTATAATTTTGGACTTTCTTTGCTGACTCAAACAAAGCTTTAAATTGGAATTTATGCGAGCCTTGATTACCAGATTCTTTCTTTAATATTTTTTCTAGGAAAACGTAAATACAGAAAAGAGAAACTTAGAGAAGAAACTGAAAGAAGCCGGCGACACGCCCCTCTTAAACTCTGCCTCTTCTGATCTAGAGGTGTCACAACTTAAAGCTGAAATAGAGGTGAGATATACAATCAATTATAAATAAGGTTCACAATTTATTTGTCGATATTAATCCTATAAAACGGCTAGATAATGCTGTCTATACTACTTTAGATTTTACTTTTATTTTGTTTCTTTTTCATTTATTAGCCTATCCTCTGTAGGATTTTCCTATTTCTGGAAGTTTATTGGTGAGTACTTATATATCATAGGGGCTCCTTTTTAGGGTATAATGGGTGCGTTTTTGTATGTATTTCACTGGTATGAACAAATAAAGGAACGCGTATCTCGATATTTTAAGTACTATTATAATTTTGAGTCTCACTATGAGTCAATTTAGTAAGTGTATGTTGAGAATCAATCCTCAAATAGCTGAATTAAGTGAAAATGATCCAATTTATCCAAACTTATATTAGGCTAACAAAGATACACATACCAACTAGAAACGAGAGAGAGAGAGAGACGGTAAAACAGAACGCGTCTAACTAACACAGTAGCGCCATCCGTGTATAACTGGAGCATGTCGATAAAAACAGATCATTTAACTTAATAAATTAAAAATACATTCAAGTATATGTTTCTTATTTACCAGTGTACGTGTTTTAGATCCTGACATACGAATACAATCCGAACTTGCGATTTTACCACGTATTCATACGTTAAAAATTGAGAAGGGATGTAGAAAAGTACTTTATTCGGTCAGGTTACGATTATACTCTCGTACGAGTTAAGATTAAATTTGCTCTGCGATTCTGTAAAAATTCAAATTCGAATTAGAATTCACTCAGTTATCGGAATTCCCTTCAAAAAGCGGCATCCGCTCGACCTTGAATTGCTAATAACGTTTTGTGGCATAAGTGAAGTGAGTTACGAAATGACATAGGAATAGAATATCTGACATAGGTACGTATATCCAATTAATTTTGTTTTGTATTTTTACAAAAAAAAATGGAATCAATAGAATTTCTACACCAAATGACGTGAATTCGGGTCTGGATTTTCACAGAATTGCAGAGCAGAGAGCTTTTGACCTCGAACGAAAATCTCGACTCCTTAAGGTTATTTATGCATCAGAGGCGGTGTATACCTCCAGTGCGTCATAAACTAATGAAAAACGTATTTCTTTCAAATGTTATTAGCATTTCGAAAGTAGATAAAATTTCGTTTCTACAAAAATAGAATGTACCTTCAGTTGCCAATTCGTACGAGTAGTTCGTATAAGCACGACACAAATCGTATCTAAAGTGAGCGTATCTTAAGTCTTGGTTGCACCGTAATTACAGTTAAAGTTAAGGTTGATGTCAAGTTTGACTATATCTGTCACGCTGACTTAAACAACGACTGTGAAACGCGCTGTATCATTATCTAGTTTCTCTGGCATAATAAACAATAACTTTCAACAGCAAAACTTAGGCGTTTATAGTTTACAATTACCAAATGACGACTCATTATTATTTGCTTAACGTGTATTTTGACATTTTTGTAATTGTTAAAATAATCCGGTGCAACTTACTTTAATAGATATATGTTCGATCTGTTTCTGTTAATGTATGTATGTGATTTAGATGTTGCGTGCTGAGTTGCGTCGTGCGGAAGGTGAGCTGGAGGACAGGTGTTGGGCGCCGCCCGCCGGCCTCCAGCAGTGGTTACAGCTGACGCACGAGGTGGAGAACCGCGCCTACTTACGTAAGAAACAACAGGCCGATCTACAGCTGCAGCAAGCCAGGGAAGCGGTGAGTTTATTGTGAACAAACCGGATAATCTTCCCAGCGACGGCACGTAACCAGGGCTACTAAACAAGGGCGCTCGGATTTGCAATTCGAAAAAACGGGACTCTATTACTAAGGCTTTCCATCCGTCCCTCACCAGGCTGTATCTTATAGACCGTGACAGTTTGTTGAAATTTTCACATTTATAACAAAAAAAAAACACAATTAAATAAATATTTAAGCGGGCTTCCATACTAAAAACGTTATATTTTAACTCGTTTCTATTTGCTACTTATTAGAACATTTAATCATTTGAAAAAGCTACTTTTTAACTAATACACATGTAAGTTTTATCATTTAAGTTTCAAATGATTACATAATGGGAAAATGAAATAAATTTATTTTTAAATACGTAAAAAGAAGATATTATATTCGATCACTTACTTTATTGTTTAGTGCGAAAAATTACGCAAGAAACGTTCGAGCCTCGTCGGCGCGTTCGTGTCGACTCATGGGAAATCAATCGATGACGTCGACCGTTCTATAGTGGAAGCGCGCACCGCCCTCAATGAGGTCACACAAGAGTTACAGGTAAGTTATCTATACTAATACTAGCTGACACGGCGAACACCGTACCGCGTATATATCCTTTTTTTTTTTATAAATTATATCTTTTTGTAAATTTTCTTGCATACAAATCTTGTTCCGACAATATGGAACATATAAAAATAATCATTCAATTTGGTGCAATCGTTTGAAAGTTATGCGCGTATAAAGAGGTTAAGTTTCTTATTTTGTTTGTTGGGTGAAATCTACGGTAATGTCAATGTCCACATTATTTTTATTCAAATAGACTTCTTAAAAGTACTTTTGAATCGTCCAAAATGTTTTTCCCTACTTTCAGGACGTCTTTTGGCTGATAAGAAGAACGAGCAAGAAGCTCACCAGTTCTAATAGGAGTAATGACATTCACAAAACCATGTCATTACCAGATTAATACATTATAAATATAATACCATTGCTAGACCATCTTAAGCCCAAAGATTCTTATCTGCTATATAATAAGATACCTTATAATAAGCTATTTTAATAGTAGATTTAAACTGCGCGATGTCTAATTGTTGTCTCTAGCTTGGGACCTTATTGTAGAAGTGCAAACAAAGACCCCTGAATGAGTTATTAACTTTTTGCAGTCTAGTGACACTCACCGTTAATTTATTTTTATTTCTTGTATTAAAATTGTGTACATCACTTATTATTATATAAAAAAAAACTAATATTAAAACTGGTCCTATCATGAAAATTCTTTCTTTATATTAAAACAATAATCTTTGTATTAAACTAGCTCTGAAAGGTTATCCTTACTCAGCTTGTAACAGAAACAAAAGTTGCTTATCCATGTCTACTTTAAAAACAGGTTAATCGCATTGACTACACGCATACAAGATGTAATAAATTAATAATTATAAAAATAACTTTGTATAGAAATTAATGATTCCCTGTTTTAAACCGACTTCAAAAAAGGCACTTCGTAATTTGACTGTATGTTTTTCGTGGAATTGAATTTCATTGTTACACTTTAATATCGAAAACATTTGAATGAATAGTATCGTGAGTGCTTTGTTTAAATGAACTATGGTGATATTCCACAGGAACGGATGCACAGATGGAAGCAGATCGAGCGTCTGTGCGGTTTCAACATCATCAATAACAACGGCTTACAGTTCCTGGAGACCACACTTTATAGGAATTTGAACGGACGACCTGGCGGCAGTAGAGGTGATGATTGTACTCCCTTTTACCAATCACCAATACGGTAGCTTGTTTTTTTTTTGTAAATTTTTCTTTGGGCTTCATAAAAGCTGGCACCATGAAGAAACAAATGAACAACAAAATATGAATAAACAAACGAAAATTACCCTTACAGGGGGGAAAGGAAACCCATTAATACCAATTTAGAAGTAAAGTGTATTTTTTCTTATTTTATTAAATTGGCGGCATCTATTTCGCACGTTGAGAATGACAATGTCACTAACCAAAAACGACGTATTTTTTACATTTGGCAACATTTTTCTTTTTTAAGTATAAACTTTAAAATGCAAAAATCCCTGTGAACGAAGCTTGCATAGAAACTGCTAGCTGGCATAGTGACGATATGTTGTTTAGAGGGGCTGATTACAATTTCTTGAACTTTAAACGCTCATTACTCAAAATCGCATCTTTGCATTGTGTCACTATTGTTCTCAACGTGCGAATTTTGTTTTCATATCCGTATTATAAAGGCTCTTTTGTGAAATTCAAACTTTGATTGTTCTGTCAAAATGAAGCCATGAGAGATCTGTCAGACTTACAGATGAACTGTCAAAAGACAAATTAGAATTGATCTGTCCAACACAAAATCACCCTGATTAGTCGACACATTAATCATGACTTGAGTTTTGAGCACTGTAAAAAGTATTTTATTACCTGTGGTGATAGTAATACGAACTATAATTGTTTGTTAACAGTGCGCATGAGTAGTTCCCAAGACGATCTGAGCGTTGGCGATGACGCGTCCATCTGCGGATCAGGTAAGGCTCCTGATGAAGTATCATTGTACCATGAACATATAGATTAGATTAATGTATCGATCCAACCACGTTTTATACGAAATTTCACGATGTAGAATTACTGTTGGACGAAAACATTAGCATTGTGTTCCTTTACGAAACAGTGTAAGCATCCGTTAAATAGGTATGTTACTTACGTTTATTGCCTTTATTTTTATTTTCAATTAAGTAATTTTAATATTAAAAATATATATAGCAAGAAAAATCATTTAATATATTTCTTAAAAATATGCTCTAATAAATTTTGTTTGACAGTAGAAACGTACAAAATATGTGATACAGTAATGTATAAATTAAAATTTCATATTTTAATAAGAGAAATTGTTCTTCATAATTGTTTAGGCTTGTTGCGATCATTAAAAAAGGTTTAATTAACGACACGAGATCTTAAAGTGAAATGGTGCTTGCATGATAATATGCATTAATATTTTTAATTATTTTAAGATATTTAATCAATAGATTTGCTTGTTGTACGCGGTGATAAAATAAGCTTATCATATAAAATATATTTATGCTAAGTAAGTGCCTATGCAATGTTAGCTGTAATTTAACTTTTATTATATTTGCCTTTCAAGTTTGCCAAAATAATACAATTATTATGATTTCAAAGATTTTCGGGTATGTTCTATAGAAATTAAATGTTAAAGAATTAAAAAATAGGTTTATCAATGACTAAATTTCTAGAGCAGACAAAGAAAAACGGAAAATTGACTAAAGATTTACGTCCGCGTTGCAAGTAAACGATACATATCGCTGACCGACACCTCTTAAGGGCTTATTTATATTGGAAGTTCCGTCAATGTTGCACGGAGTGGGGCAGCGACCTACACCGTTGTGTACAACACAACACAGTACTCCACATAAACGATACAGAGTTCTATGGTTAGCGATACATATTGCTCACGTAATATCGTGTCATTTCCGTTTTATCGCCTGCTTTAGGAACTGATTATAAGTAAAATATACAAACATGCAACGTATATCGAAAAATTATTATTGATTTTCTTCTCGCTTCAGAACAATTAAGTTGCCACTGAATGAGCCAGTTAATTTTCAATGAAATACGATAATGTTATTAGTAAAAATGGCGAACTATGAGGACTAGGTTAAAATGCATTTCAGTTATTTTTACTTATATTATATTAAAAAGCTATTTTCCTATATAATAAATAAATAAATAAATAAATAAACTGTCACTGAATTTCTAATGTCTGTGAAAAAGTGTTATATGCTCATTTAACGCAATAGGTTATATATACAGTTGAACACGCTTATGTAAAGATAAACGACATCGCAAAACTATTATTATATTTAGTACTTATTTAACAATATATCCTAGTGCTCAAATCGGGGTTGTTTGGTTTAAGTCATTTCTCTTTATTAGAGATATAGAAACTATAAATGTATGGTCTACAGTACTTCAAGTAATCCAAAACGAATGCGTCGATGGATTCGAAAGAAACCAATTTTAGATTTCTTTATATGAAGGCATATGAAGCTCTGCACACCAGCACACGATAAAACATTTAGAGTTCAGAAAATTATTATTTTTTCGGCGATAACTGCTTTACTACTATAGATTAAATAAAATTAATATTGCACCAATTTAAGCGCGCGTGTTTTATTACAGTTTTAGAAGATTCTGTTCTATTGCAGACTGCGTGATAGCGATAGGTCGTATTTGAACAGATTCACGTATTTAACTATTCATATTAAAAAAAATTGTACACGTTCACAAAAAAATCAAATGAATAACGTGCGCAGTAACATAAGAAACAATTTCGTTAATTCATTTTCATACTGTGATGAGTAACTTCAAAATAGACTGCGAAATTTTGGCCCGACTTGATGTACTTGATGATATCTGCAATTAAAAACAACATAACCATGGTTATCGTCCTATTTTTGCCGTAATTATGATAAATTATATATCAACTAATAATCTTTTAACTATGGTAACCCAGAAACTGACGTGAATCAAACAACCGATCAATGTTACTAATTTATAATGATTTTAATTGGATTGTTCTTATTTTGTACTTAAATTCTAACAATATATAAATGGTTTAATAACATTATATATGTTAAATATTACGCACAGAAAGAATCAGGTCATTGGTAGAATTTTGTTAAGTCTAAAGTTCACTTTTACCTATATAACATAATGATATAAATTTACGGCCAATAATGACCCTAGTGATATTCCAATCACCTAGTGAAACACCAGTATGAACTGTGCCTTATTTTTTGTCACCAAATACGTAGATTTTTTTAACTTATTATATTTATTGTTTAATTATACAGAAAGGATGTTATCACCTTTTATAATAATAATTTTCTATGGCGATGATAGTAAATTACATTTTCCTTCGCAGTCAGTCCAATAAACAACGTCAATATTTATAAATATAATTAAGAGGGCAAAATATAAGACATCGGTTAATATATTTTTATAGATCTGTTTTTTAACTTTCGTGTTTAATATTGACTGTAATCTTAAAAATTTCATGTACTGCACGTCAGATTACCACAATATGTCAAATTACCTTATTTGGTACTCTAGCCACAATGCATTAAGGTTTAAAATCAAGTGCAGAAATTTGACTGTTTTGTTTAGTCTGGCATGCTTTTGACTACACTTATAGATTTAAATAAAAACAATAACATTTTACTTTAAATCATCTTAATATCGAGATTAACACAGTAGTGCCATATTAATAAGAGTAGTTGATGTATGTGCATCCGAGGGGACGTTCTAATTGGATAACGATGGTACGAGCAAAGGTGCGACGACACGCCAATTGCGAATCGGACTCGCGCATGAAGGGTTCCGTAATCACGTTTCTTGTACGGGAGCCCATGGGTTATGGATTTATCTTGCACGAACCAAAATATAAACTATTAACCGGAAATAAAAAAGTGTGTAATCGAAAATTATAATAATAAATTTAACTAACTACATGTATTTTTAATTATCAATATATAACCATTATAATCGATGTATAAAAGACGTATGTTTCTAAAGTAAAAAATCAAATAATCACGCGTTTGAAAGTAGAATACTTTCTGCCGCGCAATTTTTCTGGCGATCTACACACAATTTTGATTTTTTGTTTGTGAAAATATTATAACACTTACATTGCTCCTGTTTTTCTTGTTATATAGGTAGATTACTAAAAAAAGACGGTATTTTTATTGACCGCTGGCTTGCGAACCTCTTGAGAGGCTCGCGGGAACGGCGTGTCACGCGACCAAATCTTCTTAAGAGACTCGTAGTTAGGTATGCAAGCTGCCTATGCTGTTGCAGATGCTGCTGTGATTACGGCAACAATTAATAAATATAAATTTCAGAGATAAAATTGGATTAATTTTTCTTTCGATTTTTTTATAATAATACTCTTTCTTTGAGTACTGATTAGAATCTAGATTTCTCATACAGTCAGTTTGAATGTGTATTTGTATTATTTTTGGTTAGGTGGTCTAATAAATCTCATTGTGATCAAACGGTTCCACCTCGTCGAATAATAATACGTTGTGTATTACACTTTACGGTTATTGAAACAAGACTCATTATACATTTCTTGAATTTATAATCTTCAATTAAGATACTCCAAAGAATTTTGTGGTATCCCACGACGAAATCGTATCCTTTGGTCGTATCCAATTAGGACGACGGCTACAGCCAGACCCTTGGTCATATGTTAATTAATTATGAACCTTCATTTTTATTTAATCACTGAACATAATTAAATATTCACTTTTTCATTTCTAACGAACATAAAAAATATATGTAACCTTATTTCTGTGGTTCTACTGTGCCATGAATCGAAATTTATGTCTTCAGTTATACCACAGTTCCTGAATATGATCTGTATATTTCAAATTAGGTTATGTGTAGGGTTGTCAATATATATTTCTAATTTTTTACGGATAAAATAAAAAAAATGTAATGCTTTAACGTTATTTAGGTATATGCAAAAGGCTAAATTATATTTTAAAAGACGTGAAAATGTTACTTAAGTTTTAGCATGCAAATTGAATTTAATACAACAATATAATTACACAACTGGAAATTAATATGTGAGTATACATTAATCGTGATAAAAAAATAATTATATCATCGTTCATCTTAGTAAACCTATGTTAAATCAGTTAAATATATTGTAAATCAGATTCAGTTTGCATAATTACGTCTTTAATTGCCTTTTAATTTTAATGCCTTCGCTTTCGGTATACTATTATGTATTTATATTGTATAATAAAATTGACAACCCTAGCTTAATAAGACACTATTAATTAAGTTTTCAACATTATTAATTTTCTTTACATTTGAAGTGTGTAGCGATATCTTATATTGTTTTTTTGTTTAAGTTAATTTAATAAATATTTATTAAAACTTCGTTTCATATCACAATCGCTAGGAAGCTTTCAGACATTCGGTCAAGGCTTTCCTTAATTATAAGGTTGTAAATTATTAATTAATTCGACATAATTTGTATTAGTGACATTTATAATTGATATGCTTAAAACTAATCGCTAACTGAATACAAAGAAAGTATATACTGAGAAGCAGTCCCGTTCATATGTAAGAGTTTGCGGAAATGTACCTGGAATGTGGTTCGAGTGTTGCCAGTGGCAGATTATGTTTAAGGCACTCTTAGACATGTACCTAGAAATGCAACTTTAGAAAGGGCACGTTGTTTGACGAAAAAGTACTTTTTTGATAAAGCGAACGAAAATGCGATGTAAGGCCTGATTTGAGAACCAGCGTCGCCGATTTTCTGGCAAAAGCACACGACTTGTACTAGGTTAAGGCATTCATACATTTACTAGTATTAAATTATCAAAGTATAAAAAATAATAAATTTCTTCATATTACTACTACAGGAAAGGAAGTGAGTGCACTTGCCTAGGGCGCAGTCGACCTTAATCCACAGCTGGATGGTGCATTTGAAAATTAATGTATTTGAATAAACTTTTATCATGGCCAGCATTCTTTTGCGGTACCGCAGTCAATTATGACATTTAATTTATTGTATTCTCTTGTGTCTTTGAAATAAGAGAAGCTCGTCAGAGTTTAACTTCATCAATTCAGCCGAGAGACCGCCCACTGCTGAGCATAGGCATAGTTTAACTTAGCGATAACTTTTACCGCTAAAGGCGCTGTACCAAATTCGATACTAAGATTTTGCTCATTCTCTAGCAAAAGCCGACTTGAAAACTCATACTAAATACCCAGAACGTCAACGTCACTTGTGTTCAACATTGGCGGTTATATAAAAAATGGAACTTATATTCTCAATGGACAATATACTTTTATTATACTCTTCTGTATTCAACGAAAATTACCTCATTACCTATCTCGTTATGGCATTGAGAGAAACACAGAAAATAGACCTATAACTTGCAGTAAATTGTAAAGGATTTAACCCGATTAGAATATTCCCGACGAATTGACCGAGTTACACCAATTATTGTTGAGTTCTCAACAATTTATTGCAATGCCACGCGAATATTTATATGACTTATTACATGTCTTAACTATTATAAATACCAAAAAGTTTTGAGCTGAAATAGAATCGTTGATACTCGTGAACTATGCCAGTAAGAAGGTTGTCTAATTAAAAAAAAAACTACTATTAAGAAAAACTTGTGTAGGTGTATTTAAATAAGTTTTAAAATGATCTTCAGAAGCATGTATGAAATAATTTTGAAAACGGAACGAAAATAGATGTACATAGTTATATTTTTCAATTCTTTCGGTGTGGGCTTGTTATCCTTTTGCATGCATCTAGATAGAATGTCTATATTTTTTTTTTCAATAACGTTGATGTTTCGCTCATTACTGAATAGATGAATCATACCCCCGATTTAGGTGCTTTATGCTGATGCAATATTGTGTGTTTATATTAATAGTGTGCGTCGTTAAAATATATGTTTCACTAACACAATTATAATTTCACTCAGCGTTCGTATCCTCGACTTTTTAGGGACATTACGTTTTTAATAAGATAAAAAAAGTCTTGAAGTACGTATTCATATATTTTAATTATGATTAATGGACACAAATTCTGCCTACCTAGGTATATTTGAACCTTTATTGAATATTAATAACTGACAACTGAATATTTTATATTGACCTTAAATTAATATAAAAAATAGCTTTTAGTTGTCAAAAGTTAGGACTTTGATAAACACATACAGTGCTACTAATAAAAAAAGGTATTGCGTCAGAGTAAATTTACGCTAAAATTGCAATTTAAGTATTATATAATATTATATAATATAGCAATTTGCAGAGTATTATTATACAGAGAATAAGCAAGCTCACTACCTTCTGGAAGTAAATATTACTCCCGTAGAACCTTGTAGTAGGTTAGCCTTTGCTAAGTTTTTTTTTAATTATATGAATTTGGACTAATACTAAATGCAATCTCAGTATTAATTCTAACTCTAACGCTTAATCTGGTTTATTAATAACACTGGTAGACAACAACTTCTTCAAAACAAAAATCCAAAGGGGTTTGGATTATTTTATAATTATCGATTAGTATAAAAAAAGTGTCTAATAATTATATTTATGATAAATCTAAATTAGTTAAAAAGGGTGAGATACGAGGGTCAAACTGAAAGTTCTTAGAAAATCAAAAACTGATTACATTAGCCAGTTATTAGTTTTATTATATCTTTTCAAAATATTGTCCATTCACGTCAATACACCGCTGCATGCGATGGAACCACTGGGAAAAGCACTTTGCCCACTCGTCCTTAGGGGTCTCTTCAATGGCATCGCGATACGCAGCCACCGCTTCTTCAGCATTCATAAACCGCTTTCCTTTAAGTTTTTCTTTAATTTTTGGAAATAAATAAAAATCACAAGGCGCGAGGTCGGGGCTATACGGCGGGTGACCCAGTAATTCAACGTTTGATGTCGCCAAATAGTCGATCGTTCGCTTGGCGGTGTGCGACGAGGCGTTGTCGTGGTGAAGGAGGATCCTACTGCGAGGTCGTTTCTCTCGAACTTTTTCCAAGACAAGTGGCAAACAATTGGTAGTGTACCATTCTGCAGAAACTGTTTTTTGATCCTCTAACACAATTGTTGCAAAATGACCTATCCTTCCAAAGAACGAGGCCACCATTTTTTTTCCCGCACTTCGATCTCTCTTCACTTTAGTTGGCAACTCCTCGAAAGGAAACACCCACTGAGCAGATTGTCTTTTGGTTTTAGGATCATAACAGTAAATCCAGCTTTCGTCACCTGTTAGTATGTCGAACACAGCATTTGAGTCACCTCCGTTAAATCTTTCAATCATTTTACGACACCAATCCACACGATGGAGTTTTTGAGCCTCAGTCAAATTATGAGGTATCCACCGGGCGCAAAGCTTCCTGACCGCTAAATGTTCGTGGAGGATTTTGTGCACTTGACTCATACCGATGCCTAAGCTTGTCCGAATCTGTTGATAGGTCACTCTTTTGTCAGTCTCTATCATACGCCGCACAACACAGATGTTATCTTCAGTCGTCGCCGTAGAAGGCCGTCCCTCACGTAAATCATCAGTGAGATTAGTGCGACCACGTTTAAACTCATTAAACCAGTTGTAAACAGTCGCACGAGATGGGGCTTCATCGTGAAAGGCCAATCGTAGTCTATCATAACTTTCTTGTTGACTTAAATGACATCGAAAGTCATAAAAAATCATTGCACGAAAATTTTCTCGTGTTAAATTCATGATGACGTGACACAGACAATTTTCAATTTGCCGCCAAATCGTAAAACAAATGACAAATGAATGAAATATATACTCAGTAATATTGGCAAAGAGTTATATTTTCAAATTTTAGAATTATTTTTTTATTATATTGTTTATAAGTGGCCAGTTCTAAGAACTTTCAGTTTGACCCTCGTAGTTTCTATGAGAGACATATTATAACCTAATATATTTTTCTACGTAACTTAATTATAGATAAAATAAATCATTCACAAGTTGCGTGACAATGAACCAGAATGCATGACGTCACTTGTTCACGAATGTCATCGGACATTTTCTATAGACACATGTACACATCACCCTATCTATCGGTTCCAGTGTTTGTTAACATATGACGTCATATAATATTATAAGTATAATCGTATTCCAAATTAATTTGGTTAATATTTGAGGTGGTACTAACTTAGTATTTTTGCACGAATTTATAACATTTTCCAGAACAATCAACAATTTGTTACATCATCTTACATAGGAGTGTACATTATTTTTGTGTGACTTTCGGCCCGTTGCACAAATGTCTACTATAATTGTCATTAGTTTAATGCGACATTACCGTCACAAATTTTAATATTTTGTACATTCATTAGAGCTTAAAGTCATCATCAAACCTTAATTAACGTTTTTGCAACTGGTCGTTTGTCAGGAAATTATAATCAATAGACTGTTGAGTATCTTTATTTATATAGGACATTGGAATTCAGGAAAGTCTCTATTTTAAATTGTCAAACAGTCTGACGTTTTAAGCATGCTTTAAAATTTGTAATATTAATGGACGCAGTAAGTCATAAAATTAATTGTGTATAGTTCATAATATAATTATAAAAACATATATATTTTTTATTATTGCACGTTTGAAAGCTTTTTACGATTGTGATATTTATTTATTGTTTTATTTTGCCATCAGTCCACTCCCTTCGGTGTTGCAAGTTTTTTTTTTATCATAGACTAGATTCGCTTTCATCAGTGTTTTTTTTTATATAGCCACACTCTCTGTATCGCTGATCAGGTAAGAAGATTTTGTGAAAGAAATAGCTTTTTTAGTTATAACATTTAACACATGTATATTGCTTATTTAATGTCATCTTATGCTGTAACAACTAAAATTATTTCATACATGCTTTTATTACAAAATTACAAATTTCCTTTTTATATTCTAAAAATATTATCTTCGTATGTATATCTTTGAACTAAGGGAACGGATAAAAAACAATCAAAAAATACATAATTCACAACACACATATTTTGTCTTCATTTTATATAACAGTAAATATAAATCTCAAACTACAATGTTATCCGCAATACTTTTGTTTATAATTTATGTGATAATCAGATTATTTTCTTATAACAACTGTACCTATACTATTACGATATATACCTCGATCTAGAATATTTTATTTCGAAATGAACATATAGCTTGAGCTCATCAGATCTTTTTAGAACGGTTCATTCAATTAACGCTGCTTATGGTTTTATTTCGACAGTGGCAGATAACTTTGCGTGGCGTGAAGATTCGTCTGGTAGTGAAGCTGACGCACCACACTACCCGCTAGATCTGAGACTCGCTGAGGCTAGGTGAGTTCTGCGTCTAGTTTAATGTCGCATTTGTAGTACTATTTGTACGAATGGATATGACACCCCAGGACTCCATGCTCCTCGCGTTATCCACCACCATGCGAGCTCAGTAGCGGTAGGTCTGGAATAGGGTTTTGTGAAATAAAACTTGTTGCTGTTTATTATTTTAATTTTAAAAAGCTATACAACATATATTTCGGTAGAATAAACACATCATAATTTTAACTTTTTTATACCTACGAAAACGCTGTCGATCATTGTCATGACGTCATTGTGATATTTACACAAAACAGATGCATAGAGTAAAGCTTAAAAGATGTCAATAAAACAAGAACAATGCCACGAACGATCGATTGCGAAATAAAAAGATGGGCTAAGAACTAAAAATGGACTAATAACAGCGCTATTAGTCTAAGATCCGAACCTAAAACGACCTTCACCGGGTTGATAATGGAATAAAACTTATTATATAATTAATTAAGTATATTAGAAAATATATTAAAAATGGGTTCGCTAAAAAAATCCTGGACAGAATATTTTTAATTATTTTCTTTAAAATATTTTTTTATTACATGTTGCAACATCAAGATAATAAGAAAAATTTAATTCTGACTTAAAGTATAAAACATATAGAATGTGCAGACGTTGGGTTGTCTATTATTTACCTGGACGAACTACTGGGTTGTCACGTATAAACAGGTATATCGATGCCAGTTAATTTCACTTGATTTGATAATAAAAAAAATTTTATATCAACATAAGCGCTGTTTCATTACGAACACATTGATATAGGGTTGTCTGCAAAAAATTCGGTCCTAATACGGGTTTGCGAATTTTAAAAATTAAAATTTTAACGCGTGGGAAAGTGAGTGACAGAGAGATCCGAGGAAAGTATACCGTGTAATAGTAAAGGACCCAACATTGCAGTCGCATCTGATTGGACCCTGAATATATGAAAGTGCGCATGCTCGGAATGTAAAATATGGAGGGTGGAGGTACTACTACCCCTCCGTATAGTAAACACTGCACGTTATTTTGGAGCAACTGAAATTTGATTTGCAAAAAAAAATTAATTAATTTCATAACAATCTAATATATTCAATATTAAATAATATAAAAATAATTTTTTTATGCATATACATTCACTAAAAATAATAGTTTTCAGCTCAAACAATAGAGTGATTAAGAATCCATTAAACATTTCTTTTATTTTTATCATTTTAAATAAAAACCAAAATTTTATCATTTTAAATGAAAATATATCCATATTTTCATCAAGTTTTAAGAAATATTAACTTTTTTTTTGTTTACCCCTATTTGAATAAATACTAAAAAATTTCCTTACCTCATCCAATTCCGTGGAAGTGTGAGATGTTAAATCGGTATTACTTTCTTCACCCTCAGCAACCGCTTTACTACAATTTACACTAGAAGATAGGCATTCTGTGCCTTCATCAGTGATTGCAGTATTGACATTTTTCTAGAAGTAATTTTATTTTAATGTTTGAAATTTTATTTTTACAAAAAACTTCATGCAAGTTAATAGTATTTTGTTTTTGTCTAATTTTCTTCGGAAAAATTTAAAAATATTATAAAAACTGAAAGAAGGTAAAAACGACAAATAAAGAAGGTAAGAGATCCTTCAGAAAAATTCTTTGTCAAATAATTTGTTTGATAAAAACGAATTCAACAAACTTAAAAATTGTGCTATTTCGAATTCTACTAGATAATAATTAAAATAATTATATATTATGTACTTACTGAATACTCTGTACAAAAAATTTTAAATTCTTCATTGTATTTTTGTCCTAAAACAGTTACTTTTTTATAACAGGTAATATGGTAACCTATAAAATCGAGCGCTGCTTTAGTAAGCTCAACTTCATGATATTTAAAGTTTTTGTTTTTACGAAAAGCTAGCTTCAACGAACAATTTTTAAAAGTTTCAACAGTAAAATCATTTAAAGAATCGTCCGAACCACACAAAAAACACTTTTAAGCCATTTTTTATCACAACAATACAGAATATATTCAGGGTCCGATCAGATGCGACTGCAATGTTGGGTCCTTTACTATTACACGGTATACTTTCCTCGGATCTCTCTGTCACTCACTTTCCCACGCGTTAAAATTTTAATTTTTAAAATTCGCAAACCCGTATTAGGACCGAATTTTTTGCAGACAACCCTATATCAATGTGTTCGTAATGAAACAGCGCTTATGTTGATATAATTTTTTTTTTATTATCAAATCAAGTGAAATTAACTGGCATCGATATACCTGTTTATACCTGACAACCCAGTAGTTCGTCCAGGTAAATAATAGACAACCCAACGTCTTATTGTACTCATAGGTAGCACTCAGGTATATATGTGCGTGGGATTGGGAGGGGCATATTAGCACATAACTACATTATGATTGTCGGCACGAAATGACATTTGTTATGCTAGATATAAAAAAAATGAATTGTTAGATTTATTTATTTAAGAACGATTTCACTGTGTAGCTCTAACTTATGTTTAGGGTAATGTAAGTAATGTTTTTTGATCCGTGGTTAACTCAACCATTTGTTAAAATCTTTGACCAATGGTTAATTATCAGAAAAATATGTTTTTTGATCAATAGTTAGCCTAACCAACCAATTCTCAGAATTGCAACCATTTGTCAAAAAATTAACCATCGCTGGAAGCTAGGTTAGTAAATAATCAGTGGTTAAAAGAACAGATGTACAACTGCGTTGTATTTACTTGGTCCCTTTTAATTGTTTTTTACGTTGTTTTTATAACCTACATGATTTCATAGTGAATTTGGACATTAGCTATTTTTGGGATTTCGTTTTATGATGCAATTAGGAAAAAACTCATTGTCATTTTTGGGTTATAGGGTTATTGAAAATAAGTTATATTTTTTCTTGTGTCCACGGGCATATACCAATTTATTCAATTATTAAAAATCTTATAAAATCCACGAATAGACAATACAAAAGGTAAATATGCCTACAGTACATAAAATACATATTCCTCGATTTATTTCCCAACATTACAATCCCACCTTGGATACTAGATACTATAAACATCCACACTGTTTGATAATCTATAGATTACTTTCGTCTATTTGATATTTGGAACAAAATCCTAATGTCAAAAAAGGGTATATAGTTCGCTCCGTTCATTCAAACCGTCAGTGTTGTCATCCAGAAAAAAAACCCATGTCAATGTATAGCGAAAAAATGACTCATAGAGCTGGCAACAAATTTGGCATTAAAAACGAAATAGCGAATTAACAACTTGTTAATGTTTTAACTATAGTCAAGTTAACAAATGGTGAAATGACCTTTGACTACGGATCAAAAAACTGGCCCTAAGTGGATCAAACCAGTGTTTATCAGTGGGTAACATAAGATAAAACATAGGTAAGCTGATTATTTCTCTAATACAGGCTACAACTAGAAGAGCGTTTAGCTCAAGAAGCCCGCGAGAGACGTCAGGACGACAAGAAGTTAGATGAGTTCAAGATTAAAAGCTCGTATACCGACGTGAGGAAGAGTCCGGTCGACGATAGGCGGAGAGATCAAGTCCAGTTCGTATTAGGAGGTGATAAGTGAGTATATTCTTTAAAAAATGTCCAGTCGTCGTCGGGGTAAGTAAGTAGTGAATGAGTAACCCTAAATAAAATTAACGTAAAAAATATCTTTATTGAAAAATTCTTGGAAAATGTCCCGTCATCTGAATAATTTTCAAATTAAATAAATTTTAATTAATCTTAATCGAAAGGTTGGAACAACACTACTCCTGTTTTTTTCTTAGTCTACAACAATAAAGGACGAATTTACTTTCCGCAACGAGTAAAATGACAAATTTTGTTATTTCAATGAATTAGACTGACTGACACACATAGGATTCTTTTCGTCGTATTAAATTATCTTTTTATTATAAGTATGAAATTAAATTTTAATGTTCACATATTACTCAAAACTATTAATTGAAACTGTGACTTCACTTATTAAATGACATTATAGATAATGATAATACAGAAAATAGCAGTCATTGTTAAGTTTCTTGACAGTTCTTCTCGGTATAAGGACTCCCGCTGAATTTGCGAACCGATGGCATAGTGTTTCGATTTATACACCATTTTCTATCTTCCCATGACACTCTGGACTACTTTCAAACTTTCATGTCGTTTCTGAAGTATAAAAGAACATGGATGCACTTGGTTGAATATGCATTCTTATATGTTATATTAATTCTAGATTAGTGTTTTCTATACTTTTTGTATTCACGACCCTAGAGGTACATTTATAACTTTCTTTATTAGATATTAATTCATTAACATTTCAAAAAGTATAATGGTGATATAAGTCATTTTTTTTTAAAAAAAAAAGTGTTTTTTTTTTGTTGCGAAAAGAATAATAGAACCTTGACTTTTTATTTTTGCCGGCGACCCCGTAATAAGGCATAGAAGTGGCGTACCAGAAAAACATTGGTAAATTAGTTTAATCTGTAAATATATAAAAAGCGCACAATATTATTAAATATATCATTTTATCTTTTTTAAATATTATAAAGACGAAAGATTTGATTGTTTGTTCGAATCGAACACGCTCCGGAACTATTTGGCCGGCTTTAAAAATTCTGTCAACTTCATTATAGGCGGGTGACGTAGGCTCTTATGCGTGCTAAGTCGCGGGAAAACAGCTAGTATAGTAATAGTTTTATGATGTTCCGCGGATTTGCTTGACCACTCGGGATGCTTCCTGGGACCAATATATACCTACAAGCACTTGTGAAACTTGAAACTCTTAGCCATCGGTGGGCAGATCCAGATTAACGTTCAATTTCTCTTCCCCTTCTACATTTCGTGAAGCCAGATTTTATATTATGTTGTTTATTATTTCATTTAAGGATTTTGAAGCATCCTTTCCATCATAGCTTTTATAACATGTATGAAGAGATTGGTAAAGTTCTCTTTTTTTTATGTAAATATGTATTATATAAAGACAATTTTGGCGGCTGAGGCAAGTACCTGTCGGTGGGAGACCTTGTACTGTTTTTTCTCTGAATAAACGTTTTTGCTTTGGATTGGTCAGTGTGAACTGGACTGGTGAGGATCTGTCTCGTGCTCCGCACTCGCAGTCTCAGCCGCAACTGCGCGCGTCCCTCCGCGGGGCGCCGCTCCCCCCGCCCCGCCGGCCCCTCTCCTCAGGCCTCATCGTGAGGTCTCGGAGCACCGACGTGGTGGCCCTCACTGACGACCCGAGACCGCCGCCGCGTAACCCATTCACCAAGCAGAAGGCACTAGTTGAAGGTCAGTTGTAGATACATACAGTAGGGGAGCACTATAGTTCTCCGAAAATTTCGTATATTTTCCGAACTGTAATATCATCATCATCAGCCTTTTTACGTCCCCACTACAGGGATCATCCTTATGGATTGTTAAGGAGGATTGGTCAAGACCCCCCCACGCTGGCCCAATGCGGATTAGAGGTTATTGACGACTGCAAATGTAGCCGGGGCACGGTGCTTCCGAAGCACGGAGCCGAGATAATAATTTTTTGATAACCCATCCCTTGACCAACCCTTGGGAAAGTTGCTTAACATCAACGATTGCGTGCCATGGTACTTATCCTTTACGCCACTAGCTATTCTGACTGTAATATGACCACAGAGAAACCTGTTTTTTATATTTAATGATGCAGCGAAGGTAGGACCTGACCCCGCCTCTCGTGCACAAATAATCTTCACGAATATGAGTTTAACAAAATTATAAGAACGATTGGAGATTATCCGAACTTTCGTTTGACGGTAAGCAACTTTCGTAAACGCCAGTCATTAGATGGGTGACTAGAATTTCACTAACCCGATCTCAGCATTATTTGCAGTATTCAACAAACACCAATCCGCCCTGGGCCCGAGCGGTCCTCTAATTTGTCCCTACATTGATGAGCTGATGATAAAACACGCAGATATTAACCACAGATTCTATTCAAGCTGAGACGCCGACGCCTTCGAGCAACACTCCTCCAGAAGAGGAGTCCACGGACTCTTCCCTGATGGAAGACGAGAGTGTTCCGAAGCCGCGGAAGCGTCGTATCCAATTGCCGTTCGGGAAGAAAGCTAAAACGCCCGCGTGACAGAGACAGAGCGATTTACGTTGCGCTATATGCCTTCAACCACATCACACCTACTGGGACTACGGCTGTCGGCTACGATAGTAAGTCATCATCGTTGAACGGGTAATATAAACACCATTTTAAGGGTGCGGTTCCATTTGGCAGCTATTAATTGGTGTTCTCGCTTTCACCTCTCAGGTCGACAATGAATAATTATCTACATTATATTTTATAGCTGTCAGTGGGATCGCACCCTTATTTATTATTGTCTGTGATTGAGAAACTGATATTTAGTATACACGAATGTTGTGATAAACGGCCTATATGGAAATTTTACGTAAAGTTGTCAATTTTCTTTTAATGACGTTCAAAAGTTGAGAACACATTGAACCGTCTGTAGTTCATATATTAGAAAATATATAATTTGGTCGATTGTAATGAAATAGCAATAATACTAAGAGATAAATAACCGAGCGCCTGCGTTCAGACTTTTTGGGAACCGCGCGGTTTTAGCTCATATATATTTAATGAAATAAATCTCGAGCAAAAATATTGCACGAGTCTATTTATTTAAACGTTTTTTTTTTTCAGCTAAAGCTCCTAAATGTGAAAACCCTCCATGCTGACTATTTATCTCATGGCGATTTTAGTATTTGGTTGTACTCGGTTGATTTCTCACCAGTTGTAACTGTTCCTAGTTTCGTTTAATACTCAGTGCAAATACCTGTTCTAATCTATTCTTATATTAACAAATCGGACCTAAATTCGTGAAATTTTAGATAGTACTTCGTTCGTCTATATCTCTTTGTCTATATTCTTTCGTCTTACACTTACTTGTTTATGAAATCTTCTCCCTGGCGCCAGTCGTAACTTGGGGTATCAAGAAAATTACTAGGTGAACAACACACGGACGGGAAATATGACCCCTTATTATGAACTAGCATAGGGTCTAAATTACAAAAATACTAGGTGGATTAAGTATTCAGAAAATTAGAACCGGTGCCACGTATTGTAAAATACTTGATATGTAAATGTACACACTTCTAATATTTTTGGTATTATATGATCAAGTAAAAGTATCTGTTACAGAAAGAGATTAAATCGTCAGTGATACGAACACTCCCCAACTTTAATGCCTATTATCTAATCCATTTCTCATTAAACTGAAGCAAAAAAAAAAAAAGTATCTAATATTTTTCTTTTATCTGACTGACGTACTAAATTGAATTTCTTTACCCTGGCATCATACCTATTGAGGCAATAGTCAAATGGAGTTAAAATGTTTGTTTAGCTTTAGTTTTATTTTTTAAAAACAATTAGAATCGATTACAGTCGCGCAGTTCTCGTGATTTCTGAACGTGTACTGAGGGTGTAACTGTTTGAATGTCATTTATATTTATTATGAACAGTTACGATAATATTGTGAAGCTCTGACCAAGTTTGTTGAGGCCGAATTGCTTTTTTTTGGTGGTGGTGTATATTTTTTGTCCAATCATGTTTATGGTTTCGCACTGCACCATAGTATCAATGATAATTATTTAATAAATATATGTATACAATTATTCTTTTTGATGGAGTTTTAATTAATTTTATATTTATATTCATGTGCAGTAAAATTATGTGTATATTCAATTTTTGTAAATAATAATGTTTCATTTGATAATTCTGAATAAATAACTTATTAATCCGTGTTACGAACAATTGAAAATAGAAAAAAGGAATAATATCAGTTGGTAGCTTTTGAGAGAATTTTTTCTTTATAAATTAACCATCGTCTATTTATACAGGAAAAATATGTGTTCAGTGCACAAGTACGTCGCCATTTATGGTGAACCAGTAGGTTCACTAAGGCCGATGACTGTTTTATCTAGTCTTGGGCTTAATAGTTCGCAACTGATTAGTTCGTGTAGATTCCTAGCTCTTCGCTCTTTGCAGCAGGAGCAGTATTAAAACGAGCGAACTGTTAGAGCGAGGCTCTCCGTAAGAATTTAAAAAAATATATAAATAAAACAAAGAAATAGTATGAAATTATGGAACTAGCTACCACGGAGGAATGGGACTGGAGCGCTCGGGATGCGGGCGCGCCGGCTACAGGGCGAAAAGTGATTTATTAGGGTTATATGCACTTTAGTATACATCAAAGGGATCTAACAGAACGATCTGGCTTATATTTAAATATTTTAAGGCAGTTTGTTCCCTCGTTTTGATACTGCTCCTCCTAGTAGCGGCACTAAATTCTAGATCACTGGAAATTTACAACAACGTATTGGACACAAAAATAACATAAAGAGACATATGAACTAATATACGTAAAATATATTTATTTAATGTAAATAACTATGTTTATTGTTTAGGCAGTGATTAAAAAACTTTATATTTTTAACGAGACGACATTAGTTCGGTTGACTTCATCTATACTCATTCTATCAGGAACTATGTAACGGGAAATGTGGGAACTAGTTCGCGTAATTCTTCTGTGGGAGCCGTTCTTTCGAACTAGTTCGTTGGCGAACTAAACAAGACTAGTTTTTTGTCAATAAATTACAGTTTATAAACGTGATTCTTTTTTTATTGAAATTTCATTCGTAAATTTATACAATACTTAATAAATGTGCACTCATAACAAATTTTTCCTGTTCCTGTTTACTTGGCAGAGTAAAATATTATTTGTATGCATACCGTTTATAAGAGTATTCTTACTTTTAATAACATAATTTTCGAATTAGTGTTTAACAAGATTTTATCTATCTAACTATATGTTTGGAATGTTATATTTATTTAAAACTTGATGCTTCCGAAACCCGTTTCTTTACTATTAAAATGTGTTTTTATTTTAAATATCAGGTAAATTTCTTCTTTAAAGATAGACGACATTTGATGTCTTTATAATTATTACCAGTTCAAAATAAAAACTCAATATTTTTATTCGTTTAAACAAAATCTTTTAAAAGTTTTCTCATAAAAAAAATTATCATTAATCGGAATTTGTGTCAATAAAAGTCTTTTATATTATTATTTTGAAGTGGTTGTGAGCTTTTTATCTGTGAGTTGTTAATTATTCATTGAACTCACCATTAATAGTAAAGTATATTAAAATATATAATTTATTTATGAAAACGTACAGTATAAGGTACATTCTTTAGTACAAGGCTTTGTTTTAATTGAGTAGAACTCCTCCGTACTCTCGAAGTTAAACTAAGCTGACTCCGCGTGTTAGGTCATAGCCCATTCTTCGTATTCCGTTCAATTGAAAGGACAGGCCTGTGCTCAAGGGACATTAATAGTCTGATAATGAATGACGACTATAATTTTCATCGCATAACGAAATCGCATCATTAGCTCGTACTGACGTTATCATATTAGGACGCTCCTTAATATCTTGTGTGAAAGATTTTTGTTTTCGCCTATTATAAATTGAATCAGATCAGTAACTACTTAATATATTCAAATGTTGTATTTCAATAATGGAGATTAAAATAAATATACAGAAGAGAGTTACGATTTGTGTGTCTTTTAGAGATCATTGTTTAAGCGAAATTAGAATTATATTAAATTAGTTTAAAAATTAGCGAATGTAGCTCATCGGTTTAGACGTCTAGCTATCCTAGGTGGACAGTGTTCTATCCTAGCTGTTGTATTGTTGACAAGTGTTTGCCTTAAACGTCGAGTTAGTTTATATTACTGTCTGATTATTAAACTGGGACTAACTTTAGTACCAGGTTTAAACCATTATCCGACCAAAATAAATCAACACGACTCACTTTGACGTTTTCTCTTTTGTCGTTGACAGTTCGCTGTACGCGACCATTAAAGCCAGACTAACTTTAGTCCTCTTTTTATAATAAGACATTTAATATCCAGCTTATTATATAATATACTTAACTTTGTTTCAAATGAATATTTATATTATCATTAAAATAGTGACTTTTAATTTTTGCTTTAGAATTATTCCAGAAATGTCCACTAATCTATCCCCATCACTAGGGATTTTTCCAGTGAACTCTACTGACTATGAAGCCTAGATCTAGACTATGTGAATAGCCGGGGGGATGTCTGGAAAAACCACGAGTGGAATCTTATCAATGGAATTCTAGAATAATCCGTGCTTTAACGTTAATAAAATTTGTGTTGCTAGCGTAATGTTTGCTGTATAATTTATTAACAAATTAATCATATCGCATCATTCCTTGTTTTGTAGCTATGTTCATGATAGCGATATATGTTGTCCTTTAGCTGTTATATGTAGTATTAATTTAAGGCGAATATGGTGCTAAATGATAGACTCCCTTCAGACTGAACACCGTGCATGGCTCAAATTTTTATATACCAATATTTTAGTGGGGTGGCGTGATTACAATAATTTTGATGACTCGAAACGTCTCGTTTAGTGAAATTTACACGTAATAAGTTTTTACAATCGTTAATTACCCAGCTAATACATATTTATGGTATATATTAAATTGTAATAATACTGTTCATTTTTTGTGTCTAACCATGCAGTAATTATTAAGTTGAATGTACTTAAATTGAATTTAATACAGGTATTTTGTACTGTTGCAGTACAAACATTGTAGTTTTCGACAAGTGAACGTAGATAAATTAGCCATATATATAAGTTTCGAGAGTTTAAAAATTAAATTATTTTACTCCTGGAATCCACTTCGAATTGTATATGTTTTCACTTAGTGGTTTGTATGAAACATTATCAAAATGAAAATTTTCATATTGTTTTTACAGATTCTAAATAAATAAATGCCAGTTTATGTTCAAATTAATATGTAACGAGGTATTTTCATTTTATATGCACCAACATATTCACATACTTATTATTAGAAACCCTATTAAGTTATTATAAAAGAAATTAGATGAAATTATTTGAAATGCATAAGTACGTACTTACATTATACTTAGCTACTTTATATTAAACATATAGTTAATGATATAGTTTACGTAGTAATGAATTATTTATCAAGGCCTTTATTTATTAAATTAATAATGCAATAAGATGTAGCTTCAAATACTTCTTCTTCTTGGTCGCTGTCTTCACTGCTGAAGGTCGTGTCCCTTATGAAAGTTACGTAGACATCCCTGAAGCCTTGATGATTTGCTTCCACACTACCCTATCCTCTGCTTAGCGTAGAGTGGCCGGTACGTTGAGTCCAGTTACGGTTTTTATAAGATCAGACCACCGGGTAGGTGAACGACCTCGTCTACGTTTGCCATCTATTTTCCTTATAATGACCAACTTGTCTAAGCTATTGGGTTGTCTTCTAGCATGACCAAAGTAACTCAGTACTCTCTGATAGCAGACGGTGGATAATCTGGTCCCGATCCTCAGTTGTTCAAATACTTAGTGGCATAAAAATATACTAAAAGGTAGGTGCATATCTAAAGGAAGCTGTGTTGTGTCGGTTGGACCTTGCACACTCAATGGAAATTTCGTCGCGCATGAAAATACTTCTGCGAGACGATTGAACTATCTCTTGAATGATCTTCAGTCAGATTTGTACCGGCCCTCTGTTTCGATCGCTCTTCAATGCCATTAACACCATCGAATATTTGACGCTTACTGGAGGTTTATATTTTTATGATAAAAATATTGGATGCCACATTGCAATGTGGAACAAACGCTGCAACTAGAGGCAATCAATTCAAACAAATATTCTAGACAGACGATATTTTCTACACATACACACTTGACGACCGACACTGTATTATCTCAAAAATGCTATTTTACGAGCCGCTTTGGTGCTCTTAAAATACAACCTCGAACTATATATGGACGTTTTCTCATAATCGTTCCATAACGTGTATCTAATTTTTATATCGATATTGAAAACAGTTTTTAGATATTGATATCAGGGAATCGTTAACTTAGTAAATATTAATATAAGCGCTCTTAAAAAGACATTACTGCTATGAAAGTATTTTTTGCAAGCTTCGAGCGTTCGTTGGATACAATATTCGCTCCATCTGCTTTTGCCTTATGGTATTTAAAAAAGAGAAAGGGCGAATATCAAGCTAAAACGTTTAGGAAATACGATACCGTTCTGTAGATTCATGTTTAGGTTTTATATGGTTGAACCTCTGTTGACTTTAAGCGCTGCGTTCGAAGAGCTAGGCTTTAAGAGCACTACAGATATATTTCTATTACTGTTTGTCCACCGCGTAATAACCTAAATAAAACAGTTTCCGAAGGCTGTCTATTCTAATTAATACTATGTTGAGCATTGTACTTTTGTAGTGAAATATTATAATGGGTCGACTTAATTGGCTACAAATGTCGGAGAAAATGATGCAATTTACAACGTGCGAGCGCATGCAGACATGCCGGCAAAAACTGACACCCCGGACAAGTATGCACTTGATCATATAAGCATTCTCACTGTGTTGTGCGAGTAATGGATATTTTGTCACGTTTGTATGCTTACATTTTATTTGAACCAAATCACTTATATACGTACGCGTCTGGCTGGGGCTTTACAAAATCGTCCGCACCCGCAAGCGCCATAATAATTACGTCATTGAACCACCGCACGAAGAAATTAATAGTTTGTTCGTACGACCTATACACAATTACGTCGCCCTTTTAAATGTGTTGCTAGTGTCTAAATAGCTTATTGAAAACTTCATTGTCATCTTAAATTCCGAAATTGCAATGTGAAAATTGAAGCATACAAGAATAAATAAGAGATATTATGAACTCTTCACAACCTTCGGTAGACCTCGTTACACATATTATTAATAATCTTGTTTTAGATTAGTTTTGTTTCACGAGATGTATATTTTTTTTAGACTTGAGATCTGACACTGTTAAAAGACATATCGTGATACATTTTACAGTATTGAAAGTCAATAAATATCTGAAAGAGATAACTTGTTTTATTTCAATCATAAAAGGGTACTACCACTCACCACACAGTTATAAAATAAAGCAAATTTTTATAGAAAATATGATATCTAAATTCTATAGGTTATAAGGTGATTTAAAATAAAACGTATTAGGATTTGTAATTATTGAATTTATTTAAAAATTGTCGTGTACAAATACCCTATAGCTGTACGTGATGCAACTCGACTCTAAAATCGTTTCCGATGTTAAAATTATAATAACACATGTTTTAAGATGTCTAAATCTAACAATTACATGATATTCAATGGTCGTATCGAATCGATGATACGGGACGATTTCAATAGGAACAAAAGTATTGAAAAATAAAGCTGTTTTATTTTTTAATATACATATAGATAGATAGATAGCTAGGAATAACTACCTTTGAAAATTCATAATTAAAACAACACAGTCTCAAAGACTGCATAATGCATCAAACACGTTGTTAACAATATTACAAGCACTGTAACGATACACATCACACTGGGTCTTATTTACTATCACTTAGCTATCATGCCTTCAGCACCGATATTAATACAAATATAAAATAATGGACACAAAAATATATATGACAGACAAGAGGCGGACAACTTTCAACATGGCTAACATTTCCTCTTAGTTTCAGGAATGTTGAGGAGATATTTCCTAATTTTTATGAGTGGTTGCCTAGTGCTCCACGGCAGTCAATTTGTAACATTCGTAAGCGCACTCTTCATCAATTCAATGTCCTGCACGCGTAGCTTGTCGAACTCTAGAGCGTTTTATCTACACTCAAATGTCACTTTTCTCGGGTGCGCCCATACGATTTCTCACTCTTTGACTTGAGAAACTGACAAATTAGTGTAGACAAAGCGTTTCTCGGGTTTATCATGCTACCCGTGTGCAGACCTATAGTGATCGGTATCGCTATTCTGTAATAAAATAGACTTCGAACATAGCCGGTTTTATAAACACTCTTTTCTTAATTTCATCGAAAAATGGCATTGGGTCATGGCTATATGGCCACAAACCACATCAACATTTCTTTTATTTAACGTTTTCTCAATAATAAATACTTAATATAGGTTAACCTACTTCAACGAGATATATAAAAATTGAACATTCTTTTGATTCTATTCAAAATACAAAACACGATTAATTGACTCATACATATCAAATTCGGAATCATATTACGGAATCACTATGCGCTGTTTAAAATAAATGTACAATGAAATAAAAATAAATGTTTCACTTCATTGTAAATCTTTATGTAACAGCACTGTGGTCGACGTAAAGTTCGAGGCCGATTTTATAACAGAATAACATAGCCGAAACCTTCATCAGTTTCACACTCCTCGACTGAAGTACGCATTTTCCGTACGCACTGCGTGAAAATTATGCGCGCGTACGGTTATTTCTGCACTAGGGTTTAATTTACATAGAAAAGACAAGCGCGACTGACGAACGCACCGACGGTCGGTGTTCGGTGCATTGCATTAATACCGAACACAGTCAGTTATGTCATTACAATGCGTCTCAGATAAATATAGTTGAAATAATTTTCATAATCAAATCGGATGCAGTCAATAGCATCACTACATTGCATAAAAAAAGTCTTTCTGTCCTATGTATGCTTAAATCTTTAAAACTACGCAACGGATTACAATGCGGTTTTTTTTCATAGATAGGGTGATTCAAAAGGAAAGTTTTTATGTATAATACGAGACCACGCGGGCGAAGCCGCTGACGGAAAGCTAGTTTATCATAATCAGTTAAATTTTATTCGATAAATGTGTATTTCACAAAAGAGACTATCATTTAACAATCAATCATATTTTATGTTCAAACCCAAACATAAAATCCATTCGTTGGTTCAAATCCGGCTCGAAGGACCAATTCATATTCGAGTTTGAACATAAAGTAAAAGTGATAAATGATAGTCAAATAATTAGTAATCTTTAGTGAAATACATAAACTGATTATGGTAAATGCTTTTGAATGCGTCCAATTTCCACGGCGATTGATTATACACTGAAAATTATTTCAACTATGTTGCCGAGATGCGTTGTAGTGACGTCACAGATGGTGTTCAGTATCAATGAACTGTCGGTGAAGCACTGTAACCGCCCCGAGAGGTTTGTTTAACTAGCAGCAACTGGGTAATATAACAAATATTAACGTCTTACAAAAAGCTTGTTACTATAAGACGTAACATGACACTTCAGTAGATATATATTGACAACTATTAATTACCATTTTATGCGCATTAGCAATCTCGCAAAACACCAACATGCCGACGTTACTCACTGATACTAGAACACAAGTATTTAACAGGGCAGTATGATCAGTATATTTTCTTTACATTATATATATTTAACAGTTACAATTTGATAAATTTAAGTCTTATCCCAATTACAATACTGAATTTAATAGTATATATATATAATTATGACCTCACGGCGGGTGATTCGGACCGAGCAACATTCCTATCAACTATAGTTCGTATTCAAAGTTATAAAAAAAAAAACCGTTCCAGTGCTTATGTTTCAAATCACCCGCAAAGTTTATCTTAAGACACTTACGCACCGAATTTGTTTAGTACTGCCGGGGGTTTAGATTCTCAGCGAATATTTCGGCGTTGCGGCTAGAAGCCTAATAACAGTGCGAATTTGGACCTTATATAATAAGCGCGAAGGTTTGTGTTACCGCTACTGCTGCTTGCACTCGGCAGGGGTGTCGTGTGGCTTCCCGTGCTTCTTCATGCCACGCCTCCTCGGGACCGGTTCATCCTCCTCGCTTTCTTCCGTCGAACATTCTTCCTCCTCCTAATGAGTGATGACGGCAATTATTATACAGTATCATCTAAAAAACGAAGTCGAAGTTTTGTTTTCTACTACAAACGTCATATCTTGTCCACAATATTGTATACTTCCGTGATTAAAATATATTTTTTTTGGATTTAAATAAAAATTAACTTTATCCCAAAAACAATAATCAAAGTTAAAAAGAGCTCCATATTTGATAGTTTTATTTAAATTACATTATAAAAACGTACAAATGACACAAAACTAAAGTGTTTCTGATCAGTATTGCTCCTGGGTGAAATATTAAAGCTGTCCCTAACATACAAATATATATTTATACTGTATAAGAATGTTTCGAAATTATCCATAACTTTGTTACCGGGGAAAGTAATGCTCCTGTCTTTAAGTATACAATAAGGAATATAATCAATTTTGTAATTTACCTTTTCATCTTTAATTTATATTAATGTGAATTCTGCAACCATCCGCATACCGGAGTTCAAACTTGCACAAACTAATTTGCATGCAAATAATATAATGGAAAAAATAAAACACACGGGGATAAGAAGCGTACAATTTTAATGTCAACATTACGACACCATGCCAGAAACGTAAGCTATATCTATACTAATAAGTAGTAACTACACATAGAATAGTTAAATGCAAACTTCAAAAGTTACATATATAAAAAAACTATAGATTCCGACCCTAGCTATTGTCAAGTTAAAATTAGATTACATCTGAAGATCACAGTTTGCGATGTTCAGTGTGTTTATATATTTATAAAAAAATAATGCATTTTGGCACTAACAAGAGATTCCAAACATCAGTTCCTTATATGTGGAACACAGCTGCGACGCGAGGGATTCTACTTCACATTGGAATGAAAGCGTCCATACAGACACATCGTTAAATATAGCCTTAAGGGATTAATAATATCACATGAAATTTTCAAAGTTACACGAAAACAATTAAAACCACGTAAACAAAAATACACACTAATTACTGTATAATAATAATAATAAATAAAAATGAGAAATAGTATAACTCTAACTAAAAATGCAATATAGATTATCGTAACAGACATTTAACTCATTAACATGCATTAATTATTACATTAATTAATCAATAAAAGGCACCGTAATGCACCCCACTTTCATATATAATTATGTAATTGACAGCTCCCAGAGCCTTCGTCGACAATCTCGTTCTAACACATATTTATCTAATCGAGAGATAAATCATGCATAGACGTAAAGAACAGCCTCTTGGCGCGAATTAACATCTAGCGATTAAACACTACTTATACTAATGCGCGACGCGGCCTTCAGGCTGTTCGATGTTTTACGCTCAGACACAAAAAAAAAAATCAAACCTTATCGTTTGGGAACAATAATTTTCTTTACGATATGGAGTGATATGACTGTGATATATTTTAAAGCGCGTCAAAGCACACGTTTGCGATCCGCTGACAATAAGTCATCGAAATCGTCCGAAGGGGGGGGGGACCACGACTGTAACGCGATAGAGGGGGGGGAGGGAAGACCGTAATTCTTGCATCAATCGTCCGCATCGGATACCTCCTCAGTGCCAGAGTCTCCCTCGGAGTACGAATCCTCCTGAAACCAAATGGTACCGCGTTTTCTTTGTGCGCCAAACTAATTGACCGACAGACGTAGATACTGTGTCACGTCTCACAGACAAATGGACTAAGTAGACTCCCCGATACGCGCAACCATTTATACAAGACTAGAGTCCGATGCACGATCGACCATTTTATGCATGTACTACAAAATTAAGCAGAGCACATTAAATAACGATGTGAGAAATCTGTAGCCCTTCTGACCTCTACAGATAATGGAACAGTCAGTCACTAAGATTCTAAATAGCAATATGAGAGAATCAAATCGGTAACTTTTTAGTTTAATTAAATTAAATAATAATCCGTAATATAAAATTTCTAAATATTAGTTTAAAAACTTTTTAATGACTGTGTACCCAACTCTTTAAAAGAAGCGTCGTAGACATTTCATCAAGTCGTCAATTCTCAAATGACTGGCCTTTTATAATAGGAAGATTCTAGAAAATAATGAAAATAAATGCTGCCAAGGAAACTTCTCGAAAGCTTGCAATTTAACTACGTCTAATTAGCTCAATTTGTCTGTGAAAAGACAACATGGGGGCAAACCAAATCAAACACGGACACGTACCTTCGTCTATCATAAATTGAATAAACAAACCCAAAAACTAAGCAAGCAAAGTTACCATGCAAATAATTCGCAATACACTACACTAGATGGCTGTAGAATTCACTATTACGCAATAAAAGCATTCTTAACTACAACTTAACTATAGATTTTTACTTGAAAAAACAAAATTAATTGTGTGACTGTGACATATAGATATAGATTTATCAAAGAGCAAAAAGCGTTAGGTGACGTTTATTGGAATTTACTAATTAGGCCTACTAAATATAACAATCAACTATCCTAGTAAATTAGTAAATTGTTACAGATATTATAAAAAATAAGACTATCATGCACCAAAGACGGGATCGTACCCTGTTGCATGTTTATAAGCTGTTGTTTTTATGTATCTTAATAATTTTCGAACTTATTGCATATGTTAATTATAGAGAGTTCTCAAATAAGATCGAAATGTAGACTTGTTTATTTCCCAAAAACATTGCAGTTAAACAGTTAAGTATTTCTTAACCATGTGTTTTATGCAGAAGCGATTTTAATCCATAAAAAAGTTATTAACTCCAAAAGAACATTTGTTTTAAAATTAAAAAAACAAAGACAATCGAAGTGACAGGAGATAGGAGGAAAGAAATATTGCTGTTTATTTCTATGGCAGTACATTTTTAACTAATTTAAATAAAATACAATTTCTAAACAGATTCAAATTAAACTTACGAAGAGATGTCAAATTTCCTGAATCAATTTCGAACTCTATAGTTAATGTAGGTACTTAAGACTTAAAATCAAGTGGTAAAATAGGATATTTTGCATAACCTAAAGTGCTAGACTGTACGAAATTGAGGGAAAAGGACAGGGCGTCAAGTGAAAGAGAGCATGCACTGACCTCCTCCTCGAAGTCATCTTCGTCGTCATCATCGAGCCCCTCGCCGGTGTAGAGCAGGACGGCACGAGACACGACGCGTTCACGGATATAATGGCCGATCTCGAAATCGGCAGTTAGGAGTGCCTATACAAAACACAATATCAATGAATTCTAGTTGTGGCCGGTTCTGTTGAAATTCCAATAAAATAAATTATTTCATAGATTAATTATAAACAAAATGAAATAATCTATTTGGAATATGAGCACCATCTCTTGGAAGCCAAAACTAATGATGACACTCCAGCTTAACAGCATAATGGCTCATTTAAATCAGTAAATGGGCCAACGATTTCTATGCCTAATTTCATTCCATTATAGATATTGCCTGCACTTAGCATATGGGCCCAATGTAAAAGAAACATTGAACTGAATAAATAACTTTAAATTTGAATGCAGTGTTTTTTGCTTGATAGTTCGTACCTGTATATCGGATGCGAGGGTAGAGTTAGGATCGTCGGGCATAGCGGGAGGGGCGAAGAAGTTGAAGAAAGAGTCCGCCTGAACAGACTTGGTGACAGTGCGAACTGAGCCGCGAGACTTGTGCTTCTGCTTCTTCTTTATCGTCTTCACGGTCACATTCTTGCCCTTCTTCCAGTTGATTTCGCAACCCTGGTCAATATAGATTGACACTATTAGAATGTGTTATATAATGTAAATTCTATATCTGGGATAGTATAGCGTGTTTATGCATATTACTTGGTGTCATTCAACGTTTTTCATTCTACCCCGGAAACAGACAATAGTACTACAGGTACATGTATAATATAAAGTGTGATGTTATACCATTTTCATGTCAGTCTATGCAGTGGTTCGACTTAACTTTTTAAGTATTTTGTTACTATGTAATATATATACTATTCATAACTGGTATTAAATAAATTTCTAACCTTGCATGAATAAATTTCTGGTCCCTCAAACTCTAAAGGATTCTCTTCATCTGGCTTGCATTTCATTGAATATTCTTTTGTTAGCACTGTGTTCGTGAAGTAATCGTTAGGAGCGAAGTGGAACTCTAAGGTGAAGCCAATAGGGTCTTCGTGCATTTGCACTGTAAACATAATAAGTAATTAGTCTATGTCCCTTTTATAAATAACTATAAACATGTACATTAAAATCTTCAGTTGGTGATGCATGTTAAAACAAATCAATCACAATTGATCAGTAAATGGTGTAGGATGTCATCATTTCATACTCTTATTATGTGATATTCTTCAAAATATAATTTCTATGTAATAAAATGTTCAAAGATCATATAGAAGTTTGTATATTAATACCTTTTTAATTTCATTAAAACTTACTTATTGATCAAACCTAACTTGGCTGTTAAAAGCAAATTCTATTTCTTTATTTGTATTGAAAATGCTAAGAATTTTTACTTATATATTTCGTTTACTATACACATTATTTAGTTAAAACAAAAAGAATAATATATGTTTATTAATAAAGACAATTAGAATAATAATAAAATGACAGGTAACCTTTAATGTCCTGCAAGCATTTTAAAATAGGTTCGTCATGTTCTTGCATCATCTCGCATAACATTGACACATTCTTAAATATTGTGTACCAGAAGTCAGGGATTCCTTTTACGTTAGGGTCCATCGGTGGCCTGTGTATAATAAATAAATAATACTTAATACTTCGATAGTGTGTATTGGTAATATAAATGTATTAGAAAAAAATCAGTTGGTGATGCATGTTAAAGAAATCAATCATTGATTTTCAGTAATTGGTGTGTTAGCTCATCATTAAATTTTTTTAAAGTTCTACAGTTAGTGGTAAATATTTGGATACAATTTTGAAACAAATAATCAAATGTTTACACAAGTAAATGAAACGGTACTCTGTCGAAACTGATACAATAGTGACATGGGTGAATCAGGATTTAAATGATTAATCGAACTTACTCGATAGGTTTAATTTCGTCTCCGGGCTGTTTAGTTTTATCATCGGAACCATCTGTGATGGCGGCGCCTTGTACAGCGCGCGCCAACTCCTCCTCTTCCGTCTCATCACGCCACGGATTCTGACACTCATCATCTGTTGGCTCGTAATCCCCACCCACTATTTGAGCTCGCTATGAAATAATAATCAAACGTTTTATTCCAAAACCAGACTGGGTTTACAGATATTAATGCTATTCTTTCATACTTATATAAAAGTATACGCACCCAGTGACGGGTTAAAAGCCTAAAAAAAGTTACTATTGCCAGTACAGCTATTTTTTATACATATAATACTAGTGTCTAATTACAAAGTATTTTTTCATCAACTTTTGCGCCCATAGGCTTATGCTTAGTACCAGAAATAACCAGTAACAATAGTGATTAATTTCTGTTGAGATAATAGCTCATTCAGCTGTAGGGTATGGGCACAACACCCACTGTACTAAACTGTGCTCAAATAATTTTTAAGTTTCACTTTATTTCAGCTGTGTCCAATTAGTGCCCTAGTAAAGAATAAAACATCTATTGAATCACCTTTTCGAAGAGTGGTTTGTAAAGTTTCTCATATTTGCACTCGAGTGCGTGCACTTCGCTGTAGAACTTCGCCTCGATGTCAACGAACTCCTTCTGAAGCGAGCGCAGTGCCCTCACGCGCCGACGAACATTCGGCGGTAACGAAGCCATCGCCTCCGCGTGAAGACGGTTCGTGATCGCGGCAAACATCTCGTTGCGGGTGATGCCGCTGTTGGTAGAACACATTTCTCAGAACTTCATCGCTTATAATTTGGATAATATGTAGTATCAAAAATCCAACATTCACGTTTTACACCTAAGAAAATACTCTACCAATTGATGTCGATATTTTAATTAATTTCTATAAAATAATATCAATATGGCATTGACAATGATTCGGCGGTAACGAAGCCATCGCCTCCACAGAGTATCGCCGAAAATACTAATAAAAATTTTTTGGTTAAAACATCTAATAGAACAAAGATGTTGTAAGAAGTTACAATCGCAACAAAGACGTTGACGTTAAGTCATTGAAATGTGACGCTACACGATGCTTCGTTATAATCGTCCCGCGTTTCGGTTCTTGTAATCCACAGATTATAAATGGCAAGTTAATTTTTATGAAACAAGAAATATTTATTATAAAACAAACAAAAATTCATAGCTCCAATACATATTTCATAATTTATCACTATAACGGTCACGTTGCAATTCTTTTAATACAATAACAATATGTTCTGTTTAAATTGTAGTTCTCTATTCTATGCCAAAAGATTTGGCCTTATCTGCCTTTTGGCAATAGACAAACCAACAGGGCGCAATAAGCACCCTTTAGGAAAATAAAATAGGTAAATAAATGATATTTACTTTCAGAATACAAAGTACAGTAAACATAAAAGGAATAAATAAAGAGTCATGCTACCAAACAAAAGTTAACAAAACCTATTAATCAACTCTTGCTTTGTAAATGTCGACAAGATTAATAGTTACACTAATTGTAATTTTCGCATTTACAATGCTATTTTGATATTTAATTTTAAAATAAATTTTATGTAACCTGCAAAACCAATAGGGATATTTAGAGTAGAAAATCTTTATATTTAGAGTAGAAAATCTTTATATTTTTCAAAAAAAAAAATCTTATATCCATATAAATTGAGTTAGGAACATGTTATTTAATACCATGGATGTTTATAAGAATTTATTTTTTTGGAAAAAATATTTTTCTGCTCTGAAGAACAATTTTAATTTTGCAGGTTACTACATGTTTGCTTTCCAGCAATCAATATATAAGCAATTGACTGCATTTATAAATACATATGTAGATGCACTAAACTTGGTATCCAGTGTAAAACCCATAACGATCATTCCCTGTTTGACAGTAGGAAATAAAAATTTTAGGAATTCCGTTTTCTATTCATTACATGTACTACACTGATAGAATAGAATTATTAAGATCCTCATTACGTGGTAGTTGTGGTTTTAAAGCAGTATGTCATTTCCGTATTGTAATTGTAACAAAAAATTGGGTCACTTTCGCATAAAGCAATTTTCTCAGAAGTTATTTTAGCAAAATCAATAGGACACAATGTAATTTTCGCAATAGTGACTTTTGCAGAATGTCATTCACAAAAATTATATGTAATTATCATAACTACTAATACCTAATCTAACAAACATGTGGGGTCAAAAAAAAAAGACAAATATCAGTAATAATGCTTTATTATAAACGGAAATTATGTAATCAAAAATCATTAGAAAAAAAAAACAAGAAAGAACCAAAGATTGAGCCCTGTGGAACACCCATCTTAGTCATTGATACAATCCTCTGTACTCAATTATGCGAAAATAAAATCCCAAGGTAGTCTATTTTTTTTTTAATAATATGTAGTGTGAATTCTCCCGTACATAAAAAAAATTATGTAATAACTTAATACTGGCAGTTGTTGAGAGACCCCTTGTGGATCCATAAAAAAACAGACTTAATTTTAGACCTTTTTCAAGTCTGTTAAAAGCTAGTAATTTACACAAGTACCTATCAGACTTATTACTTTTTATGCTCTAATTATATACAGTGCTAAGCATGTTTAAAGAATAAGTAGACAAATTTATCAATCAAGTAGAGCGTGAGGTGACTCATTAGTTCAATGACCACCATTCTGTTGCATTGCTTTATGCTGTAGTAAAAAAATATGTTCATATCTTTATGCAAATTTATTTTATAACAAAATTTTATTCATTATCATCTTATATGGTTTGTTTATTTCAATTTTGTTTATAAGAGACTGTCTAAGTATGTTAGTCAACATCTGCAAGTCGATGCCAATTGATTTTAACCTTTAATTCAATATACCTAAAATTCATTATTGAATATACAAATTTTACATGAGGTTATATACCACCATGTGCATTTGACGATGTGTAATATTCTAGAATATATGTTTCTTTTTTACAAAATATATTTTTGTGATGAAGTCCTGTCCATCTTCGTAACAGCAATAGGTATTTGATATTTCAATTGTGGTATGGAAACATAATTCGGCCTAAAAATACGCCATGACTGATGGCACAGCCTATCACAGGAAACAAATCACATTGAAAGCCCCTGATCTTTGCTATGCTGTGTAAGTTTAAAACCACTAAAAAAAAATGACAGAAATGTTCTGTTCTGATGTAGGTACTACCTTCAGGTGAGATTCATAAAAAAATTTTAGGTAAAACCTAATGAAATACTGTTCAAACCTAAGTACATAATGTGAAAACTGTTGACAAGAATTAAGACGTAGTAGTAACTATAACCTATCATTCTTACCTTTTCATGAGATGTTGGGCGAGTTCACCGCCAGCAACAATTTCTTCCTCTTCACCAGATTCCACCTCCGAGGTGTGATCATCACCGGCGCGTTCCACAGTACCCATTTTATAATCTAAAACAAGAATACCGTACATAAGAATCAGATATTCCCGCCACGTTGGTTATACATTTACCGGCTTTGACGAAATATCTGAAAGTCACACAATTCTCACACAAAAAAGGATCTTCGATGTAATTCTTAATACCCTAGCGAAATACGAAACACTGTTAGCACGTAAAACAGTAAAATCAAGTAATGCGTAGTAACTGCAAAACCAATTTGGCCGACCACATGGTGGCGTGAAATTATTCTACACTATAAATTTCGTCACACATTTTTATATTATCCCATTCACAGAAAAGCATTACAAAAGTTATTATATTGCTTCAATCTTTTCACTGTTTTATGAAAATTGCGAAATAAACGTGATAATTTTACGTACCTGCCTGCTGACAAAATTTGAGAGAAAGAAAGATGGCGGCGACAATTCGATTCGATTGCCTGCCAATGACCTAAGCGAGTGAACTGGACTGACTGACTGAGCTGAGAGCGATTGGTTGAATGAATGATTAAGAAACTGGCTAGTGGCTACCTCATGGCTCATAAGAAGTGAATGTCTATGGGTAAACGTAGCAAACTAATATCCGTATCCGGGAAGCGAACCCACGCATAATCTGTGGCCTGTTTTAATGAGGAAGTATTTAAAAAAAAACGAAATCACTACGAAAGACCTCCACTAGATGGCGACCCTAGCAAAAGTTGGTTTTTGCAGGAAACGAATGTACCAAAGACAGTCATTTCCGTTCCTTTTAACTAACATATAAAAAAACTGAAATTTGAAAAGTTCGAAACTTAGATATCAATACAAATATGAAAAAGTACAAATAGAATATGTGTTGTTTATTGAGTTTTAAGAACTAATTTACTTTTAAACATGAGAGAAAACCGGAAAAGTTGTCATGGAGAAATCAAGAACGTACCGTAGCGTCATCTAGTTTGATTTTGGGAAGTTATGTTTTTTTTTTAAATACTTTCTGCCTGCCATATACGATAATAGAAAAAAAATGTGGCCTATCTTTGGGATGATGCCTGGTTTAGTCCGTCAATCAAATTATACTGAAGACATAAAACGCAATTCTTTTTTTATTCAATTTAACAACAAATGACTTAGCATATCAAAGCCTATTAGGCAATAAATTAGAGAGGCCGGGCATCGCTACATCACAACCAAAGAGTAAAATATCACAACTATATAGAAAAAGTACACATAACTGCGTGCAGTTACCACGATATGTTTAATTTCGCCTGTAGATTTACACTTTATCTACAAGATGTAAAGATCTAAAATCAGAAATTAAAATTATATAGTTTTCCGCGAACTAACTGTTTTTTATATCAAATAGATGTAATGTTATATTATTTGCTATTTTCGCTATCGGAGTAACGAGTTTCATTGGTCCCTTATATTCTCACTAGATGTCAATAATTCTTTTATTTTATCTTTGAATGCCGTTTCTTCTCCTTCTTCTTTTAAACTTTAATGGCACTTTGCGTCACCACAATACTACCAAGTTCACGTAGGAGACCATTACACGATTAAATACATTCATTCAACCAAACAATTTTGAATTACCAATTCTATCTTTTTACATGGATTTACCAAAAACAACAGGTTAAACGATTTTAATACGTTATTGAAGGTATTAGTTTATATTTTTCCAATCGTCAAACGAACAATCAAAATCTGTGTTGACGTTACGGAGTGCATCAAGGTGAGTAGAGGTCGGGTAAGGTTTATAACACAACAGAAAATTTCGTGTATTTTAGAAACGGCCTTGCTTGTGAATAATTTGGTGTGACTAAATAAAAGATTATATATATGTTTACTAGCAATGCCCTTCGGTCGCGTAGAATATTACGTTTTATTTCATTTGAAGAACATAATTGTGTAAAATATAAAATCGTGATAAAGAGAAACGTCTGAGAAGAGAGAAATAAGTAATACACAAATTTTAATCTTCAGTAGCATCGAAACGCAAAAAGTGGATACACAAACAATTTCTTTTGAGGTCAGTCCTAGATATTTTATACAAAAATTGTTGGACAATTTAATATTTTTTATGATAATGGCAATAGAAACACATCTAACTTTCACGGTTTAGGAGATACAGACATTGAAGTCTTAGTAATAAGGTTCACGTTTTAGCCTTTGGGTACGGAACCCTAAAAATAAGAAATGGTAAGTATAATTCCTGATTTTTTTAAAGTTGAAGTCGATTCTATTTCAATAAATAGTGATACTTTTATTTTTTAAATTAAATGTATCACTAAAATATTACATATCCGTATAAAATTCTGGCAAACGAGCAAAAAAATCAGGTTTGTGTATGGGAGCTTCCATTCCTACTCAGATATAATTATTATTACATATGAGACCACCTCGAGCCCATACTAAATAGTAATAAAAAGAGTATTTCGAAAATCGGTCAACAATTATCAGAAAAATCGGTTAACAAAAATAAAAAACATACATATCCGTCAAACACAGAATTTTGATTTTGGAGTCGGTTAATAATGTTTCGTGTAATCAAATAAATACAAAGTTTAAGTATTATATATTCAAAGAATATATCACTCAAAATAATTTATTAAAATAGCAAAATATTCCTACTACCGGAGAATTGTTGGTATATAATCTCATTTAAATAAAAGTTTCGAATTAGCAATACAAAAACTTGACGATTCAAAGTGACAACTGCCTGTCGCATATCTACATTTTTCAGAAGACTGTGAATAACAATAGTTTGCTTTGACCACACATTTAATACACATCATCCTCACTTTACATGATTTCATGGTAAACATAGTATTGGGTTTTCAATTTTCTTATTTTTATCTTATCCTTGAAAAAATATATTGCAACTACCATAAAATTCGCTTGGACAAGCATAAACGCACACTTTTTACCATTTTAAATATCTATGAAGCTACTGTATTAAAAATGGGAATATTGCATATTATTAGTACGTAAAAATAATATCAAAAGTTTCCCGCCATGAGAAAAGCCACTTCAACGCCACTTCAGAGGCATTCTTGGTAAAAATAAATACTATCTTTTCATTATTGTGTAAAGAAATTAACGTGATTACATAATAACTTACATTTTTAAAATTTGGAAATGTTCGCACTAAGGTTTTCTGGTTAAAAATTTTAATCAACAATATTTTTTATCATGGTAACATGAAAGAACGAGACAAATGGCCTCTGTTGTGACCATCTCTCTTGGATCGGATAAGCTTCGGTACAAAGAACAATCAAAAGTATACTTTGAGTAGGATTGATAAGGTTCATTTTTGCAATAAATTTTTTTTGGAGTTATAGGGTATGTTCCGATATACACTGCGAGCACTGCGCAGTGGTCTTACTGCTGAAAAATCCGTTCCGTTATGGACTGCTAGTACACTGCTACAGCACCGTAGGGAAATTTATGACGTCATGAATTGCCACCATATTTGTGTTGTGAGCACTGGAGGTTTCGAGGTAAGGTGCTCGCAGTGCTATTGACCACGTGATCAGTCGAAACAGATAAAATAAAATACTTACATTTATTATAAGATGATTTAATTGATAAATATTTTTTTTATACAATTTTCCAATTTTATAATATTTTCTTTTGAAAAGAGTGAATCTTTATATTTATATTCACCTTGCATTAACAAATTTGAAAATGGCGCCAAAAATAGGATTAACAGTATACTGGACTGCGTTCCGTTTTAAAAAGTCACCAGTATGACTAACTATAAAAGAACGGGCTTCCAGTATACTAAATTGACGTCATACTGTTCCGTGGTCGCAGTGTATATTGGAATATACCACAGAACATAGAGAGAGATTAGAAGTATAATGATATTAATTTAGTATGGGAACCGAGTGTCGCCTCTCCGCACACAAATACAGATTAGATGAAATGATCATTTTGTTCACTACATGAAAAACCGCCACGCGATAGGTTCGCGATAACATAAATCAAATCCCAAAAAGATACTAAGCTAAGAAATCACACGATTAAAAACAAACTCTAATTCAACGTGATAATAAATAATTTACTTTAACATGAATGTTGAACTGTCACGTGGCTGTATATGGGGATACCAGAAGGAAAAAAATATTTTAAGATTATGCACATTTAAAAAAATTGGGGTCATCATTTTATGTGCGAACTATTAATATTAGATTTTGCTGTAACCAAGTGAATACTGAAAAATTAAGGCTTTTCCCTACATAATTTATTAAAATATCTTTTAAAAAACGCAGTACAAAAACTAAGAAAACTTAATGATACACTCTATCGTATGTCTGTGGAGTAATATAATTAAGCGAGGGAAAGTGTAAAAAAAAACAAAAATTAAGAAAACAACAGAATTTTTGTATTAATTACATTAAGCCTAATTTGTATTTTTTTCTTACTGGTATCATTCCGATTGTGCATATTAGTGATGTGACATATTAGTTGATAAAATAAGAGCTTTAAATTTTGTTATGAAACAGTTCAATGTAATTCAGTTCGACAATTTTCTACAGTGGTTTGATAGTAATTATTTAAAGCTTTATTCAAATAAAACGAAATACATAAAGTTTGCATTACCTAATGTGAGGCATGTTAATATACTTATAAATGTAAATAGTGAAAAAGTTGAGATGGTGGAATCGACAAAGTTCCTTGGTATTTTGGTATATTGATAATTTGTCAAGTAGACTGAGTTCTGCAGCATTTGCTGTTAAGAAAATTAGACTCTTAACAAATGTTGAAACGGCAAGATTGGTATATTTTAGTTATTTTCATAGTGTAATGAATGACGTATAATCTATTGTTATGGGGTTCTGCGGCTAGCATTCAAGATATTTTTATTCTACAAAAGAGAGCTGTCCACGCTATATATAATTTACGGTCTAGAGAATCTCTCAGAGAAATATTTAAAGAAATAAATATTTTGACTGTTGCCTCTCAATACATCAATGAAAATATTATGTACGCAAGAAAACATTACGATTCCTTCACAAAAAAAAGTAGAAATAAAAATAAACTTGCCATTCCAAGTGCTTGTAATAGCCTTCTTGAATAAAGATATTTTCATTTCATTTCATAATAACTAATATGATCATTACACTAATAAATTGATCATAGCCATGTTTGTTTTACTTTATTATTCTAAGTTTTATATCTGTAATAATAGTAGTAGCTACATTATTAATTGCAACGACTGGACAATAAGGAATTGCTGGTCAAGTATGAGTTTGAAAGCCGTGACAAAAAAAGTTTGAAGATAGACACAAAAGCGATAAGTACGTACAAACGTCAATCTACATATAAAGTCACATCCGTTTGAGACATGCGTCTATAAACTTATGTGCAAATATGGAGCAACAAAAAAACTGATAAAAGCTGTTCTGTGGGCGGTTCTTTAAAGTGGCTTTCTTAACTCGATTTCTATAATAATAGTTTCCGATTATGAATCAGCATAATAAGGTAAATTAAATTGACGCCTAAAAATTAATTTTGTAAATTAAATTCACACCACCAACAATATTACGTTAGTTGAAAACATAATTTTTTGTTTGTATAGATATTATGTTGTTTTGAAATTCATTTGATAGGTTTAGGTCTAAAACAGATAGGGCAAAATTAATTATGTAAACAAGGCAATCCGTTGTAAAGTTATTAGGGAAACTGAAATATAAGTAATGCAAAATAAGTGAAATCCAGTTTCACCAGTTTCTAACAAGACCTATTAGGCCAACTCTTAGCTTTTCACGAAGTTTCGTTTAATTTATGTATTGTTCATAAAACGGTGATATACTTCGTAACTTAGATATTTATAGCACATCAGTAATTTTTAATATTTATCTGCGTGTAAATAATTAACCGAATCTTCGTAAAAAAAGTGCCTGGACAGTTCATTATTTCATTTGTTCAGTATCAGTTCATCTATAATTTTCCCTTGTAAACAGTATTTTTTAGTTTTATATAATTATGGCATATATTTATCGATAACGTTGTTATGAAATGATGAAAGAAAAGCTCTAAATAAATATGTTTTAGTTATCGATTACGATCCATATAATTAACAATACGATTCCGAGCAGCAGCAGCCTATCGGTACATTTCAGACAAATGGAGGCACAGCACTATTTTTTGCAAAAGTGCACAAAATGATTTACATTGCTGTTTAGTAATGGGGTCAGAAACATTGATGTTGGTTTGAGCAATCAATGTATATTTTATTTAACATTGTGTCAAATTATTACGTTTTTTATATTTTAGCACTAAAATTGTACTTACCAGTGAAAGGAAATGTTTGCATTAGTTAGATTGTATACTTTGCTTTGCTTTTTGCAAGTGATAATAGCACAAAACGGCATTTTTTATAGAAAAAATCTGTAAAATCACCACTCGACGATTGACGAACGACTGGCAAACATAAAACCGAGGAAAGGACGTCATATGAGTAAAAGCGCATATGCCAGCGACGCGTGCCCCGCCCACTTACTACTTCTATTCTCTCTCTATGTTCTGTGGAACATACCCATAAATCCAATCCATGTATGGCACTAAACCATAGACCCCTTCTTTTGGTAGATTTTTTCCGTAAAGGAAACGCGAAAAGAGATTAGCCCATATAGCCATGGTCTGTTGTACAAAATTTTTCTTCGATTTCATAGGAAAAAATAGGCTGCAGCCAAATGGCTACAGACTATTTAAAAAAAATAAAAGAATATTATTATTAAAGACATCTTTAATTATAAACAACAATATGAAGAATAGAAACCGTGAAGGCCTTGTTTGTACTGTAAAAGTAAAATCAAGTTAAAATGTCACAAACCGAGTTAAATATCAGATTGAAATATTTCACTTTTGTCCTTTTTGTCTTAGTTTAAATTTTATATATCTCCGATAGTTGACACGACATACTCGTAAATAGGTCTAAAACAACATTGATTATTTAGCCAAATAATCAGCTTGTTCATTACCAATTATGCCTATGTGAGCTGGTATCCACACAAAGACGATGTTAAATATGAATGCTATTATTAACTCTAAATATGTTAAGTGTATTTTATGAATTATGTAGCTAGTTGAAGTATTAAAGTTTGGATTAGTTAAAGCCTACAGGACGGACATAGTATCTGAAACTATCAACCATTTAACTCAACCATTATTGCCCTCTCTCTGAGATTCATACTTCAAGGCTTTGAGTACACCATAACCTCCAGTAACTAAATCAAAATAAGACCGCACTTTTAAATAAGGCATGACGCTTCTTCAGTCATTTTCGAGACTCTGACGGGACATCACGTTGTACTATTTTATTAAAAGGAAGAAGGAGAAGCAGATTCAGGTATACAAAGTGATGCATATAGTTTTTCAAAATTTTGTGACCTCTGTAGATAGATCTTTAACTGAATAAAATAAGTAGTTAGCAATATTTCGTCATTCGACAGAGACGCCACGCCTTTAGGACTTTTTCACGAGGTAGACTTTAGTCACCTTATCACAGGGTAAAGAGTCATATACACGACAGTTTTTTGACTCTTCTTAGTGAAATACTTAGTTTACGATATAACTTGTTACTCAATTCTGAAGAATCGATACAAAAAAAAGGTATTTAATGAAAAGAATCGAGTAAGTACTCGTATCGTTCATCCCTATTTGTTGCTGCATTTTGGCATTTTGCTTGTCGTTTCGTTTCGTTTGATTGGTTTGCTTCATGTTTGCTTTCGAGATTTTTATAACCTATGTCTGCAATGTCTGTCTTTAAAAATGTGTACTATTATTGAAATGTAGACTGTGCATAACTTTGAGAGAAAAAATCAAAATGCCACCCACTATTCAAACAAACGAGACAGATAAACGTCCACAACGGACGGGAGAAAGAAGGTAAGTTTTAGATTGGCTCTTCGATTTGTAACTCGTTAAATTTATCCTTAAAATGTTTACAACGTTAATTTATTCGTAGGTCGGAGTTGGTAACACGAGTGAAATACTGCAATACTTTACCAGATATACCTTTCGATTTAAAGTTTATTACATATCCATTCCCTTCAACGAGATTTATTCAGTATAATCCAACGTCTTTAGAAAAGTGTTATCGCTATGAAGTACTCACAGAACACGACTTAGGAGTGCACATAGATCTGATAAATCGAGATATATATCAAGGGGATGGCAACTCACCTTTAGATACAGCTGATGAGAAGTTGTTGGAAGATGATGTTCTCACCCCTCAGGATTCCAAGAGATCTCGTCATCATGCAAAGAATGTATCTTGGTTGCGCCGTTCGGAATATATATCCACTGAACAAACTCGATTTCAGCCTCAAACAATGGAAAAAGTAAGATATTATTAAAATATGCTATAAACATATGATCAAGACTAGTATAAGAATAAAACCTATTAGTTTCTATTTTCTTAATAACATTAAAGAAAATTTAATATTTTTAATAATGGAAGTGTTATAGTGATTGTAGTATTTCATTTTGTTATATGCAGAAATTTCATTATTTGTTAAAATTTTAGGTTGAAGCAAAAGTTGGTTACAATGTCAAAAAGATATTCAGCGAGGAAACATTATATATGGATCGTGAAAGCCAGATCAAGGCTATCGAGAAGACATTTGAAGACAATAAGAAACCTATAGAGAAGCATTACAGCAAACCTGGTGTTACTCCTGTGGAAGTCATGCCAGTTTTCCCTGATTTTGACATGTGGAAGTACCCATGTGCTCAAGTTATATTTGACACAGATCCTGCACCAGCCGATAAGAATATTGCAGGACAGATAGAAGCCATGTCACAGGCTATGATTCGGTAAAGACATTTGTACTATTCTTAAATGTTTACACTATGCAAACCAACCTGACATCTGCCTCTTATCATTTAAGGAAACTGAAAAAAAAAAATTGCTCTATCATTAAAATTATTAATTATTTAATGGAAAGCCAACAGCTATCCCATTATAGATTACATACATTTTAGGTTTGTACATATAGATACAGCTTAGATTGAATTAGTTATTATTTACAATGAACCACATCATTAAATAATTAATCATACCTGTGCTATAAATCAACAAGAGTAAATATTCTGTTTGTTTCCACTTAAAGGAATTAATATTGTAATCAAAGTTGTTAACAGCATACCGACACTCATCAAGCATTATATTTAAGCTTATGCTGGCCCTGACAATTCTTTCTGCCTATAATTTGTAGATGACAAAGGCACCGCAACTTTGGACAAATAACAAAGGAACACATATCCTTTAGCCATAGGGGCGTATAAGTCTTACTTTTCAGGAGACGTTGAGTATAAATGGATTACTTTTCGAAATATTGGTCATATGTCGAAATGTGATCCACTTATATCTTTTTAAATAATTTGTCTATTATTTAACAAAAATAGGTTTTTTATTTAATAAAGTTAGAGAAGATTGGTGTTACAAAAATTAACTCATTTTTGTATATACATCTCTCTGGCTTGAAGCATGGGATATTCAATACTATGATAAGAATAATGATATAACCAAAAAAAAGCTCTTGTCAATATAAGAAATATTATAGATTTGCTCAAAGAGTATGTTACATTGTTTATAAATTTTACAATTGAAATAAAATGCATATTTAACATATTTTATTTAATTAATAGAGGTGTAATGGACGAAAGCGGAGAACAGTTTGTTGCATACTGTTTGCCGACCGAAGAGACAATTCAGAAACGTCGTCGTGATATAACTGAAAGTATACCGTATATGGACGGCGACACTTATGAGTACAAGATGGCTAGGGAGTATAATTGGAATGTTAAGAGTAAAGCATCAAAAGGTTATGAAGAGAACTACTTCTTGGTGAGTTAAATTTTTTTTTTATAAAAACATTTTAATTTTGAAATAGGTCATTACAAGTACATTGAATAAGCTATATTTGTGTTTTGCTGTAATAAGATTTGTTTTAGGTGGTACGCAATCATTGTGTATATTACAATGAGTTGGAGACTCGTGTACGGTTGTCGAAGCGTAGAGCACGCGCCGGTGCCGCAGCCCAAACATTGACTAGACTCGTGGTAACCCATCGTCCACTCAGCGGTTCAGAACATCGCATGCTGCGACTAAGAGAAAAGCAACTTGAACCACCACAAGTAAATTCTCTTCTTTATTCTTTCATTCTGCATATTTCACTTTATTGATAAATTATTGTCTTAAATGGTGTAGTTTTTTAGACTTATAAATCTGTTAGATATGAGGCTACACACCTCTGTTCTTAAAAAATCTCAAAAAACTATATTTATCAAATGTGCTGTCGAATAACACACACTTATTTTTTAATGGAGAGGAAATAAGGTTTGGATTGACAGAGTGAGACAGAGGTAATGAGAATTAAAATTTAATATTTTTTTTAATAAGGAGGAAGACGAAGAAGAGGAGGACGACGACGAGGATGAGGAAGATGACAAGCAAGAGCAACAGAATGATAAAGAAAGGTTTGTATACTACTGCCATCATATTAAAAAAAAAAAATTATAATGTTTTATGTCACTGTACTAACCGACTGTACACAATACTAACATAGGACCAATGTGAATGCGAAATTTCGCAAATCGTTGCTACTCACAATCATAAAAATTTGCATATCAATGAAATTAATAAGAAATTATTTCCATTAAAATTTTTCATTTTGTCTAGATCACGTTCCCGATCAAAATCCGCCTCGAAATCCCCGCAAGGTTCGGACAGGTCCAAAGCATCAAGATCCAGGTCCAGGTCCAAGTCGGGTTCGAGATCGAGGTCGAGGTCAAAGTCGAGATCGAGGTCAAAGTCGAGATCACGATCAAAGTCGAGATCACGATCAAAGTCGAGGTCGAGGTCAAGGTCTAGGTCAGAGTCGCCCGAGAGGTCACAGTCACGCTCCCGCTCTAAGTCTAAGTCCAAGTCGAGGTCGAGGAGCCGCTCCCGATCCGGTTCTGGCTCCAGGAAATCGAGGTCTAGATCTGGATCGGCGCGTTCCGGATCAGCCAGGTGAGCACGGCGTTTTAATGTTATTTTCTATACCTTTTTGGATTCCATACCAAAAAGGAAGGAAACACGGAAGAGAACGTCAAAAGTTTTCCCCGAAAGTCAAAAGTCAAAATATTTTTTATTGAAATAGACTTCTTAAAAGTACTTTTGAATGTCTAACATTTTTTTCCCTACTGCTCGTTCAGGACGTCTTTTGGCTGACAAAAAGAACGAGCAAGAAACTCACCAGCTCTAATAGGAGTAATGACATTCATAAAAAAACCTATGGTCTAATAATGATAACATAATCATTGAATTATAATGGAAACAAGATAATTTTTGATATATTATGAGTTTAGAAGTAATCATCTATCCAGTTGCTGGATCATATTAAGTCAAAGCATTCTTAGCTGTTCTATAATTGGATAACTTGTAATAAACTTTTTTAATACGTATTTTTTTAATAGTAGATTTAAACTGCACGATATCTAATTGTTGTCTCTTGCTTGGGATCTTATTGTAGAAGCGCACACAAAGACCCCTGAATGAGTTATTAACTTTTTGCAGTCTAGTGACAGGTACCGTTAATTTATTTTTATTTCTATTATTAAAATTGTGTACATCACTTTTTATAGAAAACAAAATAATATTTTTACGAACGTACATTAAGTTCTCGTATATGTATTGAGAAGCAACAGTCATTATGTCTATTTCCTTAAACTTCTCCCTTAAAGAGTCCCTAATCCTAAGATTATAAATTGATCTGTTTGGTCTTTTCTGAAGCACAAAAATCGTTTGTATGTCGGCAACTTTTCCCCACAATGGGATTCCATAGGACATTACACTATGAAAGTAACTGAAGTATACTAATCTGGCAGTATCTATGTCAGTTAACCTACGTATCTTCATACTATCAGAACTATCGATTAATGATAATACATGTAAGTCAATGATCTATAGATGTCCATATGATATAAGAAATTTTTAAAATGGTTTTTCTTATTCCTGATGATAAATATAGTAAATGCAAAATTGATCAAATATATTAAGTTCTTTTTAATTCTGAAATAAATTGTTTTAAGTTTAAAAACAACAAAATTCTAATTCTGAAAATATGAAAAGTCTATGGTTTGTAAAATTTAATTCAAATTACAGTAGGACTTTGACCATTCGAACACTGAAAATTAATAAATTGATATCTATCTTTATAGATCGAATAAAACGTATATATATAGCTCGTCTCGATCGGTTTCATATTTTAGTAGAGGACTGATCACATCAGCCGCATCCCGCATGACGTGAAAATGTATAAAACTCCCCTGGTTCATCTGATTAGTTCTTTTTACTTACGTGCCTAACACCCGTTTTCTGTATCAAGACTTTTAAGTTAAGCATATCTCAAACTGTACTTAGACCATCTTAAACGTATATTTCTAATTTTTTATAAACATAAAAACTTAAGTTATTGAGTATAATCAATTGTGATTTTGTACTTCTCTTAATTCAGAAACGGTCCATAACATATTTTCAGCATAGCTGGATAAACACAAATTTTTGAAGGTCGAACAACTCAACAGCTGTTAAAATATTTAACGCTTACACGAATTACTGGGAACAGAAACTTTGAGGACTATATATAACTGAAGTGAAGCTTTGCATCTATTTCCAAAGGCGATTTTGGAGATAACATAAAAATTGTAATTGGAGGTTCAAATTCAATTACCAAATTCATCTAAAATAGTAGATACTTTTTATTTCAGCTTCTATTTATTTTTACATACTTATTGGCGAGATATGTCAGCTATTTTTTTTTGATATAATACCATGTTTATCAGCATATATTTAAATGTCTCTAGATCTAGGTCTGGGTCAGCGAAGTCCCGATCCCGGTCCCGGTCGGGGTCTCGCGCATCGTCTCGGGCTTCCTCTCGCGCATCTTCCAAGAGTAAAGCGTCTCAAGCTAGTTCTGGCAGTGCTCGCTCTAAGGCTAGTTCAAAGGTATGTTACGAGATGTGTATATAATGAAAATTCCAGCATCCAATGAACTTTATTTTAAGCAGATAGAGATTTACAATTTGGGAAATACGATGTGTTGCTAAAAAAGTTCACTATGAAGGATCAATTTTTTTATTATGAAACTAGAGTCGTGTATATGTGTGTGTCTCCCTTTATGACTTGCTTCCTTTAAAAGATACTTTTCCAACTAATATAAAATATATTCTGAGAATAGAGAAACCTAGTCCATTTTAAATTTTATCTAAATTATTAGCAATCAATAATCTTAGATTATAAAAATGTTACAATTTTGTTTTACGCTCGTTTTCACTAACCTAGAATAAGCACCATATGTAGCTTAACTAGAAATCACTTAATATTTAGAATATCTTAAGCAGCTTTGTCGTTTCACCAAACCAAAACATTAGGTAATGCCTTACTAAGCGCTTGCTTAAATAGGCAATGTTGACCTATGATTTTGCATGCTTCAGTTCCTTCTTTTTTTATGTATGACCTATTTCGGCTACACAATTCCGCTTATGTCACGGTAGTGGCCTATACACTTAAAGAGACTAATATAAATATATATTTTGATGTAACAAAAAAATATATATACGTGATCTTGAATTTACACTAGTACAAGCATTTAAAGTCCGATTCATAAAACCACATTGTTTATATCTTAATTAATATAAAGTCCTTGATTCTAACTTACTAAATTGATTTTACCCTTTGACACATCCGTTATGACCAAAGAGTAAATGTATCTGTCACATTATGCAAATGCTCAGCGCTAGGCGCTGCACAATGTATGTCCTAATATTAAGCATTGCATAACGTTATTAGGTTAGGCTCCTTGTCATTGGTGAAACAGATTTTCACTTTAGACAATGCTCAAATATTTAGGTTATAGATTTGAGTGACTCCTAAATTTAATGAAACAGGCATTATTCTATTATTTCTGTTATATTTTGAAAATCGCCTTTACATGCGAAGGCCACTAATGTGACGTTGGAAAAACGAATGTAGATATGGTACAGATTAAAGAAGAAGACAAGCTCTATTTATCGACAGATTGAAAATTAATGAAATCATTGATTATTGATACTCATGTCTTAATTCTGTTTAGGGTTCTAAAGCAAGTTCCAAAGCGAGTTCTCGAGCGTCGTCTCGTGCCAGTAAACGCTCATCTAGGGCTTCATCCAGAGCATCAAGGGCTTCTTCCAAGGCTTCCGGCTCCAAAGCGTCTTCGAGAGCCAGTTCCAGAAGAAACTCTGGCTCCGGCAGTGGTTCTGATAGATCTAAGAGTCGATCCCCGAGTGGGTCCAGGCAGGTCGGTATAAAACATAAATCGTGGTGTTTTTATAAACAAATGTTTTTCTATGGTTCAGTACGTGATTTACTGTGAAAAATTTTGTATGTGTTTCTTGTTCAAATATTATCTTTTAAGGTAACATTTTTAGGGTTCCATATGTATAGGGTTAAAATAAATTCTCGGTAATACTGATTTATCTGTTTAGTATTATTTAATGGAACCGTCAAAGGCGCTGTAATTTCTTGTTTTACAGTACAATGAGGAAGTATTTAAAAATATATATTAGTTCTCGAAAACAAACTGGATACTTTCTTAATTTCTCCATGACAACCCTTCGGGTTTCTTTCATGTATAAAAGTAAATTAGTTTTGTACTTACTTTAAAAGTAATGTACTTTTTCGTATTTGTATTGATATCTAGGTTCCAAACCTTGCAAATTTCAGTTTTTTAATATGTGGAAATGGCTATCTTTGGTCCATTCATTTCCTGCAAAATTAACTTTTGCTAGAGTTGCTGTCTAGTGAAGTTGTTTTTTAGGTGCTTTCATTATTTTAAACTTCCTCATTGCAACTAAATTGTGAGCTAAACCTATTATTCCTTTGTCCACGTAATATAAAATAATAGATAGTTGTCGATTTTAATGTTTGGTTAAAATAACACGTTTAATTTCAAAGCAACAGAGTTGCCAAAGTTGGGAACGCTAGGTGGCGCTAAAATCGTACACTGTTTAAATAATCAATGTTTAAACTACTTTTATTTTGGTCTAGTAATAATATATTGGTAATTACGTTTCAGGGTTCACGCAGTGGATCGGCGTCGAGTGCGTCGTCTCGTAGAAGTGGATCCGAGTGACAAGTAATTTTGTATTATTATTTATCCAAGCCTTCAATAAAGCAATTGATTACATTATACGAGTCTATTAATTAATATTAATTAATATTAATATAACCAGTGAATCATTACTTAGAACTTAGTGCGCGGTTTTTGATCGCATATTCGTAACCGATCTGAACTCTGAATGTACAATAAAATTTATAATTAATGGCGTCAATTTGAGCTAGTTGGTAGTTGTTGGACTTGCAGTAAAGAAAGACCATTTTTTTTCTGTAGAAGAGTAATTTTTTTGACAATTTGTTGTATACAAAATCAATTACAAAAAAATACAGACGCGAGACGTAGGGCGAACTCATGATATACAAATAGCAGAGTACAAACAGTAAGGTAACTAAGAACAAATGGATGTATTCAAGCGCACACAGAGATGTATGCTTTTATGAGGATCCTAATCTCACTTGCGTTTGCCGCAGCAAAACTTGTGTGGCGTGGCGTAACATACAGAGCGTGAGTAATAAAAAAATAATGCTATGGATATATTGTGCATACGAGTGCTTCAATCCAGAAATGGTTCTAATTGACTTATTGGTTACCTTACACCGACACGATACCAACAAGATAAAAGTAATTAGCTGTGGAGGTTGATTAACTTTTTAATTTTAAGTCCAGAAATGAGAAAATTTCATAAAAACTTTCATCCTCTAATTTACCCCCTTAGGGGGTCGAATTTCGTAAAATTCTGTCTTAGTGAGCACCTCCGTCCTAAAAAGAACCCACATGCAAAATTTGAAACTTCTAGTACTTGTAGTAACGAAGTTTCATACAAAATTTAGCCCCTTTGGGGTGGAATTTACAAAAATCCTCTCCAAGTGTTCCTCTATACTCCCTAAGGAATATTCATTCCAAATTCTAAATTTCTACGCTCAGTAGTGTCGGCTGTACGTTGTCTCTCAGTTAGTCAGTCAGTCACTCAGTCAGTTATATACATATATGTAGATTAACTTATTTAGCATAAAAGTAAAGAAAAAAAATAGTTCGTGTTGTCTTTGTTATTACTGTCGAGTATTTCATAAATTAAAAATTATATATTATTTCAGTCGTACACATCACGACCTACAAATGTTTCTAACTCTACTAAATACGCAACACTTAAACAATTTTGTGATGCATATAATATGTAAATAAGGGACTACCTGGTTAATGAATTGATTACAAAATTCAAGAGGTTACACTATTAGCCAAAAAGCATACTCCGATCCATCCCAATACCGCCCGTCCAAAACTAAGTACCACCGAGTTGTTTGTGTAAATAAGATCTCTGGTCTAACAAAATCTATTTTTTTTTTAATAAAAATAAGTATGATGATATTAAGACTTCTATTCTTCAGTGATTAATTATGCATCCCCTAAAAATTAAGAGATTCCTACTATGAATCAAAAAATGGGCTTGAAAAGATACACACACACAGAGTAGCAATATAATTTATTAGTGCACATATTCACTTGGTCATATAAAAAAAACACTGCTCACACAAAGTAAAATATTGTTCCCGTTTGTTTTATTAAATATTTGATAGGTACGTATTTTGCATAAACTCAACATGCTGGTATATATATAATTTCATTTATTATGCGTCAACTAATTAATACATAGATTTAAGACAGACAAATTTGGATGAATAATTTTAGACAAGAATCTAAAGAAAAATTTCGATTACTCCGTTGACAAGACTAAAAAACTCATGTATGCCAATTTGTAATTTCTTGCATATTTTATTTTATTTCTCAAATAAATAATATATCACCATCGCCGTCTCTTTACTGACGTTTGGTATAATATTTGATGAAAATATTTTGATATTTTAATTAAAAGAAAAATAATATTATGCTTCACAGGATTTTGATAACAGAATTATGACATAGGTAAAATTTTAATTAACTGTACTTAAATAGCTAATAGAGTTTGTGACACAATTTATATGCATAAATAAACATAACAACATTTCCTAATTTTGACATTCTATGATTTGATATTAGTAAAATTAAAAAACAAACGACACAGTTTTTTACATATAGGTTAATATAATATTGATATTATTTTTTGCACTATAACTACAATCGATTCATATTTGTTAATTGATAATTTGAAGCAGAATACCTCACTATTAAATTTGAACTAATAGATAATGTCAAATGTCCTTTTAAAATGACCCAATACAATGTTAGAACTTTGATTTTTGTATAAAAAAATAAAGTAATGGTAGTTGTATGTCTTTTTTTGGAAATGTTATGATATTAAAAATATTTTCTTATATTTCATCAATGATTTATCAAGACAGCACCTTTACGACTAGGCATTTTACGTTAATATTTAGTAATAGAGTATATGTATTCACATTAGTGCAAAGTAACACCATTCCCCAGGGGTCCAGGACCCAGTTAAGAAAGCAAATTGCCTATATGTATGCCAGACACATAGGTCAGTTTATTCAGTATATTTTATTAATTATTTAATATTTGTTGGAATACTTATTCTATATAAATAAATGGTCGGTTAAAAAAATCTACATTTATGTAGTAAATCTTAAAATTAAAATAGGTAGATCAAAACACAACTAATATGGCGCAAAAAGTTAAAAGCGGTTATCGAAATAAAACTGATTATAAATTTCAATAATAAGTACAGTCATAATTGGAATTTGTAGGTCTGTATAAACGAAGACTAACATAGCGCCATGTTAGTTGGGTCTTACTTGGTCTTTTTGTAATTAAATGCGTTAGAAATGGAACTACAGTAACATATAAAATATGTATTTCAATTGGGGCTTATTAACGATCAAATATTAAGAATTAAAGTGTGAAATACAATTGAAACATTTTAATTCATTTTTCTTAATATCTTCTATGAGAAAATACACAAATTCATATTAAAAATATGGTTGTTCCTTCTTACAAGAAGTCTTATTAGTTACGTCTTAGTATTTTTTATTATTTTTAAAACTTATCGAGTGATGTTAATTAAATTTTGAAATCCATTTTGAAATACATAATAAAATTCAATTAACTTAATTTTTACTTAATTCTTCTGTAACTATTTCCAAGTAATGATTAGTGAATACAGCCTTATTGTGCATCACATATCTCAGTAATGTACCAGCGACGTTTGTAAGTTCTTTAGCCAGTGCCGATAACCCGACTGGTATCTGTCTGGAGCCGCCGGCGCAAACTAATATGATTTTGAAGAATTCCATTATGCGTTGATCTGAAAAATAATATTGTTTTTAAATTATAAAGTGTTATACTTACAGTAGTGCCAAATGGCTATGGTCTGGGTTGGAGGACGGTCTAAGAACCTGTTGATTTCTTTGTATTTTTAAGTTTTTACTTTCGTTAGAATTATTACCAGTCTTCGTAAAATACACTTGTAATTTATTATACTAAATTCAAGTTTTTGGTTTTTTCTAGATATACATTTATTTTTATAGATGTACATGAAATAAGTCTAAAAATATTCATATAAGATAAAATCTAAAAATACATTTAATTTTTTCAAATTTCCCGCGATAACGCTACATCAGACGTTGCGGCACTCTGAAACGAATATCGTCCTATGTATGCATAAGGTTGAATTCTTTAAGTTCTGATATGAGTAAGACGGTCGTGACGTCACGAGCTTTTTGCGGTGACGTCACGATGACGGGCATGACTGACATGAGTAAGAAGCTCGTTGTCACGTGATTCAACCTAATAATTTTGGAATATTTGGCATTTTTTATCGATATGGTCGAGAAAATATTGATAAATACAGTTGTGTTGCAAAAAATGTTATGAAAATATATATAATCATTCAAACCCTTAATTAAAATATCTACTCACGGACAATTTGCCTCACTCTATGTTCGGGATCCCTAAGGGAGGTGATCTGGGTTCTTATTAATTCCTTTGTATCGGACGTCAAGGGCTCTTGATTCAAGTTGTCCAGGAGTTGTTCTGTCACTAGGATAACTTCTTCAGCGACAGATGGCAGCACTTCTTTTAGTTCTCTGGAACCGATCCTCAATATATAGTTACACTCAAAATTTCACACTAAATGACATCATAGGCACATTGTCATAATCGCCAAAGACATAATCATTATATGTTAACTTTTTTTATCACCCGTAAAAGTTGTTTTTTAATAATTTTATATGTACTTACATGTCGTTTGAAGTATTGTCTATGATAATAAATATCTTTTCCTTGAGTGTTTGCTTGTGTTGCGTTGCGATGTTTGGATCATTAGCGTTGGCCGTAGGGCTAACGAGTAACAGAGAAGCAGCCACTATAAGCCGATACACTTGAGTACCTAGCTCAGAAAACCGGGGCGCATCTAATGTCACCGTCTGTGGCAAAACAATATAATACAAAAATCATCATTAGCATATTAGAGGCATCACTGCTGGGACACAGGCCTTCCCTTTGGTTGGAATCAAATCGAATAGCACCGTACGGGCCCAATGTACATTGGTGGGTAACAACTGCTGTTGCAGCTAGGATCAACGGTTTTACTATAAATAGAATGAAGACAGATACATAGATTGAATAACCAACTACGTGGTGCCAGTGCAGACGCAGACGCAGCCAGGGCTAACGTCTTAACTATGGATGGAGTCAAATCAAATTGATTGTTAGCTATCAAGCGGGCTCAGTATGTATTAGTGGGTGTTAATAATTGCAGATGCAGTCAGGACCAACAGCTTAAGATGCCTCATTGGGAGCAGGTTGTAACTTAACATGTATAATAACTACTTTAGAAGACATGTACATGTAAATTGGAATGAAATTATGTGCCAAAATTGCAGGAGGTGGACGGCTCAGATATTTAGAAACATCCAGACAGGATTTTTGATTTTTTTAATATATATTCTTTTTAATACAAAAACTTTTTAGAAAACCAAATATCGACGTTTCGATACCTCGGGATATTCTTTATCCGGGTCCCACTCCAGTAACTCTAGATAGGCCTTTGCCAGTGTTTGCGCTGTAACATTTCTGATAATATTCTGATCGGTGATCGGTAAATTGAGACCAGTTTTATCGATATTGCGTGTTAACCATGCCTTAGTATGTTGTAGACCGTCTGAAAAATAATAACTGAAGAAATTATTTTTGTCTATAGATCATTATCTGCTTGCTCTTTTCCCAATTGGCTACTTGACTGTTCTGAGCCACTATCAGATTTATATTTGGCCAAAAAGTGTTGACAATACGAGTATAATATTCCTTTCCCATACGTCTTTATCAGCCGTCATCTCAACATTCAGTCCCTTCCTCACAGAGTATCCATCTTTTCTTGTCTTCCTCTCCTTACATTTCCTTCCACATTCAAGCTCATAATTTCAGTTGTTACATGCATAGCATCTCTTCGCATTACAGGTCTATACCAAGACAATGTTGACTACAAATGTATGTATTAAAATATACTATATGTTTATGTTAAAAAGGTAAGTTTTTGTTTCTATTAGAAACAAAAAATTGGTTTAAAATAATTTTGGTTGCCGTACCTTCAGATACTTTTAGCATTTCATCGAATTTCATCCTTTCATAGTGCACACTCTCCTTCTGAACATGTGGTCGTATCATAGCGATAAGTGTGTTCGCTAGATCTAGTTTCAGCACTTCTAGTGTCTCCAAAATGGCACGAAACACATCCACCTGTGGAAATTTTAAAAACGATTATATTAATTGTTGACAGCCGCCTCAGTTACAATCTATTTAATGACTTTTCCTTGACTTAAATTTGCTACTGCTATTTGTTGTAAGTCCATTTGGCTGTTTTGTTATTATTGTTTTAGTTGATAATGGCATAAACCTTTACTCACTGTATCAGTCAATGTTGTGATGTGCTGGATCATTTCATCTCTGGCAGGAGCAGCCAACTTAGCCATTAAGTCGATAACAAACTTGGCATATTTATGGAAGTCAAGGCTGTTGTTTTCTGCTTGTTGTCTGATAAATTCCGAGTCAAGCACCTCCTCTATCATTTCCCTGATACGAGTGTGCCGCGGAAGTAGGATGGAGAATAGACCCTAATAAATATATTTTTTCATATATCATATACGATTTTATTTTCTTAATTAATAATGACGAAGTAAAAAGTAAAAAAATTGTGTTTTTTTTTCTATTTAAAGGAAAGAATAATAATACTGTGATAAAAATCTTATATATTTACATAAATGAAAAAGTTACAGGACTTTGAAGTTGCGCTCGTTAGACCATTTCGCATCGCTTGGTTCCTCAGCGTGTGACGTCACAGTACCGAACATGACCGCAAGGACGCGGATTTATTATCAGTTCGTGTTTGAGAATCGCTTACATCTTACAGCCGTCTTTTGTTTATTATTGAATGGAGGGCACTAAAAAATCTTATTAAAATATAACAGTAAATAAACCCTAATAAAATACCTTTAAATATGGAAAAGAAAAAAATCTAAGTGTGTACCAGAATGCATCTACTTATAAAGTCTCAATATGGGATATACCATATTAACAAAAACCGCAAATATTACTTTGGCATCCAAACAATCACTATGAGATCACAATAAAAACAAAGTATTTTGGATAAGTTCTAAAGTAACTATGGAAACCTCAGTGTGGGAGGCCGGCTCGCACTTGCCTGTTTTTTATACAGATTGGTATCTAACCAAGTTTAATACACATAAAAAATTGATATTTTTACCTATTGTAGATTAGAAAATATATACATTTTGTCCTTATTATTGTAGAAATATAAAAATAATGTCCATTAATAACTTAAAATACACCAGACCACTTAATAAGAATCTAGAAAATAATAAGTTATTTGCGAGGACTTTCATTTAATATGTAGTGCGAAAATCTCGAGTTCGGTGCTGTGACGTCACAGGCGAGTCGGCAGTCACAGACGTTTCGTGCGTTTTAAATAATCTACAACTTTATTATTTATTAACAGATTTTAATTTGTATATTTAATCAAATTTTGGATTCACAATGTTATACTAAGAAATATTCTTAATGAAAAATGCTTAAAAAATCCACATTGTCCCTGGAACCCACAACCCTTCGCAATCCAGGTGACTGTTCTAACCACTGAGCTACCCAGGACCTAACAGAACTGACTTGAATTTTGTTTCCGATTTATTTTAGTTTTGATTATTATATTGTTTTAAATACAACAATATCAACATCATTAAAACTTCCATATTATGTAGAAATATCCTAGTTGTGAGTTAAATCAATGTGTATAATAAAACAATTGCCTATAAGGAACATTGATCTCCTATAATTTTGCTTCAGTCATTATTATTATGTAAAAAAAGCTTTAAGTAGGTAAGGTTCATCCATATAATCCAACCAACAGCTCTACCACATAAAGTGCTGACCATTGATCTTTCAGTTTGACAACATTAAGGGCTGTATTTTCATACATCAAACGGTTTCAGGTACATTAAAAGTCCTGCTGCTATCAAGTAGCATTTCTAGTATCTTTACAACTACTACTAGTGATATATACCATTATAATGTGTTAGTACCTGCTTGACATCTTCTAAAAGTACAAGAGCTTGCTTGTACTCAGGAGGGTCAGAGTTGAGTTGCTCCCGTAGTATATCAAAGTATGCTTTATGCATAGTTTCTTTAACTAACTTTTGGTAACTGTAAAAACAATAAATATATAATTTCACAATTGCACACACAAATAGAAATTCAATTATAGTTTTCTTTTTGTAAAATTCTTTACTTGGTTTTCATTATGTAGAGAAATGAATGCATTAAAAAGACATAAGACAAAGGTGGTAATTTTGTAGGCACAAATTGAACTATATTCAGATGTAATCATATTTTAACTACATTTTTAATTCTGTTAACAACCAAGATAATAGAAGTGAACTTGTAATGTAGACAAGGATATTTTTATGTTTTTGTTATAGTATGTGACTATGGAATAATGTTACCTAATGTAAATTCAAACCAGTTTTACTTTTTTTAGTTTAGTTTCTAGAATCATATGGCTATTCTAGAAACTAAACTAATAATGTATACCATTATTAATAATGTATTATGTTATCCATTAATATAATAAATTATTATCCTTTTTTAATCCTGCTGTTTGTTTAAATGTAATACTCTTATTGTAAATACAAGAAAATAGCATTTAACTACGAAATTAATTTATGTAGAATACTAACCTATTATCAGGGGGTTCAAATGGCTCGAGCTTGAAGTCATTATCAACAGCTATCTCATGTGCTAATGCCATGTTCTGCATACCATGGGCTGCTTTCATTATGTCCTCTAAAGTCACAAACTTTGGTGGAGAAGCACCTGTAATGGTTGTTCCCCGTACTCTAAACTGTATGGGTTCTGAAGCATAATAGCTGCGTGCTCTAAAATGTAAATTATTTTCTTTTAAGAAGTTGTTCTCGAGGAATGCATGATAAAAAAATGCATCCATCACTAATTTATACTTTAAAATACCTATCTCCTTTGTGTACATTTGGTATTAAATTATAATGTAATTTCATTGTATTATAAAAGCAAGGAAAAGTTGATTATCTTATATTTTAACTAACCGAGATCCCGTTGACATAGGCTCCGAGGGCGTTCTTGTATTTTTCTCTCCTTTGTCCATTCCCTGAGATCCTGATCCACTTGCACCATCGCGGTCACTCATTGTAGGAAATTAATATAAAACAGTCAAGATCAAGTATATATATAAGACCTCGTTCAACCTTAAAAGGCAGGCAACTACAAGGCACAACGTCGAAAAACTCAAATCATCTCGTAACAATATTACCTTGAGTCATAATAACATAACCTTATTTTTATAACAAAGAAACACAGCACTATGTTTATTTTGATTTGTAAAATGCTTTTCCTTTTATTCTTGATTAGTAAAGTACAAAAATATATCTTCTTTATTAGATTACTTTAAAATCATTCATAAATTTCCATTATATCTCATAATGTTTTCATCCACTTGTCAATTTCACTATTTGTTTTTATTAGAGGCAAAGGGATCCAGCTGATATAGCCATATCTGCCCTATAATAGAAGCTGATATATTTTACGTGGTTACGTTCATAACAAAAGCTTTGATTCGATTCAGCAATTATATTCAAAACCACACTGAACATGCATCGCATATTGAAATTTATATTTTGTCACGGGCACGTTCTAACCAGTAAAAAGTCACAAAGTTTAATAAAATAGAGTAACACAAATAAACACAGGAAAGTAAACAAAATGTAAGACTACACACTAATAACTACGAGTATGTACGTTTTAAAGGCGAATCGCGAAAGCTGTCGCGACAGCAGGGAGGATCGCGACAGTCGCGTAGTGATTTTTCGCTGCCCCTCTTAATTGGGTATTTTATATCATCATCATCATCAGCCCTTTATTTCGTCCCCACTGCAAGTTAAGGAGCATGCGCCATGACACTCCACGCTGGCCCAATGCGGATTGGCGGGTATTAACGACTACAAATGCAGCCGGCACCAACAGCTTAACGTGCCTTCCAAAGCATGCAGTAGTTCGAGACAATAATTTTTTTGTCAACCATCCCATAACGACCCTTGCGAAAGTTGCTTAACGACAACGATCGCGTGCCGCAGCGCATACGCCACCGAGCTACTCAGGTATTTTGTATAATGTATTTTATATAATTCTAAACATTATATACATTAAATTTAAAGAAATATTCGGCAAAAACTGTCACCATTATTTTGCATTATACAGATTAGAGTGTGACTGCTCGGTTGGTTGAGTGATTTAGTTGTCGCCATGCAACTGCCCACGGATCAAGTGTTGTGGTTCGATCCCCACAAAGGACTATTTTTTTGTGATTTGCCAATAATTGTTCTTAGTCTGGGTGTACTTTGTCCCTCGCAACACAGGACTTGTATCCTTAAAACCGGGCTTGTCTTTTAAAAAACAAAAAATGATTTGAAAAAAAATGAACTGAACAACTACAGATCCATGATATTTTTTTTTATTGTGATAGCATCTCGTACTTTCTTAAAGGGACGTAATAAGCAATATTGAAAAGCATTAAATAAAATACGGGGAACCCCGTAAGTGAGTATAGATGGTGTTGTTATTTGCTATCATTTAAAGAAAGAATATTCTCCGAATTCGTAATGAAATATTCCGTGCTCTTTCTATTCGGTCCGAATTTATAGTAACGTTAAAAATATGAATTGGTTCAAATATTTAAAAAATAAATCCTTATTGTTTACTGTGATATTTTACCTCCTGGGCGTGCTTCCCCTCCCCCTCTCCAGTAGTGGGCTCGCTAGCAGACCATTATTCGTCGAGCCGAACGTCTCGTCGGCCACGGGCGAATCCAACTAAGTGTAGGAACGATCGCGGGGGAAAATTACGTTCTGCCACATTCTCGCCCTCTAAATCATAAGACCGTCCCGGTTGTGACTTAGGCCTACTTCTCTGCTCCGCGACAATACACTCGGAGTCGCCGGATTATGACGTGAGAGCACTGGAATGGTATTTTCCTTTGACACGCTCTTGACGATAGCGATAGGCGATAGGGCGAAGCTGCAGTACATAGGATGTCACCTGTGTCATGCTGGTGACGACGTGTGATAGGTGATACGTGCCCTTACCTACAAACAAACAAACGAGCGAAGCTACTTTCTTTTCGAAATCCAACAAGATGTAAGTACGACCATTATTTATTGAATCTAATAAGAACCGATTTCGTTTCGAAGTACCATTCCAGCAACTCGGAAGAAATTCAAACCTAAGATGGTTTGATTATTGGTATTACAGTTCCTTGTAGTTCAACATTAACAGTTTCGATAAACCATTTTGAAATAGAGTCGTCGGTACCAGTTGTAGCGATGGATTGAAATGTCGATGATACAATCGTCACGTCTTCTTTCTTCTTACACTGGCAACATTGCGATCTAATTCCGTTAGGAGCACCACATCGATAGCACACTATGGGAGCAAGTTTCTTTTCTAAATTGCTCGTAGCGGTGGGATTGGCTGGCGCAGATTTCTTAGACGAAGACAATTTCCGACATGAATCCTTGTCATGGGATCTCGTCTTTGGAGTAATGACACCATTTGCCGTCAGCGTGCCTGCGGGAGTTGATATAGGTACTGTGACCGGAGCAATAGTAGGTATCAGCGAGATCTTTATCCAGGAGGTCGTCAACAGCGTGCGCGTTCTCCGGCATCTCCAAAAATGTTACGAAGAAAGCTTGTAGAACCTAAAATTGACGCTTTTGACGAAGTAAAGCGTCAGAGAAGCATAGTCATCTCTCTAAAAACAATAGTTTAGAACGTGCTCGTTTGTGTATTACCAACGAAGGGGGACATTTTGAAGCTCACTTAAAGTACATGTAAGTAAATAATAATTAATTAAGTTGACAATTCATAATAATTATTGTAAATAGCAGGCGATTCTAACTTTTTAATACCCCAAAACTACTTTTCTCATTTATTCGTGAATTGTTTATTTTGTTATTTAATTAATGTACGAGGGCGGGTCAATAAGTTCGTGACTTTTTGAATAAGACACAGGTTTTTATACAAAAAGTTATTTTATTTTTCAACGTAGTCTCCTTTGAGTTCTATACACTTAGTCCAACGTTTCTCCAATTTTTTTTCCCTTCCCAAAAAATATGATTTGTCGAGGTCATCAAAATAGGCATTTGTTTGTGAGATGACTTCGTCGTTGGAGTCAAATCTCTTTCCGCCGAGCCATTTTTTCAAGTTTGGAAATAAGAAATAGTCACTTGGGGCTAAATCTGAAGAATATGGCGGATGAGCGAGCAATTCGTAGCCCAATTCATGGATTCTTGCCATGGAAACTGCACATGTGTGCACCCTTGCATTGTCCTGGTGGAAAAGAACTTTTTTCTTAGCCAAATGCGGTCGTTTTTTTTTAAGTTCCTCATTAAATCGACTCAATAAGTTGGTATAATATTCGCCATTGACTGTTTTACCCTTTTGAAGGTAGTCAATGTGGATTATACCGCGTGCATCCCAAAAAACGGTCGCCATGACTTTATTGGCTGACAAACCCATCTTTGCCTTCTTTGGCGCCGATTCACCCCGAGAAACCCACTGTTTTGACTGCTGTTTGGTCTCCGGTGTGTTGTGGTGAATCCACGTTTCGTCCACGGTTACGGAACGGCGCAAAAAACTCGTCCCTATTACGGTTGAACAACGCCAAACATTCCTGAGAAGCTGTCACACGGTTGCGTTTGTGATCGATTGTGAGCAAACGCGGCACCCATCTTGCGGAAAGCTTTCTCATACCCAAGTGATCATTCAAAATTGAAACCACTGAGCCATGTGAGATGCCTATGGCTTCCACAATCTCTCTCACTTTCAATCTATGAATTTTTTCAATTGTTTCGGTTGTAGAGACCTCAACTGGGCGTCCAGAACGTTCGGCATCTTCCGTGCTTGTACGGCCACATCGGAATTCAGTAAACCACTTCCTTACCATGGAAATGGATGGTGCAGAGTCCCCATAATATTTATCCAGCTTAGCCTTGGTTTGAGTGATTGTTTTTTTCCGCAAAAAATAATGTTTAATAAGCACTCGAAATTCGCTTTTTTCCATTTTCTTTTCAAAACGCGCGGTAGTCTGCTATTAACGACTGCAAAACACAAATTATATGACGCGGCTTGTTCAAATTTTGACAGAAGTCAACTGACAGCTGACTGTTGATAGGTGCAGTGCTGCAATTTTAATTAAAAGATGGGAAATTAAAAAAGTCACGAACTTATTGACCCGCCCTCGTACTGTTTTAAGAATGAGTCGTTAGAAAAGTATTTTTGCCTAAGTCATAAGTATCTGGGGGAATACCCGTAATTAAGTCGGCAGACTAACGTAATTCACGTCCAAAATTATAGCTGGGGTTACAGCGGAGCACCGTGCATGAAATGCACGAAATAAGAAACGTGCTTCCACTTTCACTTTCAGGAAATGGCCCTGCCACTTCCAGTGCGTGTCTTACCACCAAGAAGAGGTTGGGAATTGACAGTTGGGAACTGGCAAATGCGCGAGAGACTCCAATATCCAATGTCAGCTTACATGGTGTCTTATTGATCTCGCCTCGAATGACTAGACTGTTCCCATCATGTGCCTGTGAGATCGAAATTCTTGATTTGACAGACCTGGCGTTTACTCGTTTCCCTGCTGCTCCGAGGCGGTGCTGTCGACCACCCTTTTCATCGTCGTTCTATGTTCACTCCTGCTTCTCCTTAATCTAAGATAGTTAATCCGAAGATGACCTCTTTGTCCACAACCAAAGTACTTGGAGGTGAATCGTTGTGGACGATCGCTTGTCGGTATAACTAACTGCTCCCATGTGCGAAGACCGCGATTGTCCTTGCAAACTGCTGTAAGCTTTCGCAGCTCCACTAGATCCGGTCCTTCATTTGAGCCGGGAACACATATTATAGGTGCACGTCACCATATCGCGCCTGCAATGAGTCTATCAACTTCTCATAGGTGACATCATCACCTAGTGTTTCAAAGATGGTCAAGGCCTGATCGGGGTGGTCCAGTGCTAGTGCAGTCCGTTCCTGCTCCTTAGTCCAACCATTTGCCTCCATGACTGTGCGAACCTGAATTTTGTAAGCAGGCCACGGTGACGTTCCATCAAACAGAGGTGATTTAAATCCGCTAGGTGCAGAACTCGATACCACTGGCACATTAACAGTACACCCCTTTTTAAGATTGCCTAAAGTTTTACTTACATCTGCACTTTTGGCCGCCGTTAAGCGCTCCTGATGCTGATCTATTCGTTTCTCGTGCTGAGATACTCGCTCTATAACTTTCTTCAACTGAACGTCCAGCTTTCTGTATAAATCTTCCTTGAACTGCTGCATTTGTTGCTCCTGACGGCGAGCTTGTTGATCCTGGTAGCGAGTCTGTTACTCCTGGCAGCGAGAATGTTCGTCGTGGCTGTGAGCTTGTTCCTCCTGGCGACGAGCCTATTTTTAAATCAGTGCCATTAATAAAGCAAAGTCTGGTGTAGTAGTCGTGGTTGTAAGCGACATTACCAATACTAATTTGATATTCATTAGAGCTTAAAGGCATCATTAAACCTTAATTGACTTTTCGCATTTGACTCTTTCGCATAACCTATATAGGTCTTATTTTTTCTCTTTGTCATAAGTAACAATAATATAAACACAACAGCTAAACGAAAGGAATTCAAATCATAAAAAGTCATTAGGCACCTGTGTCTTTGCAAAGCAGACTCAGAGAGATACTAAAGTAAATTTTCTCAAGTTTAAAATGGAATAGTTGAGAAAAAGCAATCCAGGAAGCTCGGGGCAAGCACTGCGTTTGCGTAGGTAAATTAGCTGCGCCGTTGAGAACAAGTTAGATTGCCTCCTTTGGTTCCCATGCTTCTTTAATTTTTCTTTCAAACGTTGTTACGTTTGCATGCTTTAAGAGTGCAATTTTGATACTGTATTCATATTTTTTTCGGTTGTAGCTATTTATGAGTGCACATGTAGTCCGGACCAACGGAATAATGTCATTTTCAAAGCCCGGAACACGAGATTAAAATTTTTCAGTCGCCTACCTTATGACCGGAGCTTGGTATAGTTGTTAATTACGGCGCCATTGCGCTCATACACTTAAAATAATATTGATTTTATAAGTTAATAAAGCGTTAACAAATTGTAATTTTATGGATTATGTTTGTGTATAATTAATTACCCCTCCATGGCCTAAGTGGCCGAGTGGTTCGCACATCGATTTCAAGGTGTCGATATCTTCGAGGTCTCGGGTTCGATTCCCGGGGGAGTCAGTGTAGAAAATTAAACTAGTTTTTACTGTTTCTGGGCTGGGTGTTGTGGTACCCACGTAGTTTCAGATTTCATTAATACGAGCGCTTTAGTTACTTAATTTGGGATCTGAACAATGTATGCGAGATTGTTTAATACTTCCAAAATTAGAAGTCGAAAGTTAACGTATTATGTAGTAATTGAAACAACGAGCACAAACCCAATATAGAAATTAATGTTCTAGATTGACTCGATCGGGAATCGAACCTTTACACATGGAGACACTTTGGAACCGTTTCGCGAACCACTCGGCTACGGAAGTCACACCACTACACCTTATAAGTTCCATCCGCAATCTATCAATGTCATTATTAATTTAGATGATCAGTTCTTATCTCGGCTCATTATTATTAGTGTCACGCGCCAACCTATCCGGCACGGAGATATTTCATTGTCGTCTGAAGGCGTGTTATTAGATTCAGATCCGTGATCATCTTCACACCGAGGAACGAGCAAAAACTGAACTTATACGAGGCAGAATCGTCGGTCTTAGCGTAGTGATTACCATAAACTTTGCTTTGGATGTTCGTTACAGTTGATTTATATAGAAATGGCGTTATACTACAAACATTATCTATACGAATATAATATATCGGAAAGATTTGATTGGTTTTTTCTTTGCTTTGAATAGGCTCCGATTCATCTTGATCGATTTGAAAAACTCTTTCACCTACAGGAAGCTTACATCGTATGCGGGTGACATTAGTGACATAGACTATAATTTACTTCATGATGATCTGACGCTGACTAACAAGTCGCTGATCCCCCTCCGTTTAACAACGAACAATACTCCACAGTAACAAGACAGAGTTCCATGAATGGCGATAAGTATCGTTTGCTTTTAACACTCAATACTTTTTATTTTAATAATACTTTGGGTCATTGTCTGTTTTTCAGTGTACTCTAGAAGCAAACTGTAGAAGTAAAGCTGGATTGACTTGGATGATTAATTTGGTTTTTACTTTTATAATTCATGCATTGCTTTCACGACACTAAAGTTTTATTACCATTTACATGGTGAGACTAGTGTCGCGACACGAACTACTCATAGGGTTGCCAGTTTGCCGGCCATTTGGGTAGAAAGACTGAGGGATGATGTTGTATCTCAGTATTAATAGGTAAGATAAAATTGTATGTAAAACAAGTTTTTTTTATTATTAGCACAAATCTGTTGACTCGCCTGCGCTCGGCGCTCGCCCGTTTGCGAAATGTAAAAACCTAATAAAAGCCAGACACGCAATCAAAAACTACCTATGTATGTCCGACTTTATCCAGACGCCTGGCAACGCTACCTGCGTTACAGTAAAGCTTCCATGTTAACGAAGCCAGTATCTCAGAGATACTGTTGGATTTCACGCCGTTAAAAAAATTTTTGCATATGTGCCGAAATTAGTTTCATGAAACTGGTTTTTAGTTTCATGCAATACTTTCGTAATGTAAATTCGGCTTAACATTATAGCTTTGCTTGACGTATGTACACTGTGCTACGAACAGGATTCTTATAAATGTTATTTGAAAATGTAGCACTTGTAGCAGCTGGTGTATCTCGTTAGAAACTACGATGCGTAAGTAAAAAATATAAACCTTATAAGGATTTAGAAAGTGGGTATTAAAAAACGTTAAAACGTAAGGGTAATTTGATTTACTTAAAATAAAGTAAGTTAACTTTCCCTTAATACGTTTTCGTCTTACTTAAGTAGTATAAAAATTATAGATATTCAATAGAGTCCATCGAAGATTATTTTAGCGGAGCCTCTAAACCTGTCTGAGGTTTGGTATTAAGTAACTACATGCCAAAGTAGCTTTAGATAAAGTCTGAGGAAAACCAACTTCATTTTTAATGAGGTTTTGAAAACTTAAACTAGAGTCTTTGTTAGATTGTTTTAGAACTTCTGAAGGAGTCTGTAAAAAGAGTTTTAATGTGTGCACTACGTGTTTGTGTACTTCTGAAAATTGAATTAAATGTAATTTCTTTTATTTTAAGTAGACTTAAGATATAGCAATTTAGTTTGACCCTTCATAAATCTTTATTGATATTATAAACAGGTAAAGATACTAACTTTCTTTGGTTGTATGGGGTAATTGGTTAAGTTAAATAAATCTTTATCATAACGGCTTAGTTTATAGCATCAGAGGTTTGGCTGTTAACTTATATCCATAGTAAATAATAAACCTTACAATCTCTTAAGTGTAGAAATTTTCTCATGATAAATATGGTGTTTATATCGTCACCGGTCTGACTATCCGTCTGTCTGTCACCAGGCACTTCATGAACCGTGCTAGCTAGATAGTTGAAATTTTCACATAATATTGTATTTCTATATTATAACGAACGATAAAAACAAAATAAAATAAATCTTGAATGCGGGCTCCCATACAATAAAATAAACGTAATTTTTTGCTCCTTTTTGGGTTCCGTATACAAAGGGTAAAACGGGATCCCCATTACTAAGACTTCGCTTTCTGTCTGTCCGTCTGTCTGCTACCAGGCTGTATCTCATGAACTGTGAAAGTTAGACAGTTGAAATTTTCACAGATTACGTATTCTTGGCCACTTAAACAAAAAATACTAAAAATCAGAAAAAAATAAATATTCGTCAATATAAACTTCATATTTTGCTCGTTTCCGGTACGTAAACCTACGTATTTTTTATATACAATAACGCGAGTCCTACTTATTACTTATAGTCGGTATTTTTTATTAAGTACCTATATAAAAAGTAGTTAATTTTTTAATACAAAAGCAACATATGATATATTAAATATATACAGCGTCGCTTATCGCGTTCTGCACCACACCATATGCCAATATGTTCACGGATTAAAAGTTTAAATTATTTGATGAGATTTTAAGCGTATGATAAAACATAGCCGGCAGGACCACACAGCGTCGGGGTTGTAGTTTAATTAAACTTTAAACCCTGTTTTATTACTTAACTGACAATGGATATTCTCTTGGCTTAGGTGATTTTTGTATTGTTCTGAAATATTGGTCAAATATGAGTTGTATTGGACTGTAAAGTATTGAAAGTTCTTAAATAAGAAAAAAGTTTGACGTAATTGGTGGATGAACCCTTATTTTTAATGACAATAATTACCTACTAAATTATTTATATATTTTTTTCAATATATATATATATATATATATATATATATATACTCTTATACACTCTTTTTCATTCTTCCCCACAGCAAAATGAAAACTGAACGAGAGATACAAAACATAGATGGTGTGAGGGTCATTTTATGAATTTGAAAAAGAGACTACATTTGGCTTTAACTGATTTATTCAGATATCGTTTTGAAATATTTAATATTAAAAAAGCACTATTAATTTGACTAATTATAAGTCCGCCATATTGAAGATTCCGCACATCTAGTCTTATAAAAAGCATTCCACCATTTTCTGAAATTGACATTCCGCGTTCTAAAAGTCAGCCAATTTTTGTTGTTGAGCGCTTTACATAACGCGCACGGGTCTAACGTCTTCGTAGCTTTGATGATGTAGTGGTTCTTCCATCTGAAGTAGTCGTAGTACAAGCTTCGATTCCTGATGATATCGTTCATAGCACGAGCGAGCATTTCCTCGTTTAACTGCATCGCGTTTAAATATGAATTTGGCGGTAAAAATCTGTAAATGAAACCTATTTGTAAGTCTCCGTAATCTCAAATCATATTGTAACTTCTAGGTTTGAAGAGAATCACCAATTTCAACCGATTGTTATATACCAGGTAAAAACTATTCGTACCTAATGGAAAACTTTTCATCTCTTCATAGGAGAGGATTCTTTGGGGGGAATGTAGAGTCCATCTATCTATCTATAAAAACTTTCAAATTCGGTTTAATTTGATTGAATTTTTAATTTTGCATCGGTGGTGTGTTAGATTCTGCGATATAATAGTTTATTGCTCTTCGGAACTACCTAAACGTCTAGGAAATACAGACATATATATCTATATATAAACATTATGTTATATATTTTACTTAATAACAAAATATTACTTGCTATATTGAGCTCCTCCATATACTACGGGCACAGCATTATTTTCGTACCCATAAACCACTTCTTGAGTAATATAATTAGGAGATATGGAATCTTCCATCGCCAGATAGAAGAAATAATATTTCTTCAATCTCCAGAAGCATCCAGACATCTTCTTCTTGCATTTATTCTTTCCACAATTACCATATACGTCGATACCTAAATTATATTTCGATAGTTGCCATTTCAAATTCTCTATGTAAACTTCCCTTTTGCTTCTGCTCTTGCATTTATCTAAAAATATCGCGACAGCTTTCCTTTTTGAGCTCAGTTGACTTTTCATGTATGTGTCAATGGGTGTCATATTTAGTATCCATCGGAAATGACTTCCCAGATTTTCATCGTGTATGTTATGTACTGTGAAGAACGTGTATGGTATTGAGGATTCCATTCTGAAAAAAATATTGAATTACCCTTTAAATAAGTTTCAATATTTACAGTTAGGCTACCATGCACCTTATTCTTAATGAGTATACAACATTATATACGTATTTAGCACAGCGGAGTAGTTCCGTGATCATAGCGTTTGCAATAGTGCCGAAATGTTATATCCGGGGAATTATTATAAAACAAGATACATTGTACCAAACCCGTGAATAAAATTACTTTAATATTAAAGAAACAATTTATATGAAGAATGGGTTATGCAATTTGAAAACTTTTATTCAAGATGCAGCTGAGTCTAACAGATTAACACTTCTTTCCTCCAACCATCATCGATTATAGTTTTCCTTTTGTACTTCTATCCGTAGATGACCAAACCAGTTCTATGTTGATCATCATGACATATAAACAGTATTTGCAGAATAATTTACGAAATTCCCAGTCGAGGTCGAATTCAGTATTGATAAATAAATAGTACCTACTTACTTATACGTCCACGTCCAGTTGAAGAACTGATCATAAAAAGAATCGCACACTGGATAGTTATCCGCAGAATCGTTAGCAACAAACACGTATTTTTGTATCGCAGCTCGTACGTTAGGCAGGTTTCGCTCGCCAGAGCTTATTTCTTGGGCACTAAACAGTATTGTGTCGAAGTATCCCAAATTACCAAGTAAGCTCCTATTCGAAGTCAAATAGCAATTGGAATGGTGACACTTGTGTTTTAAGAATGTTGCTTGCCCAGCATTCTCCATTCCGCTGATATCATGCCAAAGTAAAATATGCTTCATGTCTGGTATGAACCTTCTTATTTTCTTAAATCTAAATATCGGTTTTGACCTCTGGACTACGAAGTAACTAATAAATATTATAAACAGGAGGTGTAATACTCTCTTCCAGAATTTGTTTATGTGAGGCATATCTTTATTTGTTGTAAAACAATAATAAATGCAAAGATTATTTCCCTAACAGACTGTCGATTTTCGATTAATCTTGTTATCACTGAGTTAGGCCGCATACATTGTTTTCCATTTTCATTCGATTGATTACCAATAAGCAAATGTTAGTAAACCGGTTAGATTACACGCATAGTTCTGGGTAATTCTACATTATGGATAGGTCTTGTTGATGGCACATTTCACAATATTGACATTTCATTATGTCAATAGTAATACGAGTAATATCGGATGTTGAAAGGCTTTGTTGAAAGGCTAATTTGGATGTGGAATTTGTTAATTCCAAGTATCCATATTGTTCATGTAGTTGGTTTGGGTTAGGCTAAATCATCATAATAAAGGTATTGGATTATAATAATTCCAGTGAGGTTATAAATTGACAATGCTAAGAGTTTTACGATGACTTAAATAACTCAGCCTAGTCTTTCAACGAAGACTAGCCTGATGACTACGTAGTTACTAGCTTTTACCTTAATGTTATCCAATATTTATTTCTCATGAGAAAACGATATGAATTCAGTTAATAAGTAACTACTACTACAACTATAATCGTAACCGTAAATCGAACGACGACGATTGTAACTAAGCAACATCATAGGCACATCCACTGGTAACGTCGTCAAAGACCTATTAATTTGATATTAGTTAATGTTAAGATTATGAGACTAACGGGGTTTCGTCAATTAGTGGTTGCATTACCGGTAACATAGTACCCGGCCATCCCAGAAAAGCTTTTTAGTCTTCCGTCCGACAACCTTTCAAAAAAAAATGTTTGGTTATATGGCTGAGATATAACTGTAATATTGCATAACCTGGCTGGTCACTCTGTTGCAGCCACTAATTGACAAAAAATATTGCCCGTTTAGAAGCTTCTTTAACAGAACAAAAAGGACAACTCATAAAAACCATAAGCAATAATAATTGATTTGCAAACATATGTGGTGGTTTTGCTAGCGCTACTTAAAGGGTTGCTATCTAGCCTTTTACAAAAGTATAAATAAATTATTTATTTTAAATAAAAAATCGCATCAAAGTATTATGTTGAGCACAAACAGGATTAATATACGAAATAAAATTCAAACAAAATTACATTTTATGTAGCAGTGACATTTCCCGCTCTTTTTATACAAAATGGCGTCGACCGTTTTCGCGTGAGCATTGTACGCAAGACGTGGGTCCGCGGACCGTCCGAAATTGTCCGCTTTTTTGAAAAGGTCCCGATTATTGTTGTTACACGAATCATTTTGATGGACGCTTTGGAAAGTGGATTTTTTTTGTTGTGAAATGTGACGTATGAAATGTGTTCGGGCTGACGAATAAATTGGAATACGCGGACAATTGAGCGTCTATTAATATGAGTATAAAAGGAATGAGTTTTATTTATGACGAATGATTTCATTTGCAACGTGTGGATTGGCAAAAATTAAATTTGTTGTATATTTATAATTCACTTATCGTATATTACTTATACCGGGATATAAAGCTAGGTATACATTATTTGCAACACCACATATATTAGGTAACATGCAATGTAACGTTCTGAATTATATTTAAAGATGTTGGCTACTGCACTATGATACTGTTATCACCTTGCGTGCATTAATAATGACTTTTTGGTTTTCGCCGATTGTTGGTTTTTGACTAGTTTTTTACGTTCACTCTTCAATCTGCATTTGGCCCGTGTGGAGGGACGTAGCCCATCTTTTTTAACCATCCTTATGGATGTTATCATCCTTATATGGAAGGCCTGACCCCCTACAGTGGGGACGTAAAAGGGCTGATGATGATGTTTTACGTAAACAAACATTTAGAAATGGGTTGTAATATTGTTTGCAATAAAGGAAAAAACCTTGAATATATAATAGAAATCAATACAAAGAAAAGAGTAGCGATTCTGGAAGTCCTCAAATGAAATAGATTTCAAGAAAAACTCGGAAAAGATGTTCGTGCGTGCGCGGAGGCAGATCAAGTTTACTTCTATTGTATTGCATATTGCGTTGTAAATAATCTGTACCTAGCTTTATGAATAATTGACAAATTCTTGGAGGTTTATTAATAATTGAAAAAATTGGACGCATTTAATTCTTAAGGCTTAATTCATAAGGCTAATTCTTAAGATATTTAAAAAAAAATTTAAAGCCGTTGAAATATGTTGTTATAGCAAAGATTGCAATACTTTGGTTCGTAATTTATGGGAATCCAAGATCATTATTATTTTTTTGATAAAAGATATTTCAATTTGGATAAAATTTAAATGAGTCTACTTCGGTACATCAAGCTGTAGAATAAAAAAAGAAATTTAAAAATCGGTCAATAATTGTCGAAAATAATACATAAAATAAAGAAAATAATATCTATCTACTTTAAAACGCAACATAACTCAATAAATCTCGATATGTTATTTACATGTGATTTAACGATTAGTTAATTTAAGTGAAACTCACTGTATCAAACTAATCTACTAATAAGTTGGTTTATATCAAATTAGATACGCAGGTCTGGTTGTTCCGTATTCAGGGGGTGCGTGTGATTTTCCAATGAGCACGCGGGTGCCGAATGCAAAGACGCGACGACGATGTCTTGGCAATGTCGTAGATATGGGGTCTATTCTGAAGGCTCTTTGTTGGATCATTGTAATGTAAAGTAGGTTAATCTTTTTATTAGCAGTTATATATATTTTAAGGGTTCCATATCCAAAGGGTAATACGAGAACCCTATTAGTAAGACGCTGTATCTTACGAACCGTGAAATTTAGACAGTTGAAATTTTCATCGAATTCTTGTTGCCGTTTCAACAACAAGTACTTAAAACCAGAAAAAATTATCTAAGAAGGCTCCAATACAACAAACGTGAGTCCGACTCGCACTTGCCGGTTTTTTAAATATGTATATCATAGAAAGTTTGTATTTAAAAATAAAAATGCTCCATTCATTTATTTGAGGTACAATAATCAAAGATGTTTTTCTTTGCAAATGTAAAAACATGTAATTTAGATAAACCCTGTTAATCATAAATGAGTGAGACATTTAATTTTCTAGCGTATTGTCATTTTTTATCGAATTAATCAATAAATATGTTTCTATGTTTATAAAATATACATTTCATTTAGATAATCGTAGATTATAGTCTACTCCATTTTATTTATTTTTTTTTATGGGATTTTCTCCAGCTCAATGTCAAAATTTCCTTAATTGTCCCGTATAAGTGCTCCGTTGTTTCAGATTTTTATGACACTGAGCAATAAACTGGTGTTTTTTTTATGGGATAGGGGGCAGACGAGCATACGGATCACCTGATGGTAAGTGATTACCGTCGCCCATGGACACCTGCACCACCAGAGAGGCTACAAGCGCGCTGCCGGCCTTAGAGGGAAGGGTTTAGGGGTGGAGGGAAGGGAATAGGGAGGGGTTGGGCCTCCGGTACCCTCACTCACACGACGAAACACAACGCAAGCGTTACTTCACGTCGGTTTTCTGTGAGGCCGTGGTATCACTCCGGTCGAGCCGGCCCATTCATGCCGATGCGTGGCTCTCCCACGGTCATAATTTTAATACAAAGATATGAAACGATTCGATATACAAATATTAATATATAAATATAATTAATACATGTTCAGTGAAGAAAATAGCAAATAGCTGGATAGTTTTCTTCGACGAGTATAAAGATAGATTATCAATGTTTGTTTTAGATTAGCACCCCTGGCTTAGGTAAGGAGGCCCGCGTAGCTAATGAGATTCTTTGAGTCGCGGTTTGCATTTCAGATCAGATTCGTTGTCTTGTCTGTCTGTAGTCATCTAAAAGAGATTTCGTTATATAACAAGGTACTAGGTACTTAAGATCGTTACGTCATAACTCAACAAACTCTGAAAATTGAGAACAAAAACCGGAAAATGGGCAAGTTACTGCACAAATATAAGAAAGCACAGTTTTCTCATAGGTTTTCTTGGAATATTTACATATAGAAATATATTTTCTTCAAAATTTTAGGCTTAGAAGTTTTGTAAATTAGTGAGAATGGTCATATTCTATCTTTTATTGAATAAATCAAATGTATATTTTATTCTCTCTTTTTTTTGTATAGCGGCAATAGGATACTCCATGACATTATCATATCATAAACATGGGAAAATTTCAACTGTCCAGCTGTTACGTTTCATGAGATACAGCGTGGTGATAGACGGACCGACAGCAGAGTCTTAGTAATAGGGACCCGTTTTTTATCCATTGGGTATCAAGCCCTAAATATTAGGTGGTAGTTAAATATTAATTCAGAAATGGTGACACTTAGAAATCAAAGAAAGTTTTACTATTGCATATAGGCAACTCTACCAAGCAGGTTGTCAGGAGTGTCGCACTGTTTCTTAAACCTTTTGGCATGTGTGTTTGACACTAAAGAGGATGATTAACGATTTATTTTGCCGATCTTAAAGTTTTTAAATCCCTCTAACAGAAGGATGCACAATTTTTAAAATAAATAATGTAAAGTTAAATAATCAGGTTAAGTTAAAAAAATGATAACAAAGAACATTATATTATTATTTGTTTTAATAATAAACACTAAAATAAAGTCGGCAGAAATATATGCGTAAATATTTAAGTATTTAACCCTAAAAGTAACTCTATTAACAGGTTCTCTCTACTACTCTAACCTACTCTCGGCACTAAAGACTTTTTATATACTTTTATTATATATCGAATCTTATATAAGTCGGTATGTCATCCATATGAATGACATTTAAAATATGATTTGTGTACAAAAGAATAAATATTCGAGAGACGACGTTACACCGCCCCTGAAT